TCGAAATCTTCTATATATAATTAATATATATAAAAGAATAAGATAGAGCTAAGCTTAAAAATCTTAAATTTATATATATAGTTAATTATAAATTTAGAGTTACTACGCTCTTTAGTTAAATCGACTAAGTTATCGTAAGTAAATAAATTAGCATTCGTAACTATTAAAAAAAAAAAGTCGAATAGCTCTAATTAAAAAATAGATATATATTATTTAATTTTAGAATAACTTTTTTATTTTCTATTAAAATTTTAAGAGTTTTTTTAATTTTAGAACGAAATATAGATCTTTAAAGAAAGAAAAAATTCTTAAATATAGTCTTATAATTATTAAAGCGTAAGAAATTCAAATATCGCTTATTAAAGATCGCTTATCTATTTACTCGATAGCGTTAATTAAAAAAAAATTTAATTTAATTTATAAATCTTTACTCGTATACTATATAATCTTATTATCGAGTTATAAGACTATATAAACTATCTTAGAATTTTTAATAAAATAATAATTACTATTAACTCTAAATTTCTATTCTATTCTAAAAAAATTATTATCTTAAATAAGATTACTATTATTAATAAATATAGATAAGTCGAGAATCTTAATTAATTCTCTCTTAAATATCTAAGCGTATATTTATCTTTAATCGAAAATAGCTATAAATTCTTTATAGATTATAAATTAAGATTATTAACTTTTTATTATAAAGAAGTTATATTCTTTTAGAAGTTTTAAACTAGTTAATTTCTCTTCTTAATTAATCTATAAATCTAAAATAAATCGTTTATAATCTAATTTTTTTTATTACGATAGCGTAATATTAAATAATAATCTTTCGAAAATTATTTTATTTCTAATAAATTTTATTTAATATAAATATAAATTTATTAAATTAAATTAATGATCTAATATTATAATTATAGATTATTAATAATATTTTAAAATATATCTATTAAGTCTATCTCGTTAGAGATATAATCTAATAGAATTAATATTTATTTAAATTTAATTTAATTTAATAAGATCTTAATTTAATTTATTCTTTTAATATTAAACTTTATTATAAAAAAAGAGATTTAAATAAAAAAAAAGAGAAGTTTAAATACTTTAAAAGAATAGATATTAAAAATACTAGATATATTAAAAATAATAAAATCTCTCTAAGATATATCGAAATTATTTAATATTAAGAATAATTTTTTTACTATAAAGTTTAAAATAAGGTTATTTCTTTATAAGAATTTAATATACTTATCTCTTAAACGTTTAAGATATTAAGAAGACTATAAGTACTTTAAATAATTATTTTTTTAAGTATACTTACTTCGCTTAAAGAGTATCTTATCTTATAAAGAAGTTATATATAAGAAAGCTTAATAATTAATTATAAAGAATAATATCTTTAATTAATTATTACTTAATCGTTTTTTATCTAATTAAAACTTTATTTAAATCTTAGATATTATAATAAATAAAGTTATAAATAATATTATTAATATATATTTTAAATATAAAAATATAAGATAATATTAGCTATTTCTTTCGATTCGCTAGTCGTATAAATAATTTAATATCTTCTTTATTTCTTAACTACTATTTATTAAAATCGTTTCGCTATTTTATTTAAGCTCTTTAAAATCGATTTATTTATTTAATAAACTTATTTTAAGATATAATAACTTAACTTAATTTCTTATTAAAGTCTCTATTACGAGCGTATTCTTAATATATTACTTAGTTCTATAGCCTAGTATCTTAGCGAAGATATTCTCTATTATATTATATCTTCTTTTCATATATATAATTCGATAGTCTTATTATTCTCGTTCTATTTTACTTATACTAATATCGTATCTATACTAATTCTAATATTATAATAAGACTTCTTCGTATACTCGACGAAGAGAAATATATACGGGTTAATTAACGTACACTTACGCCTATTCGAGCTAATTACTAATTCATACCTCGAAACTATAAATCCTTATCGAATTATATCTCTAATTACTAAATTATATCCCTAGAAATATAATTTAGTAATTTGTTATTACTTAGAGTATGATTCGATAATTTACCATTCATGATAAAATTCGCAAAGGAGAAAATTCGCGACCTGGGCCATGCGATTATAGAAAAGAGGAAATATCTCCGATCGTATTTAATGGGTGACCTACCAGCTTACGAGACCATCTCTTTCTTGCTTTCCTGACAGCATATGTTTCCCGGCCATTGTTCGAATATATCAGACGAAAGCCGAGTGGGTGTTAGCAGCAGCCCCCACGGGGGCCCTGCGACGGCCCTACGGAGGCCCTATTTAGGTTCAAATAGGGGTGTCTGGCTGTCAAGCGCAGACACCCCCGGGACCAGGCTTTTTTTGCGCTTGATAGCCAGACACCCCTATTTAGACCTAAATAGGGCCCCCGTAGGGCCGTCATAGGGCCCTCGTAGGTGCTGCTGCTAACAGTGGGCTAAATTTGACCCCTCAGCCTATCTACACCCAGTCTGTAACTCACACACACAGTCTTCACTCCCAATAGTCTACATAGCAAGTTTGATAAATTACCGAATCATACCCCAAGCAATTAATCCTTACCGAATCATACCCCAAATTTTGATGTAGGGGTATGATTCAGTAATTAGGGGTATGATTCGGTAAGGATTCATAGTTTCGAAGTATGATTCGGTAATTAGCCCCGCCTATTCGGATTAGCGAACGAATGGTTAATAAACAAACGCGTTGGCAAGGGCTTTATCAAGATACTAACTTGAGATCAAGATACCACGATCGATTAAGATTAAGATAGAAACTTGAGGCATCGTATCTTTGGGTCAGCCTATTAAACGGGTAATTCGTTTCGATATGACGGAACGGCCTCTGGACAGCAGGAGGGATAAAGCACCGCTGGACTATTCGTAGGATTAGCGAATCGAAAAGAACTCATCAAAATACCTTACAGTGAGCCTGCTATAAGGCGACGGGAACAGCCCCGAAACGACTACGATTCGACCTCTTTATTGAGCATGTCGATAACACACATAGTGAGCCTGCTACCAAATGGCATTCAACATATTTAATTCTTTTCCTACCTCCCTACCAACCCACGAATTGGTAAGTGCTTGAGTTATGGGAGTCGTCTACGTCAGTCAAGTCGTTGGCTGCTGAGTACTCGCTATGGCAGCTTAGGACGGGTATATAGGACTGGCAGCTTAGGACGGGTAGGTCTACAGGGTACTGGCAGTCGAAGCGGGTACGTGGGACCGGCAGTCGAGGCGGTAGGCTTACAAAGCGGATGGATACAGTGGACAACTACCAAGTAAGATAGCTATGAGTTGAGACAAAGGATGGAATAGAGGATGGATTTTGATGGCAAGAGCATGGGAGACACAGGGCAAATCTACAGTGCAGCTCCCAGGCCAGGCTGCCAACGGGTGTTGGAGGTGGATTCATGACACATGTATGCGTTGGATTTTCTTTAATTCTATCGATGGACTTGATGGCAAGAGTATGGGAGACGCAGGGCAAATCTATAGTGGCGCTCCCAGGCCGGGCTGCCAGTAGGTGTTGAAGGCGAAAAAAGTGGAGGACTATAACAAGCAGACTGGGCAAGAAGAAGAACTCGGAGAATCTTGCTGGCACGCAGGCAAGATAGAGCCAACATCTCCAGGATCTCTGTGGCAGGGATGGATGGCACAGTCAAGACCAGCATGCGATCCGGCAAAACCTCGGATATGGTGTTTTTGAACGAATTGAAACCATCCGACGTTTGACTGCTACCACTACACCTCGGCAAATCCTCTTCAGTCAAGGTCTGCCGGGACTATGGATGTTTGGAGACACAGGGCAAGCAATGGGCGTGCATCTCCGGTCTATCAGCCATGGGGGCCATGGCTATTGAGAGGGGGGGTAGTGTTACGAGCGTACCCTTGACACACCACTCAGCCCTATGGCTAGCGGGCCTTGGCGGAGGCATCCCCTACCATATCATGCCTCCTTCCCACATACATAGTTCGGTAGCCTTATTATCCTCGTTCTACCTCACCCATACTGATATCGCACCTATGCTGGTCCTGACAAGTATTATATTACTTATTATTATTATTCTTATTATTCTTATTATTCTTATTATTCTTATTATTCTTATTATTCTTATTATTCTTATTATTCTTATTATTCTTATTATTATTTTTATTATTCTTATTATTCTTATTATTATTCTTATTATTCTTAGTATTATTATTATTATTATTATTATTATTATTATTATTATTATTATTATTATTATTATTATTATTATTATTATTATTATTATTATTATTATTATTATTATTATTATTATTATTATCATCATTATTATCAAAAATATATCCATCTTCGAGACGTGGTCGAGATTGGAACCAGGTACTGAGGAATTGCACGGTCATTGTTTCCGCGTTTTGCCTCGTCCTTCATTCGATTAAGAGTGATTCCGGTGAGAGGGTCTAATGGCCGAAAAGAAGGTTTCTCTTTATATCTCTTTTTTTGGTGTATGGAGGACTGGAGGAGGGAAATAGCTTCGGACTGCCATTTCTTCTGGCAGCTTTCCCGACGCCTGTCGGTGTGTCGACGCCATGGTGCTTGCTCATGCATCCGGTGACGCTATCGTTGACGGATTGCAGGGGCTACGCTGGGGACGCAGGATAGGACCCACCTACTCCGCAGACGATGGTCAAAACATGTGGAGCAGAGCTGGTAGCAAAAGGCGTGAGAGATCGGGGATCGTGATAGATAATGAATGTTTTGTAAAGATTTACAGAATCAGGTAGTTCCAATTGCCGGCCCTCTGTCAACGAAGGACATCCTCCATCTGACTCCCTTAACGCTTCGCTAGATCGCGCGGATAATTCTGATACTGCGGTGCAATCAAGACCAAGATACTATGAGACATTTGAGGAAACGATAGTGGTGTCCAGCCGTTAGATATCCTCTCTCCCATGCCCCCTTTGCAATTACGACCTCGGCCCTCTTAGACATAGTAGCGTCTGCTATCCCTCGAGCTCCTTCGATGAGTTGATCCGCCACCACCGCTGCGTGAATGTCCGCGCCTGTACATAAGAGTCAGCAAAAATTCAGGAAAACACCTGTTGATAAAGTTATGGCATACCTCGAGTCATGACTCCTCCTCCTCCTAGTCACCTCGGTCTTGTACTGCACATTATCATCATCCTTGGTCCTGTGCATGAAGAGCAAGATCATGAATGTGATGAAGAAGAAGATGCAGTTCATGATGCCGAACGCGAAGCTCGCTTTTTGCATTGCGCAGCCCCTCTTGACACTGGCTGAGATTCCACTCGATCCCGAGACCCCATTGGTTCCCACGCTCAGGTATGTTGGGCCACTATCACTGATGCTGGAGCAGTTGGCTTTGGCGATGCCGCGAAGTTCGTAGACGCCGGCTATGAAGGCGCCGACGAAGCAGAGGTCGACGAAGGCGACATAGAGGGTGGATCTTTGGGTAGATTTGCGGCGGAACAGAGTGACGATCGCCCATACGGCTGCGAGGGTGGAGACGATGAAGAGGGTCCTGCAAGATGAATGTGTTAGTATCAGGCACCAAATCTGCGCCTGATTTAGGGTAAGGAGCTCTTACAAGATAGAGGCTGGGCTGAGTCGATTTGCTTTCTGGTTGACACTGACGAAGTATGCCTAGCTTGGGTCAGTCCAGGCCTAAGGTGATGAATGGGACAATGGCATCTGAACTTACAAGCATGCCCAATGTAGGAATGAGCGTGACGATCTGGAACAGCCGCCAGAAGGTGAAGAAGATGTACCCGAGCATCGCAAAGTATTGACTGAATGTCGATGGCGGCTAGTGCGCAGATGTAGGCCGATGCCTTTGAGTATAGCAAGCGGCTGATGAGCTGAGGTGCGAAGATGAAGCTGTAATTATCGGGACGGAGACCGGATTGATGGGTCTAGCGATTGGTTGGGTGGAAGGCCAAACAAGCCGGATTCTGGTATCCGGGGAGCTGCAGGACTTGCAGACTGGGTGTGAATTTGGCGCAGTTGGTTCTGATGAGCTTTAGAAGCTGGGCCCCGGCTGTCCTAATGTACTGAAGGCAATGTCTGAGATGGAGGGATCTTCGTCGGTCGGGGCTAGTCCAACGGTAGAGCAGCTTTGTGTAAAGTAGGATGCTTGATTGCTGTACAGTCTTGCGTCAAAGGATGACGTGTGGTTGTGTGTGTGTGAGAACAGGTCAGCAAAGGAATCAGAAGTTAAGGATATGTACGAGTCGGAAAGTTGCGGGAAATGGAATGGAAGAAGCCTGTATTTGTGTCGCGGCAGTGGATGGTGATTTGATACTTAGGTATCCCTGCCGCGAGAGGGCTGGGCTGTCATCGCGGGGCTGGAAATGCCAAGACTGTCAACCCCAAAAACCTTGGTTGCTGACATGTATTAGAGTAGTATAGCCCTAAGATCGACGGCAGGGATCATCTCCGCCAAAAATCCTCTTCAAACATGGTCCTGGGACGTTGAAACAGGATCAAGCCCGTCGCTTCATTAGCTTGCTACCAAGGCAATTGCCATCTTCTGCATGGCAACAGCGCATTTTGTGAACATGGTATATGAGTCTTGCAAGGCAAATGGCGAGATCGGCCTGCAGTGCGCTTATCATCTAACAGAGAGACAAAACAACTCCCCAAGACTCATGGCGCTGATCTACCTGCTGCAGCATCATAACGAGCCGGTAAAGAGAGGCGGAGCTTGGAAACCTAGCCAGATTTGAGTGGTGGCTCCTCAAAAAGAAGCCCGCTTGGAGATGTGCTTCACTCCAAGTAAAAATACTATGTTTCCCAGCCATTAATTTGAGCCATCAGAGATCTGAAATGGATCGGCATTTAATGATATGGGGTGCATTTCATCATATACGTTACATCTTACTATCTGACTATGCTGGGTATCTAGTATTCAATCTTCAATTTTTGCCGGTAGTCCGGGCCAGACATACAAAGTACACCTGCCCAAGAGGCAGCCAGCAGAATAGCGACATGTAAAACCACAAGTACCACTGACGTTCCAGGCCTTGGACTGTTGAAGATGAGATCAAGCGCAGCCAGACCCAGCAGAAAGTACGCTACCATAGGATTGGCAGCCATCGGCGCACAAGATATGTTGACAGAGACGATCTTGAGCAGCAGGAATAGGATCTTCAGGGTCCGCCGTGCGAGCTGACTTTGGAGGTCAACCTTCGAAAAACGAGACCTCTGTGCCGGAGGTGCGGTAAGCTGTGGCATCTCATGCCTGGTGGGCGAAGGGAATTGCCGACTCAATACTAGACTTCCTCCAGGACTCGTAGCTTCCGCATGGTCGCTCTCTCCTTCTCGTGCTGGTGCTGTTGGGGATTGATTGCGCTCCTTGTGCAAAGACGCCAGTCGAAGCTGGGCAGGGCCGCCTGGTCGAGAGAAGCCTGTAGACATCCTTCGAGCCGGCGTAGACGGTCTAGGACTGTCGACAGGCGAGATCCTGGAATCATTCCTTAGGTCCTCGAACATGAGCCCTGCCGATCTGGACCTAGAGTCCGAGATCCTGTCGAGTCCGGAGTTGGTCTTTATCCCGAGTAGTATAGCTTCTGCAGTAGGCCTTCCCTCAGGATCAAGAGAGAGCAATCGTCTGAGGAACGTATACAGCTGTTCAGGCAGATCAGGCCGAAGCTTTCTCTCCTCGTGAAGGCCTGACCAGGTGGTAATCTCGTTTCGCAGCTGATCTAGATCCTCATTCTCTTCGTTAAGAATGTCCGCATGGCTGTAAGGTAATCGTGCAAAGCAGAGAAAGTAGAGAATCATGCCAAGAGAGAAGATGTCACTCTTCCTTGTGAAATTGCCATACACACCAGACGATTGACGGCGTAGTACCTCTGGAGCGCAGTAGGATATGGTACCCGTGGCACCAGTAGATTTCCGTACCATATCTTCTACTTGGACTTCTCCAAAGTCACTGACTAATACCCTTAGTCTTTCTCCTGTGCCATCATCATGTAGCAGGCAGTTGCTCGGTTTTAGGTCACGGTGAATGTAGCCGTTAATGTGGAGATGGTTCAGACCCGAAGTTATGTCTTTGAAGAACGAGTAGATTTCCTCGAGCGGGAGCTTTCGACCAGACAAATCCTGAGGCGGTTCGGGTTGGTTTTTCGAGCGGCGTCTAACGCGTTCCTTGAGATGATGAGGGGAGGTTGCTCTCTTGGCCGAATTCAACACATAGCCGTGGAGGTCTCCAGCGTTGCAATATTGCTGTAAGATGAAAGCGCATGGCACGCTCGGCCCGAAGTTCGACAGCTTCACGTCTTCCAGCCACACGTGATGGTATCGCACCAGATGCTTGTGCTCAAGCTGTTGAAGAAGCTGGACTTCGATGAGCACATTTTTGAGCCATTCTCGGTCATCTCCCACAGGCACCCTCTTGCAAGCGAAGTGCCCTATTTCGTTTCCATCTAAGAGATGTGTGACCAGCAACACGACTCCTTTCCCTCCTTTTCCAAGCTCTTTTTCCACCACGTAACATCTCTGAAAGTACCCTGGACTGAAGGCGGTTTCCGAGATACCAGGCGGAGCGGCTGGGGAAGCCGGTGGGCTATCCACATACGCGCGCTGGTCGGGGGATCTCGGGGAACTATTCTGAGGTCTCACCGGCTCTACCAGTCTTCTCCGTGGAGAAGGCGGGGCTGTGGAGTTTGGCGATCCGTAAAGGCTCTGATGTAGCCGAAAGTAATCTCGATGAACGAAGCCCCCAGTTTGACTTGGTTCCGGACCACCATGCTCTTGACTACCCGTACTTCGCTCTCCTCGCAACGGCTGGCGGCATGTAGGGCATAATGTTAGGTCGAGCTGGCCATGGGAGGCGTCGCGGAGGACTAGACGTTCTGATTGGGGTTCATAGACAACGACGGCATTGTTGTGACGACTGAGGAAGAATGAGTAGATTGCACAGCGACAGAGAAGATATCAGACTCACAGGACAACTTCTCGGCTGGTCGGTTGCTGATACGGTACGACCGATAAGACCCTCGAGTCCATTCGATCGATAGAAGGCATGGTCAATGAGGCATTGCGGAGCAACGTCCGGCTTCACTGATCACAGCAGTCATGGCGGAGTGTTAAACCCGTGGCTGTGCATATAAGCCTGCGCAGTCGTTAGACACATCGCGAGGAGATGCGTCGAAGATGGGCGAATGTATGGCGATTCATGTGCTCGTAGAAAATGTGGAGTTGGAATTGCTTGGCTACTGAGGTCAAGTCACGTGCCCATCATCTAAAAAAGCTTCTCTTCTAGATTCATAAGTGTTTCACTTGTGATTCGCGGCTCAATATATTGGTAACTAGGTCTGAATCAGGTCACTCCCTGAGGATGATGACGAGTTCTTGACCAATGACTGCGGACCTCCCTCCCTCAATCCTTGACACCACGCCCTAGACCGATTTGGCACCGTTACACAACCCCCAGCGACAAACTCCCTGTTGACGAAGAAATCGAAAGTCATTTCTACATAACGTCCCCAATGAACAGCGTGTCGTGCAATACCCTCTAGGATCGCTACTAGTTGAAACCCCTCCAGTGAAACACTCGACTCTGAATTATGCATGACAAAGATCCATGATGAATCAGTGGAAGTCGCCTGGCTGACATTCTCGATTTGGTCGTCATTGTCTAGCTGCGCTAGTGTCATCATGAATTCCAGTATCGCCGAGAAGATGGCGGTTTTCGGGACCCGGTTCTTACGAAAGTCGAACTCGATTCGATATTCGACATCATTTGACCCTGTCATGGCAAGGAGAGTGGTGGAAGAGTTCGTTGCGTTCAGTGATTGAGTGCTCAGCGCCCGCCTTTCTTGTGCCAATGTTTCGCTGGGGTCGGCCCAAGAGTTGCTGGATTGCTCTAGCGAAGGTACATCGTTCTTGTTGTCGAATACACCAACATAAAGAAGCTGGCCGCGATACGACTCGGTAAATCTTGCCCCATACAGAATCTCTTGGGTCATGAGATCGATGGCAAGGGTCTTGATCGCATACACAAGATTGCAACGGACCTGCACATTTCGAAGTCAGAATGTTTTTTTTGGAGTAAAAGAGCTAGGCTACAAAACAAATTGAGGGACTGAAACCGGCCTACTGCTCGCGAGACGTGTCTTGTGGCTCAATACCAAGGGTTTCAACCAGGAAGGACTTGCTCCGAAAGTGCACTTACGAGCTGCCCTTCAGGACCACCTGCTGCAGCATTGATTTGGATACGTATCGGGTCGTCCGCATACTCCGTATCAGTGAAAGTATAGCTGGCTATGTACTGATCGCAGTCTTTGATCGCTTCACGCTTGACTGCGTTTATGAAACCAAGGGCAACTTGATCTATGGTGAAGCCCTCCGACCTAATTGAGAAGTAATCGAGGGACAAGTCTGCAAATCGATTGTTGAGATTCGTCACGTTCCTTATAGACAGAATGGTTAGTCCACGGATGTTTCATCCAAGAACCCAGAGACTCTCTTGGTCTTCACTGCCTGCTTATTTGGAGGGAGATTTACGTAATACCTGGTGCTACCGAAGCCCTAGCAGCGAGTTCTTCGTTATATTGTGGAGTAACGTCAGCGTTGCTGGTGACGGCAAACGCTCTCAATACGAAAATCCAAAGAAAATGGCTATAGGATAGGAAAGGCATGGTCACGAAAGGAAGAGGTTCAAATCCGGAGGTTGAAGATCACAAGGGAACTGGCTGACAGAATGGCGGCATGGAGGCAGTCTGAGATATGGAGCCGCAAGAAATCAGACATTGCGTGCCCCAACATTATGATCTATCCACACAATAGAGCACAAAGCGAAACGTGTCGCATAAGACTCAGCGCCGAGGACGCTTGTCGCTTACAAAAAGTGCGGCTCTTGACCTGAAGTGCCCTTGACTATCCTCAGAGCAGCTCCGCATATGAGCGTGGAGAAGGCTGAGAAGAAGGGGACTCGCAAATCGCATGGTCAAAGGTGGAGAAGTCTGTGCGATTGCTTAGAATACAATTTCGTCGACAAATGAAATTGGATCTTTACTCATCGGAAGAGTCAGTCCACCTCCTCGAATCGGCCTTCCTGCAAGGCTTGCTCCACTGGATTCAAGACGTTAACAACCCCCGTAGCTTTCAGCTTCTCAAACAGTACGAATAGCCTTTCTGCTTCTCTTTCCTTTTCCTCGTCAGTCATCTCTGGCCCAAAATCCTGAGGCTCCATGTCGCGCCTCTGGCCAGTGATAGGGTTAATTTCTTTACCATCTACAGTAGTTAGTTTTCCCTCTAGATCGTCGCTTCCGTCTTCACCCTTGTGTACAGTGTCTGGTACAGGCAGATCATGCGTCATCAAGAATCCGGCAGCGAAACCGTAACCCACGTTTCGCACAAATGATGTTGCGTCTTTGTTAGATATTTCGAAGAGGAGGCTTGAAATGCCTTCGCGAACATTTGGTGCTACTGCCGAGGTAGACAGCCGAAGCAAGCACGAAGCCAATGTGTCTGAATTCCCTAAAGGCTGAGCGCGTTCTTCGTTTGAAGGGAGGAGAGTCGATCGCATATGCGTCTTGACAGAGAAAGGTGCTAGGTCGTAGGTGCGGCGTAGGAGAGTGATGAGAGGAATGACAGTGGTTTCTAGGAGTTCTTCTCTGATGGTGCGGATGGCGGTGTCGAGAATTGTTACAAGCCGGCTGACATTGGTGTTTGGATCAAGATCAGGGAAGAACGAAGATGTTTTATCATTTGGAGCGTTTTCAGATTCCTTGCCTTGGAGGTCAAGATTGAGGAGGGTATTAATTAGTTGGGTTACTGGCGATTGCAGAACAGGTGTCTGGAGTTGAATGTTTTTGAGGATCGCCAAAATTGGGGAAACTGTACGGTCAAAGGCGGAGATTCGGTGGGGATAGAAAGAGGTCAGATTAAACAATAGTTTGAGGGTCTCCGTCAGTGGGGCCCAGCCGGAGAGAGATCGAGAGTTGCTTGCTGGACTTCTGTCGAATTGCTCGGCCTCATAACTGATATTCTGTGTGTCGTAAGCGGCAAAATACCTGGTGACCTGGGCGGAGCGCAAGCAGCTTACCTCGTGTATTTTCTCGGCCAAAGGGAAGTCGTCGAAGAGACTGTCAAAGTTGTAGGTGGTGTCATACGTCAACAGGAAAAGGATCCGAGAACACAAGAGTTCGTGCTCTTGACTATCCTAACGCGGGACTCAGCAGGGAGTGTTTGCTCATGATAGTTAGAAATGTACGCTTAGTTTTCTTGCTACCTTGATAGCGTTTCCCTCTTGCACAAATGTCTGACGTGTCTTGCTCTCCAGCAAGAGAATGTTGGCAATACACCTCAAGGCCACCCGAGATGTTCCATCTTTAGGTTCCGAATCTTCGAATGCGTAAAAGCACAAAGTCTGGACTCCCTAACAAACGATCGGTTAGAGGGTATACGTCTCAAGTAGATCGAAACATTAATTACCTTCTGAGCGAAAAGCGCAGCATCTTCCGCTGAAGTGATGTTTGACTTAAGGAGCTCCAATTTCTTGAGTTTCTCTAGAAGTGCATTCTTAGGCTTTCATGCCATGGCCATTACCAAGGCTTAGCTTCTTACCTTTCTGAGGTAGACACTGTTCCTCTATATCGACCTCGAGGATACTTAGGAGCCTTGCAATTTCGTCTCTCTTGGCTTCAATTTCGCATTCTAGTTAGACATTCCCTGTTACACTTCCCCTAACTTCCCGTAAGTATTATGCTTACCTATGCCGTTAAGTTGCAGTCCTGTTCCCATGTTGCTTCCAAAATTGGTGGGGTTGAGTCCATAAGACGGATGTTCAATGGCGAGAAGGGCGTGGGGGTTGATCTTTGACTCGAGTAGTGCCCGAGGTTTATCCGACATGACTCGTAAATTATTCTTGACGTGCACGCGTTTTTCGTGTTTGGCGTAGGTGAGTATGAGCAGGCGCCGCCCAGTACTGATCATTCTTCATGTAAATGTTATGCTTTGCAGGGCAACGACTCAAGGAGCTGCTACTTGGGTGTGAGCAAGGTTCAATGGAAAATTGCATGAATCAGATCAATCATGGCGGGCTTCGCTCCAGGACTGGCTCCAATAGCTGCACGCCCTCCTACACCACCTAAGGAGAACACTGCCAAAGCCTCGCCCACTCATGGCTTCGGGACCACTTCAACGGGGTATGTTCTTCTTGACACGCCCGATGAATCACCTACTTCCTCCGCAGAATACTTCAAAGACTCCACAGGGAAAGCCCAGAAGAAAGTAGGATTTACACTGTTAGGCACGCAATATCACAGATTTTCTGTTGACGGTCCGGAGTCCGACTCAGACGGTCAGATACGACAACTCCCACGGTCCAAGGACTGCAAATCTTCCAAATCAATTCTGAAAGCCTGCACGGACAACGCCGGAGACCCTTCGAGCAATGAACCGCTCGCTTTCGACAATACCAACCTCCCAGCCATGCTTCGCTCTACCACCCAGCACTTGGCGTCTGCCTCACATTCCTCTCGACTTGATGCCTATTCAACTCTACTGGCGTGTTTGAGTGTCTACGATGAGGTTCCAGAGGAACAAGAATTGGCTGAAAAGGTGGCTGAAATCACTGGATACATCCGGCGGGATGTCACGGCCAAGAACGAAGAAGATGGAAGTCTGGATCTACAACTCACCTATCCAGCTCTCAAGTTGATTATCATCTTCCTCTGCACACCCAGTATGGCAGCCATGTTTCCCGAGGACTTCTGCTCGTTCATCCTGGACCGATCAATCTCGAGCCTTGAGGACGAAGCGTCCCCGAAGACACTAGTCTCTCACTACATGCATTTGCTCGAGAAGCAGAAGTTTGCATCCAAGTATATGACCATCGACCGAGTTAATAGGCTTATTTCGGCTCTGGACGTTGTGAATGCTCGGGTAAAGGGCAATCGTATTCTTGGACATCGACTGATGATCTACCAACGATTGCTTGGCCAGGTCAAACCATTGATGATTTCCCGCGTAGGAAGTTGGATCAACCACCTTGTCTCTGGTCTTCTGAGCACAATCAAGGATATTCGTGCTCGAGCAATCGCATTTGGCGTGGACGCCGGTCTGCAGCTTGGAACAACAAGTGCAGTGTCACAAGCCTGCCTCGAGGTACTCAACAGGGCATCTGCAGATGGCAGGAAAGTGGTGGACTTCCTATCCTCCCGTCTCATCGAAATGGCGAATGCGAAGGAAGACGGGATCCATGTACCCCAGATCTGGAGCGTTGTGATTCTGTTTCTTCGCAGTCGCCGGCGCCAGCTCGAAAGTTGGGAACATCTCAAAGCTTGGCTGGTAGTCATACAACGGTGTTTCAATTCTAGCGATGGACAGACCAAGCTACAGGCTAATAGTGCTTGGAATCGCCTCATCTTTGCCACCAGTCTGGACACATCGACCTCAACTTCTATGGCTAAGATGCTCCGGCAACCCATTGTCTCTCAATTGGAGCGAAAATCCAGCGACAAGAACTCCAAGCAGGCAAAGCAAGTCGCTCGCTCATCCTACTGCACGCTTTTATACTATGCTTTACGACCGACCGCAACACATGCTCAGCTGGATCAATACTGGGATCTTTACGTCTCTCAAATCCTGCCAAGCTGCTTCATCGCCAGCAAAAACGATATTAATCACGCTTGCGATGTACTGTCCTCACTTTGCTCAGGGAACGGGAAGCCAAAGATATGGGACGAGAACAGGGCAAATTATGGACACATCAACCCGGAAGATCTACCATGTCTCGATCCAAAATGGATCCGGCTGAGGACGGCCAGAGTATTGCAGGTCTTTGACAGATTGTTCGATCATGCTGACTGGCAACTGTCCCAGGATGGAGACGCACCTATAATACTAGCTTGGCGGAGTTTCACCTTTGCCTTGGGTGATGCCGGTAGGAAGGAAGTCAAAGTATCAATGGATGCTATGAATGCTGTTGCACAAATTGTCAACGAAATCAAGCTTCTATTGGAGCGAAGCAACTCCAAGCTCGCTAGGGAGCGAAATACTCTACCAATAGACATCGCAAGCAAAGCAGACCAGTCCGAGACATTTGAGAAGATCAAGATACTCATTAACGAAGCAGTAGCTAAGATTGGAAGTATACCTTTCTTGGAGCGGCGTTTGGTCCGAACCTCGCAGGATTCCTATGAAGCAGCTGAAACTCCTTCGAGCCGCTCCAGTAGAGATTCTGGTTCTCTCAATTCACCGGTAACGCACCTCTTGAACTTACTGCTCAGAAATGTGCAACATGTGCCTATTGCAACAAGCTACATTGACACTCTCAAAGCCGTACTAAATATCTCACTACAAGCAGCAGCGTCTAGAGGGACACAGCTTGGCATACTTCGCAGCTTTGGTCGTCTGATAACACTAGACGGGGTTCATCAGAAGGAAGCCGACGTCACGTTCTGGAGGCTTCTTGCAGAAGGCACCTCCTTGGCGCTGAAGCAGCCTCAGCAGAACGAACTCCACAATAACAGCCCTCAATATCCCGGTCATGAGTTCAGGGAGGCCGTCAAGATCTTAGAGCTTGGTATTCAGCTCCGTTGCAATTGTAGTGGATCTACGTGGCCTAAATTATATACACACATTATCGACGCGTTGCGAAAGGATGTTGGTGATGAGGCCATTGGCATCGTCATAATTGAACCGTTGGCGGGATTTATCAGCAGAGATGACAAGATATGTGACGAGTCCGTCTTCGCCGCTGCTACGTTGATGCTAGAGGCAGTACACTGGCCACCGTCTCCACACTTGATGGAACGTGCTCAGCACCGGCTTTGGGGAGTGACCCATGTAGTCCCTAAGATCACCTCCCAGGATCCATTCGAAAAACTGTACTCTATGGTAGGTGTTTTACTCAGCAATTCTTACGCCTCTCTAGAAACGCTGCCATCGGCCACAGTTATCAAATTCATATCAGCTACAGCCAAGATGATAGCTTCATGTCCGCCAAAGCTCACAGGCGTGGTCCTCTTTCGCATACAACAGGGACTGGCTCCCTGGATCGAGGATGCGACCGGCATTCTAAGCCTGAGCCCATCGTCCCCATTCAGGACCCTCTATTCTGAAGTAGGTGCTCCACCAAAACTGAATTCTGCACCGCTGACATGCTTCGCTCCAGGTCAACAAGTTGTGGACAAATGTGGTGAAATCGATTGAGCATTCCGTCGTCTTTGATACTAGATTTTTGTTCAGCATTCAGGAACTTGTGGTCGCCGGCTTTAGGAGCCGACATAAAGCAGTCGTTAATGAAGCCATAGTCATGTGGAACAGCACCTTTGGTGGTGAAGGTACTCTGGAGTATCCCGAAGAATTAAGACACATACTGCGAAAGCTCAGGCCTATTACTGAGCTTCGACTACCTAATTTTCCGGAATTGGATGGCGAGGAGGTAAGTGGACTTTGCTTGGCTGCTTTCAATGCGAGAGCTGACGTTCCCAGGACTTGTATTCGCCTTTGCATTTCGTCGACTCCCAAGATGAAGAGGAAATTCAACTGGAGCCTGTCGTATCCCCTACTCGACTTCCACCGTCAATAAGTTCATTGCAACGCATTTCAGATACTATCAAAGGCGTGCCGCTCAGTCCGGAAACCAGAATAGCTGCTGGGTTTCAAGCTTTACCATCTCCAGCACGACAGGCAGTCAAGACTACTCCAAAGGCATGCTTACGACACGATGATTCCCAAATTCAGTTCGCTGCCATCGAATCATCACCTCTGCTTCCTGAAACGGTTGAGTCACAATATCTGACAGATCGCCAGAAAGAGGTCAAAGAGCGCCAAGGCCGCGAAGCAGCTGCAATGTTCCCAGAGATCAGATCGAGCCCGCGAAGCATTTCCCGACCTACAGATCTAATGCTACCAAAGCTCCTTTTCAAGTCTACCCAGAATCCAGCTCCAGGCTCTGCCATAGATGAGGACACTAGTCCAACCTACCCCCCAGATGCTTCGATGAATGAGTTCCTTGGGTCTTCGCCTACACCCAATTCGAAGAAGTCGAGCGATCGGCGCTCTGATGACGACCGACCGTCTGCACCTCCTTTCATCTCACCCCATTTGCAAATCAATCAATTGGCTGATACACCGCTGGCACATGAAGACCATGCTCTGGTGCAGCTGGATGCGAATGCAGAGGAAGATCCCGGCAACCGCCTCCCTGACGAAAGGCTGCCACGTGCGACAGACTACTCATCTAACGGCGAATCTATTAGCGCTGTTGTGGACGCCTCAATTCCAGTCAATGATCAAGAAGATGGCTCAGACTTGAAGGCACCGCAAGTACCTGTTGATGCCGATCTCAGGTCCGACTTTGGCATCGATGTCGATGTTGCCTCGGTGCCATCACGGAACAAACAAACTACTGAGCAAAATGACAACCCGCCCAACGATATTTCGAGTTCATTCCAGAGCGAAGCTTCGTCGCATCTCTCTGTCGAGGACGACCAGGTCACTGCTCAACTTTTTACGGAGATGGAACGTGCTTCACAACAATCAGCAAAGCCGGACGAAAAGGAGCCATTAGCATGGGGAGCGACCAAGAAGAGGAAATGCAATGCCGACTCACCCAGTGCGAACAAGAAGACAAAACGTTCGCTAGCTTCCTCGGATTCTCGGGCGGCCGCTGAAATCCCAAGGCCCGGTGAGACGGTGGCTGACTGCGTCATGATCGAAGTGCGCGAAGCCGATCGCTTGCATTCAGTCCTTCCTCGACAGATCAAGAGGGAGCTGTCCGCACCGCCATCTATCTCTACGAGCACTGAAGGGGTAGAACAGACACCTATAGCGCAACAGATACCTGCGGACTGTCTCAGAAACTCGGAAGCAAGCCAGTTGTCAAGCCAAGAACAGGATACGCCAACGACGGCCAAAAAATCTATCGGTCGCCCGCGAGGGTCGCGTAACAGCCAGTTCAAACTGGAGGAGGCTGACAAGGACCAAGCTAGCGCTCTGCGCAAGAGTATGCGAGTATCAGATCGCCTGAGTGGATCCACTACGAACAGTCCTCACACGTCTCCTGCAGCCTCACCAGATTCTAGCAAAGGAGGGCAGTGGCTTGCCTTAGGGAAGACCCCGCGAAGAGGCATGTTCAGGTGGCTGCAACGCAGCAGCGCGGAATCAGAAGACATCGGAACGCGTCCAGATCCGACGCCCACGGCTTCTTCGGCCAATGAGGGCAATGTTGAGGCAATCAACGAACAATCCAGAGTGCAGGAACTCCAACGCCGTGACTCGTTATCAGCAGATCATCAACCAGAGAATAGAATTACAACGCACAACGAGGACCGCGAGTTTGGGGTCAACCGGCGTGATAGTGAGGCCCAACGTGAGGCAAGCGGCGTCGTTGAAACAGAAGGAGAAAGCCCAACTGCACAGAGACTCCTTCAAAAATTCCAAAGCATGCTGGACAACATCAAACGAGTTACATTTGGACCTGAGGAAGAGAGAGCAATGGTTGGGATTCTGTTCGAGTCTGTAAAGGAAGTCCACGAGGCAGGTCGTCGTCACATATCTATGTAACATATCGTGTACTTGAGACAGCGTGCACTCCTTGCATTTGCCATGTCTCATCCTGGCTGTTTCAAAGCATCCTTCAGCGGGGCGTTGGAAGACTTGAAGGACCACTTCATTCCTTGGACGGACTTGCTCTTTGCCACTGGTAGCTATGGCCGAATATTTAATTACACAGGCTTCTGCTTACTTGAGGTGTAACTCATGAGTGACATTAGCAAGAAGATACATAATATCTTGGTCAAAATAGCAAAGTGGAGGGAAGCCCTAATTCAACCCCTGCATAAGCGAGAGGAAGAAAGTGTTTCAAGTTCTCGCGTACATCCCACTCGAAGATCCGATGGTGGCAGGGGCAACGGTGCGACCCCATTCCCGGCCTTCACTTCCTTGCAAAAGCTTCTATTAGTGGGAATCTCTTCCTACATCTACATCATCATCATCATCATCAAAAAGCTTCTACGAGCTTCCATCTACTTTCCTCTCTATTCTTTCAGACCAACAACTTCTTCTACACGCAAGCACCCTTCAACCTCATCAAATATCATGGAACGCTCTAAGAAACCCTCCGCTATCCCAGTCTCTCCCACAATACCTACCCCGCAGGTCTCCATCTCAGAAGACAACTCTAGGGTCACTGCAAGCTTGCCCACCGGCGAGTCTGTCGAGGTCCTCCTCTTTGGCGCTACTGTCCTCTCGTGGAAGACGGCAAAGGGCAAGGAGAACTTGTTCGTCAGCTCCAAAGCCCACCTTGATGGCTCAAAAGCTGTGAGGGGTGGTATTCCTCTGGTCTTTCCTGTAAGCATGCCCATGACTTCGATTCCCACTCACGACTTGCGACTGCAAAAACATCGTGGGTTAGTGTTACCTTGCGCGACAATTTGCTGACCGCCTCATCCAGAACTTCGGTCCATCTTCCAATAAAGCAACTGAGGGTCTCCCTCAACATGGCTTTGCTCGCACAAGCAAATGGGAATACCTTGGAAAATCTTCTTCTGAGTCCTCAACACTTCCCAACAGCAGCGGAGACTCCTCAGTGAAACTGGACTTTGGTCTTTCGAATACCATGTTGGACAAGATCCCGTCGGAGTGGAAGGACTACCAATTCGGTATCACCTATTCTGTAACATTGGGCAGGGATGATCTGGAGACCAGTCTTGCGATAAGAAACACCGGAGAGAAAGACTTCGAGTTTCAGACGCTGTTACATAGCTATTGGGCAATTGATGTAAGTCTCTTGGACTAAGGATGCGATGGAAAAGACGGCGAGAACGAAGCATCTCAACAGCAGGCTGACCGCGAGTACCACATAGAACATCTCGAATGTTTCAGTCTCCGGGCTCGAAAAGGTCTCCTTCGCAGACAAAGTAGGCGGCGGAAAAAAGGAAGAGTCAGGAGCCATCACTGTCTCTTCTGAGGTCGATCGCGTCTACCACGTGGACCCATCTCAAGAGATCGCCATCATTGAGAAGGATAAGCCTCGGTTCGAGTTCACCCGGGATATGTTGCCTGATGTTGTAGTGTGGAACCCATGGATCGAAAAATCGAAGACGATGTCGGACTTGGCGCCTGAGGATGCATACAAGAGATTCATATGTGTGGAGACTGGAAGTGTCAGCTGGAACACCCTGGAGGCAGGAGACACTTGGGAGGGCGGGCAGAGGATCAAGGCTCTTTGAAGGAGGCGCTTTTCCGACCGATTTGACGACTTGACGATTCAGCGTGACGATGCATTGGAAGGATCAGGGCGCCATAGAATGACAAAAGGACGGTATGGGTCAGGAAGAGTACGGATCTTTTGGACCACGGGTTGACCTCAGCGTTGGCATTGATATGACTTCAAAGGTCGAAAAATCCATCGAGACACCGATGAAAAAAAGCTAGCTCTTCAAGATTATTCTGTTGTCTTTGATGCAATATCTGTGGGCTGACGTGACCGGTGTGCGTTGGTCGCTGCTAGACTAACGGCTACTAATGATTGCTCGATGTCTGATAGTACAATGTTAATGCTTTTAGCAAGGGTGCCGATAACGGCTATGACGGACTGTTAAAGCACAGTGGAGTCACGAGGGGAGAGAGACTGTCTGCCCACAACAGAGATGATTCCTCTCATGCCGTCCATACAAGTATTTCATGCAAATCTGCTTTCTATTGTACCTTCATCCAATATCCCTCCTGATAACCCCCCCCGCCCCCGCCAAGCATCTCACGCCAAGCCTTCCCGATAAGATAAGCCGTAACAACGTTTATGCGGTCAAGCTCATTGGAAAATGAAATCTCGAATTTGGATACCTCAATAAACGAGGATGTAGCAAGAGCTGGACTATTTGAACATCCCAATGCATCAGATAGTATCAGGTTACGAGACTTCGCCCACGACTCGACATCTCAGCAGCAGCATCATGTTGTTCAACACGTCACGCACGACGTCGACGAAGAAGATGTCCCCATAGCGCAAGAGGAGGGGAAACCTCAGCGTCCAACCATACTTCCTCGTCCATCGAGTATAGCCCGCCATGCCTCCTTCCTCGATGAAGACGAAGCCCCACCTACTTCTCCATCTCCATCTCACACACCCACCAAACAAGACAAACCCGGCCCCGTAGCCTGGCGCGATCTTCCCAAAAAGTCCCAACTCGCAATCCTAACCCTCGCCCGCCTCTCCGAACCCCTGACACAGACATCCCTTCAAGCTTATATGTTCTACCAGCTCAAATCCTTCAATCCGTCCCTCCCTCCCTCCACAATCTCGGCCCAAGCGGGTATGCTGCAGGGCAGCTTTACCGCCGCGCAGTTCGTGACTGCTATACTGTGGGGAAGGATGGCAGATGCGGAGTGGGGTGGTAGAAAACGGGTGCTGTTGATTGGATTGGCGGGGACAGCGGTCAGTTGTGTAGGGTTCGGGTTTAGCAGGACGTTTTGGCAGGCGATGGTTTGCAGAACGTTGGGGGGCGCGTTGAATGGGAATGTGGGGGTTATGAGAACGATGATTAGTGAGATTATAAAGGAAAAGAGGTTCCAGTCGAGGGCCTTTCTGTTGCTGCCGATGTGTTTTAATATTGGTACGTTTGGTGGAACGCTGTTTACGTTTGCCACTGACATTGGGAATAGGAGTCATTATTGGACCAATCTTGGGTGGATTGCTTTCAGATCCTGTGAGGAGTTATCCGAGTGTCTTTGGGGGCGAGTCACTGTTTGGAGGGGAGAATGGGGTTTTTTGGCTGGAGCATTGGCCTTATGCTCTTCCGAATCTGATGAGTGCGGTCTTTCTGTTCATTTCTGCCATGGGAGTCGTGTTCGGGCTTGAAGAGGTATGCTACCGACGACAAGTGGTCACCAGCTCGAAACTTACAAAACTTGCAGACACTCGAAGCCATACGAGACCAACCAGACCTGGGTCTCCGCCTCGGTCACTCCATCGTCAACGCCTTCCGTTACCTTTTTTGCCAAAACACTCACCGTTATACCGCCATCAATGCTGACGATGACCTGGGCTCCCCAATGGATGGCTCTCGGCTTGACTCGTACGAACTCGAATCGCGCCTCCCCAAATCACCTACCCAGAAACCGAAGCCAAGACTTAAACTGCCATTGTCCCGCATCTGGACCCGCAACGTCCTCTGCACCCTTCTCTGCCACTCGATTCTAGCTCTCCACATCGGTACCTTCAACAATCTCTGGTTCATACATCTCTCGGCGCCCCGCTTCGATCCGGAGAGCCCATCTCCACCTTCTCACACACGGCAATCCCTGCCTTTTGGCTTCACGGGCGGACTAGGGATGCCTCCTCGCAGCGTCGGATTCGCCATGGCTGTCCTTGGCGTCATTGGAATAAGCCTACAGCTTCTTGTCTACCCGGCTGTAAACGCAAGACTCGGAACCCTGAGAAGCTTTCGCTATAGTCTTTGCCTCTTCCCACTCACCTACACTTTGACGCCATACCTCTCCATCATCCACTCCTCCCTTGCTCCACCGAATCAGGCCTCCGGTATCCTGGTCTGGCTCGCGTTAAGCTGCGTCTTGTTGGTCCAAGTCGTCGGCCGCACATTCGCCCTACCCGCTACCATCATCCTTATCAACAACTGCTCCCCACACCCAAGTGTGCTGGGTACCATTCACGGTATTGCGCAGAGCGTCAGTAGTGCGAGTAGGACGGTAGGGCCAATCTTGGGGGGGTGGGGTTATGGGAAGGGATTGCAGGTGGGAGTTGTTGGGGCCGTTTGGTGGGCGTTGGCTGTCGTCGCGGGGGTGGGTTGGCTTTTGAGTGGCCTGGTCCGGGAAGGGGATGGGCATGAGATCTGGTTGGATGGGGAGAAGGAGGAGGAAGGGGGCAATGAAGTGGTTCGATGATACCATTTCAGAATGGCTACCACCGGTATTGACGAGCTGCATGATCTACGCGCGTGACGATTGGATTTTACTAGTAACTACATGTAGAAGCGGAAACATCTCCCTATTTAGCGTCTTTCAATACTTTCAAAATATCAAAGAATCGATTTTCTCCAACAGTATTTATTGTACGAACGAATTGTGGAGGGTGAAACGAAGAGCCAAATCTTGAAACGCCCGCGCAAGGGGGGGGAAGGACATGGCATCAGAGAGCCCACCTGGAGGAACCTCGTCGATATTGGAAGCGTGCACGGTGTGACAAGGGCAGGTTGAAACATCTCGCGAGAGAAGGTCTGCCTGTCATAGTCTGCCCGGAGGGCATGGGTGCATCATGTTCCCGGGATCATGGTAGAAATATACACAGGACGAACAACGCGCCCTGAGAATCACCGAGGTTCGCTCTCGGGCGTTGTGGAAAAGGGGTTGTCAGGAGGTGGTACGTGTATCATGTGTGTTTTATGAAAGGGTATTGGCGACAACGCTATGGAACGCTTACTCCGAAACGACTGCGATGCGTAAGGATAACATGCTTGGGCCTGCCGCCGACGTCTGTTTCCTAAGCCGGCCCTCTTCCCAATCTCGCAGCTTTGAACCTACTCATCTTCTTCGGCCCGCCCTCGGCCTCCGTGAGTGGGACTTCTGCGCCATCTTCGGGCGCCGTGAAGCCGCCCTGGCGCTGTATCATGCGGTTGCGCATCTTGTGGTATTCGGTTTTGACTTCCTGTTGGAGCAAGGCTGGGTCGAACTCGTCGGGTTCGGCGGGCGTGGTGGAGGTGGCTGAGTAAGGCCGCTCGATGACTGTGTTGGCGTGGATGGGTTTGGGTTGGGTGGGAGACTGGGATGCTGTGGGTGATGGAGCGTTAGCGGGTGGAGGCGGGCTGGATTGGATGTCGAGCTCTTCGGCGAAGCGGACGCCTTTGCTGGCAGGAGGCTTCAGTGCTTTGTTGACACCGTTGCTTGTGGATTGTGTTGGCCGTTGCTCTACTTTCTCCTGACCGCTTGCCAATGTTGAGGCCTCTAGTGGTGCATTTGGACCAACATTTTGGATAGCTTTCGCACCTAATCGCTGCTCCAATGCGCGCATCTCGGCCAGATAGTCATCACTGAGCACGCGCCGCTTGGTCCTCCCGAACTTATCTTCATCTTCATCGAGGCTGCTATCGTCAGGGATTTCTTCGCTACCAGTGTCAGAATAGGAGGCATTGCTAGCCTCATCATCAATATTAATTTCTGCTACTATGTTGTTGACTTCTGACATGCTGTACTGTATCATCTGCCGGCGGAGAGCCGCATCTTCTGAGGACTCGTTCACGGGAATGACTGGTTGTCGGCGGGGCGCCTCATCTTCCGGGAATCCGTCCACTGGGATGACTCGGTCGACGGACTTCACAGTTGGAATCTTGGTCTTACTTTTGTGCTCAAGCAAGCTCTCTGTCTTGGTGTCTGCAGTGAAGCTGACACTTTTCCTGGGATTGCGAGTTTTTCCCCCTTCACTTGCTTTAACATCCGAGGAATCGGACCCTTTAGCTCCCCTGAAGTTTGGACTGAGTTCCGCGGAGTCTGCCTTGGGTTTACTGTCCGAAAGCGCTTGCTGGGTGTTTTCTGGATTTTGTACGGAGTGGCCTTCTTCCTCTGCGTTTGATGGAAGATCCTTCACACCGGCTTTGCGGAGGCTTTCTAGGAGTTGAGGTGCTGCCTGACCGGGCTCAGATATAGAAGAAGCTGGGAGAACCATCAGCTAGAAGACAGATGACTAGCAATCGAGGATTTACATGTGACATTGCCTTCCTCATCTAATTCCTCGTGAATCTCCGTCAGAGGCAGACCTTCTTCATTCCGGACTTCGGGTTGGCTTAGGACTTGTGTAGCTGCATACTTCTCTTGTGCTGTGTTCAAAAGCGAGGAAATGGTTCTGATGTTCTGTTGTACATCTGACTCCAATAAGAATGCAACCAGGGAAAGAAAGGATGGTCGTCCATCTTACAGTCGATACGCCTGGAGAGCAGCCCAATCACTTGCTGGCTTTCCCGAACATTGCCTCTGTCATCAAGCAGAAGCAGCTTTCTCTCTGCTGCGCATTAGTCTGAGAACCCTTGGTTGCTGCGATGTGTTTGCCCACCTTTCGGTGTCAGTAATTCATTCTGAGCATCACCAATGTTTTCCTACATTCTAGTGAGATAGTTTTTTCCCACCCTAGGGAGAGTGGTTCCATGTACCAGATCAGAGCATGAATGAACCTCGCCAAGCTCCAGTATTTCTTCTTTCATACCCTCATACTCGATCTCCCATGTCTGCCAGTGGCGGAGGGAGGCCTGAAGCTTTGCAATGTTTTGTTCTAGCTGAAGGCGATACTTCTCTAGATCGGCTAAGCTGTCTCTTATCTTCATGCTGTTTTCTGCCATATTTACAATATGTAAAGGTGAATATAACCGTCGATGAGATATAGGCTCCAGGTGCGGAACAATTTCCGCTGCCAAGATTTGTCAGCCTTACAGTCAATACAAAGCCATTGACGGTGACTTAACTCCTGTCGTTCACAGTCTCAGTCACAAAGTATGTCGCGAGCACCCGCCCGCAATGGAGCTGCTCCACGTCGCCCAGGAGATGAAGATGGTGAGAAGTCTCCAACCGACTGTTTCTACACTTAAACAATCGCTGACAAGAACACACCCCCAGACATCTGCCCTGTCTGCAAATCCTCCCGCTACCTCAACCCATCCATGCGCTTCCTCGTGAACCCCGAATGCTACCACAAGATGTGCGAATCCTGCGTCGACCGAATCTTCTCCCACGGCCCCGCCCCCTGCCCCGTCGCCGGCTGCGCCCGCACTTTACGCAAAGCCCGTTTCCGCAGGCAAACCTTCGAGGATCTGCACATTGAGCGCGAAGTCGACATAAGGAGAAGGGTGGCATGGGGGTGTTCAACAAGCGGGAAGAAGAGTTTGAGAGCCTGAGAGACTGGAACAATTATCTGGAGGAGGTGGAGAACCTGACGTGGAATCTGCTGCAGGGGGTTGACGTGAAGGAGACGGAGAAGAAGCTGGATGCGTACAAGAGGCAGAACGAGCAAGAGATCAAGCAAAACGCCGCGATCGAGTCGCAGGAAAACGCAAACACGGAGGCCCAGTTCGCCGCGCAGAGGGAACAAGCGCGTCTTCGGCGCGAGGCGGCTCGGAACGAAGAGCTGGACGAGCGCAGGGAGAAGGAAGAGGGCAGGAGGGAGATGGTCGATATGATGGCGAGGGGCGACGGGGATGCAGATACCATTGCCCGCGAAACCCAAAAGGTCGTCCTCAAGAAATCCACGGCACGTCGAACGGCCGCCGAAAGGTCCCGCCAACAAGCCGCCGCCAAAGTCGACAATGGCGCCGCCGGCCCCTCTCTTCTCGATCCAAGGGCTCAAACGCGTCGTCCAACCCGCGCCAGAGAAACAATACGATCCCTTCGGCGGGTATGTGATCAAGCCTGAGTATTATTATCTGCGGGACCATTATGAGCATTCGTGGTTGGACAACGCGAGAAGCGACGCGCAGATTACGGCTGGGGGGTATGACGTGGGGGAATATTGTGCTAGGGCTATGATGGAGGCGTTTGGGGGCTTGGGGGTCTTCGTTGAAGATGAGATTAGGGGAAGGGAGGAAATGGCGGATAAAGGGGTGGGGACTGCGAGTGCGGCGGCGGCCGGCGGTGGCGGTGGCGAAGGGGTTGATGGGGACGTGCTTTGAGAAAGGGAATAGACTCCCGCAGAGCATAGCGCTGGCGTTGGATACTAGAAGATACGTGATACCCCTTGGAAGCATGATGCATGAAGCACGGATTGATTTGGAAAAGCTTTTGTATCATCCGCTAGAGAGTCCCTTGTCATCCAATTAAGCACAATTGTCCAATTCCACGAACGCCGAGATCCCACCATCTCTTAGCGAACAACGACCGTAAGCAATGCAGACCATGACGGGACGAGAAATCTGACCCCGAAGCTCGTACAAGACGAATGCAAAGACCCCAGCTAGTGTTTCGACAGCAGATGCTGACAAAAAGAGCTCGATCCGCAGACATGAACACTCCGTGGAGTCAGTCGATACGGAGATCTCTTTCCACATCATTCAGTCGCCGTAAAATTATCGTCTCAGTTCAAGCCGCTCTCCAGACAGACGAAGCTCGACTAATGGACATACACCGAAGTCAGTCAACATTAGGAACTCTGCTGCGACAAGGAGGCGTGATCGGAGTATGGCGAGAGCGTGAAGGTATATGAATAGGCGCAGATGAATGCGTCATCAGAGCTGAAAATGGAAGGACATTTGTTGCATGCGAAACTGTTTAGTGAGAAGCTCGTGACTCAAGCATCTGAGCTCCTTGTTCGTCCAGCAAACCCGCTCTTCGCAGTCTCCACAGTGTTCTCGAAGCCCTCCCAAGGCAGATCATCGACGCTCTCGCCATCACTATCCAGATCCCATGGCTGGCGTTCAGATAGCTTATCCTTCCCATCCTGCTGCTCCTCGCCTGCGCCACCTCCTCTAAGATGCAGGCTAGTAGTGTTAATGCCGACTGACTGTAGAGTAATCTCAACTTCTTCTTCGCTGATCTCATGGCCATCTTGCTTTTGGCCCTCGAGCACATCATAAAGTGCGTAAACCTGGTCTGCCTTCAATTCAATAGCTTTAAGCAAGGTCTCAATTTTGTGATATACCGACTTGCGCTTGCGCTTGCTGAGCGCAGGGTCGTGGCCATTGTAAAGAGCTTGATATCGAGCAAGCTCAATTTTGAGATGGGCAAGCTCATCGTCAAGGCCCTTGATGACAAGTGCGAGAGCGAGACCTGGCGTTTGAGCTGGGCGGATTGTGGGTTCTTCTTCATATGGACTAGACTTCGGCATGCGGTCCGAAACAGGAACGGGCTTGGGAATCTTGATTGCCTCTCTCACCGTCGCCCCATGCTCATGATGTACATCGTGGTTGATCGCGCGTGTGCAGACTGTGCAATTCTGGCCGCCATGCTCCGCAAGCCCATGAAGAACATCTTGAGCTTCTTTTGTCATGTTTGGTACAGCTTGAGAGTCGATCCCTGGGTTACGGATGGTGATATCGGGCACGATGAAAGCAGAAGTCATATTCTCGACGTCTAAGCCACGGCGTCGGCTATGCATACTTAAAATCGAAGCCTCGGAGTGCCGACGGTTGTGCTCGGGGTGCGCGCCAGGAAGAAGGGAAGGCTCGGTGGCATCTTTCCGATTTGTGGATCTGGATGTCGGGTCTTTCATTGATGATTTGCGAGGAAAGATCTGTTGAGCCTGCTCCGCCTGTGCTTCTGGCGGAACTGTCTGCGTATGAGTGTCATTCTTGTCGTCCGATTGATGGACTCTATTTCGGCGTTGTTTACGCTGTATACGCTCTTGCTCCAGAGTCTTTCTTAGCGTGGCAATCTCATCGCTCTGTGATCCACTATGTCAGCGGCTGCCGCGAAAGCATAAGGGGGGACTTTTCACCTCAAGGAAGCTTAAGTATGTCAAGTTTTGCGAAGTCTCGCCGCCTTGAGCATTCTTTGCGCTGCGAGTTGACCAGACTTTGCCTTTTACTTCCGCTTTGGGGGCCTCATACACAGAGTCTTCACTATCTTGGGAGTCGGCAATCTGAGCAGGCCGCTGCCCGCCTCTGGAAGGTTCATCAATGCCCTTTCGACTTGGAAGATAGAAAGTGTTTGCGTCTTTATGGGTAGAAGATCCTGTGTTCCGCTCGGTACCCTCAGTGTGACGAGCTTCAGGAACATTTTTTTCCTGCAGCTCAGGAGGATGCACTCTACTTTCTTCTATCATACTCTGGAATGTTTCTGTCCTTCGGTCGAGCTTTCGTCGTAGAGCTTCCTCCTTGGCTGTCAACTTTTGAGTCTCGTTTTCATTGCTCAACTGGCCAAGACGAGTCTTCAGCTCGTTGTTCTCGCCTTTGAGACCTTCATTCTCAACCTTGAGCTGCTCAATTGTGAAGTACGCGACACCTAATTGAGAAACGGCTGAGTCACGCTCTTGCGTGATGTTTTTGAGAATTGTCTCGGCGGTGGAGGTTTTTCGATTCGAATGATCCAGTTGACTTTGAAGTGCACGGACAGACGACTCCAAGCCTAAAGACTGTCAGCCAATAATTATCTCATCTAATTGATTCCCACTTACGGTTCTTCTCGATCAAAAGCTTACGTTGACTGCCACGAATCTCAGTACCACCATCGCTATCCGTTGTACCTAAAGCACTATCACTTCGTGGCGCTCTCCTTCTGTCGATCTTTTCACGCTCCAACACTCGGTTCTTCTGTTGCAGATCATCAATAGCGTTCTCAGCTTCGGCATTGGCCTTCTCCAAGGTAGCGACCTTGTCCTGAAGAAGCTTCAGCGACAAGAAGATGGCCTGTTCATCAGCCGGTATCGGTATCTCATTGACTCCAGTGTAATTTTGGCTTTTGCTAGTTTGTCCTGCAGCTGAGAAAAAACGGGAAGCTCGTGACTTTCCGTGCCGTGTGAACACGGGAGTACCATCTTCGTAAACGCCCGAGACTAACTCGGATATATTGGGTAAATCGGGCAACATGAAAGATTGCTGAGTCCCGTGAGGGGTTGCAACAGTCTGCGAATTCTGTATCTTTTTTGGGGCGAGAGATTGTAGCAAGCCTTGCCTCGAAGTGAATTTGCTCGGCATGACAACATTCGATGCAGCGTGCTGGTCCTTCACGTTGCCAAATCGGGTGTTCCTTGCTGTCAAATCGAGCGTTGGCGGCCTTTCCTCGCTGAGTCTAGATCGCTCGTTCTCGTCTCTCACACGAGCGTGCATTGAAGACAATGTGCGACGGCTCTCTTCACCTTTTTTCCTGCTTTCCCCAGATCCGTAATCCTTTGTCTTGGACGGTGGCGGTGACGGTCCAGTAATCTCTTTCTGTAAGCCAGATGCCCTACGCACCTGTCCATCACGTTTCACAGAACCACCAGGAGTTTCGTTGTTCTTCTTAGACAACTGTCGTTGCGCGAGCGGGGGGGTACCTGTGACCTCATAGTTACCAATCATTGGCGCAGAGAAATCCATGCTATCTCCATCAAGGCTCAATTGCGCGTTTGAAGAGTATTCGTTGATCCGTCCCGCCTTGCTATTGCTCCCTTTCTTGAGACCTCGCCCAATCTCGATCGACAGACTATCATCATCCGAGGAGGTGCCGCCTTGGGAGAAATCAGGAAACGCTCGACCAATTGCCGAGGTGTTGATGGCGAAGTCCGGTTCGGGTCGAGCGAAGCGACTGTATTTCTTTGCGCTTGCATGAAGGTCAGGAAGCTGCTGCGCATTATTGTCGAGCTGACGAGTCGACATGATGGCTTCGTTCTCAGGGTCGAAGTCGGAGACGGTGGGCTGCGGACTCGCGAGATTTAGCGAATGTCGAGAAGATCCTGATGAGTTGCGCGTCCTGTTCATATCTTTGGACATTTCGCGTATCAACTGGGCGCGCTGCTTGGAGGTTGTGGGTCCCGTCATGGCTGTTGTTTATTGTTGGTGTGACTGGGTAATTCTCGACGCGGTCGATGCTCCTAAGCTCGGCGGAGCAAGAGGAACGTTGTTAGCGGAAAGAACCGATGCGTCTATAGTCCGAGGATTTTCATTATCGAAATCATACTGTGGTGAATGCAATGTTAGTTATGAAGTGCGAGTAAAGTGTGTGATGCTCGAGGTTTGTTTACATTTTGAGCGGGCTAGGGGCACCCACTTAGCTCTGGCGCTAGTCCAAAACCCTAAAGTATTAGCTCGCGGTCCGATTTTTGAGTACCCCTCGACCACTAACGTAGACTCAACAAGAGCTTTCGAGAGACGTATATAGTTAACGTAGTTTTAATACCTTGAGCTACAATCATAGCTAATTCGCCATGACATTATTATGATACAGTAACCCTTCCTCAACCTCTATGAAGCACGATATCGTTATTATACAAGTGAATTACACACTTCACCAATACTTAATGCTAGCTTTTCGTGGCCATGATGCAGCAATGCTAGCACCTAAACACCTTGCTAAATTTAACCCCCTTTTCGAAAGAATTTCGTGGCTTCTTGAGCTGAACCAGACCCTGTCGCCATTATACATCAACCGCCAGCTTCTCCGATATTCTGCCTTGCCAGGGCCTCTTCATGCATCGTGACCGTAGCTGATTGACTTACCGTTGGCATCGACTGCAAAATGTCTCGCGCCAAAAAGTCCCGAGCCAGCTCGGCCATGTCATTGGCCTCTTTCAGCTGATGCTTCCACTGCGCGTGCCGCTCTTCACGTATCCTAATTTTGCGCCTAGCTTCCTCTTCTTCTTCAGCTTTCTTGCACAGACTTCCCAGCGTCGTGACGCAATTCGGGCAGCTGTAGTGGTCCTTGCAATATGCGCAGTCGCAACGCGAATACTGCGCGAGGCAATCTGGACACACGTGGACTTCGCACAACGTGCATTGTTGAGCAGCGGCTGTACAGCGAGGCCGATGGTCACCGATGGAGCGATATTTGGGACAAAGAAACGAGCCGCAGCCCAGCCAGGAGTTGTTGAGTTGAGGTTCCGTACTCTCGTCGTCTGTGTTGGACATGGGTGTGGACATTATCAAACCGAGCATTTTCAAAAGTTCGCCCTCGTAAGACGTTTCTTTGAGTTCGCCTGCTGCCTCACTGAGTAATACCTCGGGTCTTAGTACCAAGGTGTCGGACGCGGCCCTCTGGGATGAATCCAGCAAATGAGCATATTTATCTTTGAAGCTCCGTGACAGTTCTGGCAATTTCGAGAGAACATTCAGATATTCGCGGATTGTGCATTTGGTTTTTTCCCGTGCAGTGTTGAGTGCAACGGTGGAGCTTTCTGAAGCTTCTAGTACTTTCCTGAAGTTCGAATTCGCTTCCAGGAATGATTTTTCGGTGCTGAGGTCCTTATAGCCACAGATTCGCATGCTCAAACCGCGCAAGTCGTGTGCAAAACAGAAAGGTTCCTTACAGGTTTGACAGGCCGCTCTCCATCCTGGCGTCTGCCAACAATCATGACAAAGACTTCGAGGGCATGGGTTTTGGTCTTCGCTCCCCATTCCGTACAGAAGCCAATGTATCATTTGGTAGTGCTTCAGCCTTGGGGAACATCCCGGAAGAACGGGGCAGTCAATCACTGACCCTGATGTCTTGTGGGATTGACGGAGGCGGCTCAACTCCGCGTCTTCGTAGCCCTGGCCTGGTGGAAGTGGAGCAGTATGGACGTGATTAATGGCCGAACCTGTCATTCCAGGTCCGACAAAAGTTATACTACCACCGTTTGAGAACATGGGTTTTAAGCAACACCACTGCATTTTCAGAGCTGGAGTGACAGTGCTATTTGGGGTGTTGCTATTTTCAGCACTGTTGCTGGGTACGACTTCTTGCATCATAAGATTCGGATTTCGCATCTGACCAGGGGCCCACCAATATGGCTCTTTGGCTGTATCATCCCCAGTGCCTGACTCCGATGTTGTGCTTCTCGGAGATTTGGCCGGTGGTAGATGGCGAGAAAAAGCGCAATTCTCACAAAGAGTCTTCCTGCAGCCCATGCAGTGCATTCTTATGCTGCAATGCTCGCATCTTTCAGGGATCTGAGCTTTACAGTCCTGACATATAATATTCTCGATGAACTTTCGGTGACTCTGACGTAGATGTGTGGTTTGAGTTTTCCCCTCGCCGTGCCCTTGTTGTGGTTCGCAGCCCAACGGCTCGCCGTTGTAGCCGGACTCCGTGTCTTCCCACAATTGCCCTCTAGTGCTCCTAGGCCTGGCCTCTTCGGAGTACACAGCGGGCCCGAGTCGATTTTCTGAGCGCCATAATCGATCGTAGACCACCCATACCTCTGTCCGAGCATCTGGAGTTCCTCTCCCTACTGAGTAGTCCTTCCGTTTCAAACATCTTCCGCCGGGTGTAGGACACCAAGCCGTGTCCGTCCAAATTCCCAAGTCGTAACATATCTTGATAAGATCGTGTGTGTGGACTGAGTCAGAGTCTTTTCTGATGAGCGAGGCTGGCGTGTAAGGCCGATGCCTGTGGTGTCTGCAGCGGAAAACATAGAGGCTTCGTAGTGCCAGGCCGGGTACCGGTCCTGAGTTTTGGAACTCACTAGCGGACTTTTGGAGGCTAAAGAGAGTGAGGAATGGCATAATATTGTACTTCAAGGACACCTGCTTGCAACCACGGACAGAAAGATGTTGTAAGGTCTCTCGCCGGCTGTGTAGGACAATTGATGTCAAGGTATCCCCTGCAACAGCAGTATGATCGAGGTCTAAGGATATGAGTCGAGTGCCAAATGGAAGGACAATGGCCATAAGCAATTGGTCCAGGGCGTATGGCTTTGACTGAACGGCTGAGCTCTCACCAGAGCTGTCACTTGCGGGTGACGCCTGCCTGGATGCAAGTCTTCCAGGGCTGAAAGACCGGAAGGAAAGATGGTTCCATGCTGTGGGATAGCCTTGCAGAAACAACCGGAGGTAGTTTGACGTATGGTATAAGTCTAGGATTGACGATGTTGGTAACTGAAGGAGAAGGGACTCAAAGACTGGTGGATGCGAGCAAATGATCTGCTCGAACCTGGATAAGGAGGTCCGTTGCCGTTGGCGTGGGCGAAAGGTGCTGGAGGCGCTTCTTTCCCGAGAAGCTCGGAGGCGCGAAGAGGCGTCACCAGCCATGTGTCCATCCAGAATAAGATGGGTCCTTGATTGACGTTGATTAGATGGGGGGTTTCGGACTGCGAGTGCTGAAGAGCGAAGATCAAAAATGGGGGATGATGATACGTTGCCAGCTGGCTATCAAATTTGCATCAACTGTCAAAGCTTTAGGTAGATGTGACGAGCGGGCACGTTCGGTAAGTACCTATGGATCATTTAAGGCAAGGCTCCCCTGCGCCGGCGGATTTTGCGCTATCAAATCTTATTTTAAACCCTATTGATTGAGACTACGATTAGAAATCTACTCTTTTCTTGTGTCACAGTTCAAACATTTGGGAAGACACAAGATCGAAATCATCTTGTAGCCAAAAATTACAGGCCTGGTATTCTTTAGTTCTCAATATGACAAAACCAGAGGCGCCTCCACTTCTGTCAACTCCCGCCACTCATATCTTTGAGAAGCAGCCGGCGGTGTCTGTCGAAAATTCAAGTTTAAGGCTCTCGGATGAGCAGCTTTATGTTATATACGAAATAGAGCGGACAGTGGCTGAGATTAGAAAAGAAAATTTCTCCCGAGTAGCTTTGCAGTTTCCGGATATCATGCTGCCAGATGCACCAAGAGTCTTCGAGGCATTGAGCAAAGGCCTGGATCCTACAACGTCATCTTCAGATCAGCAAAGAACTCAATCATTTGACTCACAGCGGCTGGTTGACGGTGTGGAGAAGCTGAGCATGACGTCCGAAAAGCTACCTGCGGTGAGACTATATATACTTGCTGATACTTCCTACGGAGCTTGCTGTGTCGATGAGATCGCGGCTGAGCACATAAGCGCTGATGCTGTTGTACATTATGGCCGAGCTTGTTTGTCACCTACTGCCAGGATACCAGTCATCCATATCTTTACCGTTCAGCAGCTCCAAGACCAATCCAGCCTTCTTGAGGATTTCGAGGACTTCTATGTCGACCGCCGAGCGAAGGTCATTCTTACGGCAGACGTGACATATCAAGATCACCTAGAGAGAATAGCAGCAGTCTTGCAATCTCGCGGATATAGCAACCTTTACATGACAAATATAATGCATGATCCTTCTTCGCCTTTACCAAATCGCACCATTCCAAACGAAGTAAAGGCTGATCCTTCCAAGCTCAAAGATTGGCAGCTCTTTCACATTTCCGATCCGCCAGAATCACTTTTGCTTACTCTAGCTTCCCGTTTGGCTAGCATCCGTATCTATCCTACCTCTAGGATAGATGACGAGCGCAATCGCGAACCGTTCTTGGCATCAACAAGTCGGGCGCTGAATAGAAGATACGCTCTGTTGACATCTGTTAGCACTGCCTCTATTTTTGGAATCCTGATCAATACCCTAAGCGTAAGGAACTACATGCACATTGTTGAGCACGTCAAGTCCCAAATACAGGCCGCAGGCAAGAAAAGCTACACCTTTGTAGTCGGCAAAGTGAACGCAGCAAAGGTAGCTAACTTCAGTGAGATCGGCGCGTGGGTTGTTATTGGGTGTTGGGAGAGCTCTTTGATTGATAGCAAAGATTTCTGGAAGCCCGTCTTGACGCCATTTGAGCTGGAGCTGGCATTGAAGGGAGATAGTGAGCGAGTCTGGACTGGAGAGTGGAGCAGTGATTTTCAGAGCATACTGCAAGAGTCGACTCAGCCTGAAGATGATACTGCGAGGGGCAATGGATTCAAGACAGATGGCGAGAGTGATGACAGGAATGGTAGTGAGCTTGACTCAGAAGAGGAGTCGGCGCCGCCAGACTATGATCTACGGACTGGACGTTATGTTTCTCATACAAGGCCCATGCGGACGTCTCATTTGAATGCATCTACTGGCAAGAATCCGCCCAGCGATTCCCTCGTCAGGCGGGCCAAAGGTGACCTGGCTGTTGTCGGCGGCGAGGCTTCTCCTGGGGCCGAGTATCTGAAATCGAAGAGGATATGGAAGGGGCTTGGAAGTGACTTCGAGATTGCATATGAAGATGCAGGAGCCGCCATAGAGCGAGGCAGAAGTGGCATTGCAAGAGGCTATACTCACGATCGGAAGGATTCAAGAATCTGAAAAGCGAATGTGTAAATGGTAATTGAAAAGCACAAGCAGGCAATCAAAAGCAAGACTTCTGCTCTATTCAGCTCGACAAGAGGCACCGTAGATTAGAGCGCCTCAAATCTGCCGAAGTCCCTAAAGCTCCCCGCCTTTGCTCTTTCTTGTTCTTCCATCCATCCACACAAAACTCGAGACAGCACGTTTGGATGCCATCCATACGGCCGAAACGGTTGGTAGAGGGATTACTAAGCAGGCATAGCCAATCGAGTCCGTCTTCTCCCCTCGCTTCTGTCCTCCCTCCTTCCAAGTTTTCCCCATTTTCCCATGATTCAATCATCCATCTGTATATCAGGGCCATCAAAAGGGCGATGATTGATCGCTTACACAAGCAAATACTTGATCGTTATCTGTCCAATACAGCTCCGCAAACTATCACGCGATGCAGCGACTCGAAGATTCAAAATAGCGAAACCAAGCCTTTTAGATCAGCCGCCTACGTGCTGGACGGATCTTGGCTGCTTGGCTCTTGGCATCGCCAAGGGACTTTTCCCATTGTCGCGACAAGATCGCATTCATGTATGTGCTTTCCATCGCAGACTACGCCTTCAGCAGTCATTATAGATGTGCGTTGGTGCTCTTGACTGCCTCGCCGTCGAGCCTCCCCTTCCTGCACACCTCCACAATCTCACCACCATGTGCCATGGCCATGTCGTGATACAACCTTACGAGTCCCGGCCTTGTCTCTTTTTATTGCTATTTCCTGGAATACTCCATCGTTTGATATACTCAGCCAGAACACTTGAATTGACCATGTTGCACCTACAGAAGTATCACTGGACGTCTAAGACACGGTTGGGGCGGAAGCACCAGGCCGATAAGCAGCCGCATGGTCTCGGATTCCTGCTGAATCGAGGATGAAGGCGTCCCAGAACATCAAGAGAGAAACAAGTCAGAAGCGCACAAAACACGCATCTCTTCTGGCAAAGTGTACCGCCCCATTCCACTCCAAGCAGCGCAATCCGTTGGAGCAAGACATCCGGCTTGATGAGCCATTCCGACAGTATTCGTCTGGTGATGCCGTCAAAGGAGCAGTACATATGAATGTTGCTAAGTCCCAACGCATCACCCACCTCGTCATAAGGCTACATGGCTTCGTCAAAGTATCGAATCGCGCAAAGCTTCCGGGCGAGTCCATAAGCTACGATGAAGCGCTCATGGCCTTGGAAAAGGGTAGAGGTAGGCGGGGCATTGAGTACTTCGGAAATGGCTTCGCACGACTATTTGAAAAAGAGATCGTGCTGTGTGGCGAAGGCCGAGTCCTGGGACAATATGAATTCCGCTTTGAGATACTTCTCCCTTCAAAGGGCATGCCGTCCGGTATCGATGTGAGTACCAACGCCTTGCCCCGTCTCCAGATCTCACAACCTGAGTACTCTACTAACTCGCGGACGCCCAACAGTTCGAACACGGTACCATATCTTACCTACTCACGTCGACAGTGACGCGCCCCACGACCATCGCACCAACCTTTTCGCAACACCGAAAGCTTGGCTTTCTGGAGGCCGTTGATATCTCGCTGATCCCTAAGCCAAAGGCTGAGATGGTCTCGATGGACGTGGGATACAAGAGGGGGAAATCGAAGGCAGGCAAGAAGAAGAAGAAGAAGGCCAGATCACGAGAACGAGAGGACTCGGACCCGGCCAGCTCAGTTAGTGGCAAGCACAACGAGCACTCCGACAGTCACCAAATTGACTACGAGCCCCCACGAAGTCCAGTGCCAAGTGAATTCAGCTCCGCTGCTACCACTGACAGCAGATCGAGCAACATGACTGGCTCGGTGACACCGCCTATACATACTGTTATCGAAAGTGCAGAAGACACTATCCTCAACCCCTCTCCGACCACTTTATCCGCAAAGATCGAGGTCTTACAAGGAGGCTGCTTGGCTGGTGACTCATTTCCCGTGCGTATCTCGATCAAACACAACACGGCCGTCAAGAGTATGCAAGGCATCATCATTACCTTGTACCGTCAAGGGCGGATCGATACCCATCCGGCCATACCACTTGGCCCACAGCGACGAGGCGAGAAACCAAAGTATGAGGATTACTACCCTAAATCATTCACGGGGCTTGGCGGTCTATCCTTGACCTCGGCCGGCTCAAGCAGATCTTTCCGACAAGATCTCAACCAAATATTCGCACCCATCATCGTCGATCCGCAGTCTCTCACCGCTGTCATCAGCACATCAATACAAGCTCCCGTGCACCTGTTCCCAACAATCACTTGCGTACCTGGCGAAATGGTCAGCTTCAAATACTATGTTGAGATAGTGGTTGATCTGCGCGCGAAGATAGGAGGCCAGGACCGCATTCGTCCACATTTGAGTATGACAAGTGGCCTTCAGCATGGGTATGGTGACGCAAAGATGACTAGGATCGAGGGTTCAGACGGTGTCAGCTACGCGGCAACTCCTGGATTTAATTACCTTGTTACGGATCAACTCCGAAGAACGAAAGGCGTGGTCTTCACTCGGACGGAGATCATAGTAGGCACAAAAGACAGCTCACGAAAGCGTCGGAAGCAAAGGGAAGACCAGTCAGCTGTGGACGAGGACAGGTCATTGAAGGGGTCTGCAGTTCTTGGTGTCGAGAGTACCCAAGACCAAGATGTTGATCCTGGACGTCCGGAAAGCTATGTCGAAGTACGTGACAGTCCTTGCCAACTCGCTATTGCCCTAGAGCAACACCCAACGGTGATCATACCGCCAATTAAGAACGAAGAAGACCTCGACGAGAAAGGCAGACTACGAAGAGCAGAAGAACGACTTCTCCCCAGCGCCCCACCACAGAACGACGAACCTGCTTCTTCAGCAGCCCCAATCCCTTCGGCTCCTATGGCTATTGATGAAGAAGATTTCATTCGAAGGTACGGCCCGGACCATCCAGCACCGGCATACGACGAGCCTCAAGACGACAAGATGGAGCTCGAGCGTCAACGATTGCTGGCACGGGCTAGTGCTCCTGACACGGGTGATGGTGCTGAAGCTGCCGCAGTGGGACATGAGGGACGAATCCCTCAGCCTAGTGCTCCAGTGCTTTATGAAGATGATATGTTTGATATCAACGATCCCCGTGTGCCTCAAGTTCTGGCGGACCAACCTCATTCCAGGGAGCCGTCGGCTCTAGTACCTAATGAAATTAACCCGCAGCTTTCTAACGATATGCATGACTCAGGGCCATCGAGCGCCCACGACCTGGAGAACGAAAATTTACCTGTGTATATACGGTAAGGACAATGGGCGTAGGAAAACCTTTATTGGGCAGGCACTTCTACTCGGCGTTGCAGAATGTTTTTTATACCCGGTGCTGAAACTGAAACCCTCACCACGGTGGCTTGGTTTCGACTTCAACATAAAATAATTGCTGTTGCGCGCAGGCACTTCTACTCAGCGTTGCAGATTTTTTATACCCGGTGATGAGATTGAAATCCTCACCATGGTGGCTCGGTTTCGATTTCAACATAGAATAATCGCTATCGCGAATGAAATTTTCAATGAATCGTCTAAAGATTATTAATAGGGTTACGATGCACGATGTATGAGATGACATGTCACCATACTCCTAGAATGGCCTTGCACACACCGTCCAAATCCTCACCGCACGTCCAGCGAATGCCCTCATGCCACTTGACTCCCCTTCTACGCCAATCACTCGAAACATGTTGAGATTTGGTGCAGCACCTGTGTTGTGGCCCCCCCTCATAGGAAGGAGACATAATAAACATCCATACCTCATCTCGCCCCCCCCCCCCCCCACGGGTGAATCCGCATCGGGCGGGCCCAGCGTCCGATCAGGCACCGGTGACGGCCACCGCCGTGGAAAAAGGTAGCGTTCCCATCTTTCCGACGCGTCGTCGGTCCTCCTCACAGTCTCCTCGTTCCGCAGCTGGATTCCTTGCGCCCGTTGTGATAGGGTGAGTCGGGAGTCGAGGGCCCCCCGGCAAGGGTCGTCGACGGCTCAAGGTAAGCTCTACCGGTTAAGGCGTTCCGGAGGAACCCCTCTCGTGTGAAATCCGTCACGGCCGGAGATCGGAATTGCGGGTGGGTGTTGCAGTTTGGGGGTTTGAAAAGATCGGTAGCCCGGGGGACGCTGAGACGGGTTGGGTAGAGTACCTGAGGTATCTATCTATCTTCTCTTCGGATAGTGGAGGGACGATCCGGCGACATTGTAGAGGTAGACGGCGGGTTTGGTCCAGATTGGGTCCTGAGCTGTGGCGCTGAAGGCTGAGGGATGGGGGTGGTGGGGAGAGAGGAGAGGTTTATATTGTTTTTTTTCGTAAATACAGTACCTGGGGATACGGAAGCGTATGAGGACTACAAGTAAAGCTTGGATACCGATCGTGTGGATGTGAGATCGCGGTGTCCCAGGTACTTTGACTCGATTGTGGCCACGACGGGCTCGTTGGGGAGACGTGTTTAACAAACACAATACTGCACTACACCATTGTACCAGCGCGATTAGGAGTCAGTTAAGTAAAATAACACCACGACCACAAGTGTCAGAGATGAGTAAAACACTAGTGCATAAAAGGCTAGGCTAACGTCACGTGCTGAGACTGGAAGCGCAAAGCGCAGAATTGTAACCTCCTTCACAACCTGACTCGTCTCCATCGAAGACCTCAGACCGCTCCAGGTCTACGGACGTAGCCTCGGTCAGTTTTTCTTCTGATGGGACATGCTTCCCTGACCCCTCTTGCAAAGAAATAACAAACAGCTTCAGATCCCATCGAAGACCTCAAAAGGAAGCCAATCACTGACCTCTAGCAACAGTGATAACAGCCTGGATTAGAGACGGCCCCTTCAAACGAGACATGGATCGTAGCCTGCGTATGCGTCCCCTCTCGCCCCTTGTGCACCCTGCCGCACCCGCCCACGCACGGAGCCCCGAACTGGCGCAGCAAAAGCTCAAACCGTCCCATGCGATCCCGCCGCTGCGTCGCCTCCGAGCCCGCGGCCACGCCCTGCCGGCGATGGTGCGGGCAGAGATCCGTTTCCTCCGGCAGCGCGTCCGACGTCACGGCCGCGAACCCGTGCATGTTGCGCAGACTGCCCTTCTTCTCCAGCGCCGCCTCGGCCAAGCGGGTCGGACCGACGATCAGCGTCAGGTGCACCCGCGGGCACAGGGACAAGGCGTTGTAGAGGCTGAAGTCGTGGTTGCTCCCGGCCGGGTCGACCACGAGTGTGAGGTTGCGGAGCTCACTGCGTCCTGCGCAGGGTTCGGAGTTAGTGTGGTTCTCTTTGGGCAAAATGACCGAAGAACGAGACAGGTTTGAAGAGCAGAAAGTATGCTTTCGCTGCCGCAAGATGGCTTTCTCCTAGGTAATAAGAAAACTATCTGGAATGTGGCCCAATGTGCTACCGAACAGGAAAGATATACCCCGAAAAGGTACATACCTTCGGGGCGCATTCGGCGCAGCCAGGTGTGCTCCTTGCGTTGTCCTGTAATGGCGAAGGCGTTCCCAGAGAGGAAAACAGGCATCGCTTCGGAGTAGATGAGGCGGTTGGTGAAGACGACAGCCAGGTCGTCGAGGGTCGGTCCCCCGTGGAGTCTGCTGAGTCTGACGGGCTGCCTGTGGCGGATGAGGACGCAGCGATAGATTTGGTTGCGGATCTCGGCAGGGAGGTCGGTGAAGCGGAAGTTCTGCAGAAGGTCTTGATGTTCCACGCGTGGATCCATCGGTGATTGGGTCGTGAGGCGAGCGGGCGTGGGTGGTGGGGATGTCATGGCCGGAGCTGCTTTGCGTGAGGAAGACGATCGGATGGATTGGTAAATATATGGCGGAAGGATAGTGTTGAGCGATTTCGTGTGTTGATGGATTTACCGGAGCGGGAGCTAGTGGTGATTTTTAACAACACACATGAGAGACGTGATACGGCGGGCAAGGGCTACCTTATCTTCATATACAGGCAATATCCACACCTTATTTCGGGTAATCCACCCTTAAATATCGCTCGATTGGGGGTGCAGAGCGCTTTGTACGGCACGATGTTTACCGGCGATACTTTCTCAAAGCTTCGTGGACGAGCTCCACAGAGGGAGGGATAAGTGCCAGAATCGAGGTTGATAGCCCCGAACACAGATCCAAATAAAGGTGATCAAATTATCAAGCGCAGACATCCCCGTGTCAAATCTATACACGATCAGTAGATAGAAAGAATCGATCTCGTACGATAGAAATAAGTACATGAGGTAGTACGGCACAGTCGCAAAAAAAGAAGAGGAAAGGAACCATAGGTTGGTTGTATCCTAGCAGTAGCCTTCGTCCGCCGTAATGTGAGCTATCCAATGATAATCAGACGATGCGGAAAGCTACGAGCACAAGGAAGAGGTCTTTACAGCATGTGAAAGCCATTGAATACCCTCAGCGAACCTAACTTCCATACCCTTCCAATTTCCTTTGCAAACCCCATCCTCTTTCATACTCCCTTTGTGAAGCAAATGAAGCAATTTGTAGGATCGCCTTTCAGCCCCCGCACGTCGAGATGAATGGTCGACCTGCTGTCCCATGTCCTCCCACCCGCAAAATGCTGGCAAACAGCCGGACAGGCAGAGGTGAAGTTGTCCAGCAGCCCTTCATAGGCTATAGCCCGTCTATCCGCGATGCTCATCACATTCGCCACAGCCTTACGCTCGCTTGGATGATGGGAAGACTGTTGAAGATGGCGATGAGCTGCGCACCTACCATCAACCGCTGGAGCCGGCGATGATGTCGCCGAAGCGAAGCCGTGCATAAGATCCATGGCACGGAAACGATAAAGGTCTCCGACAAAATGGCCGCCGGACCTAAGTGTCAGATCCAGCTTCGTGCGCTGGCCGAGCAGGTGGAAGAGGCGCTTCTGATCCCCTTCCTGTGTATTCTTCTCCCCAGCAGGTCGGTTGCAATCATGACGCAGGTCGAAGGTTAGGTGTAAGGGTTGCTCTTCTTCTTGCGTGCTGAGGTATGGCGAGATGTGCTCGAGCCACAGACAAGCTGTGCCCGAGTTGTCGAAGATGATGTTGTTGGAGGAGAGGTAGACCTTGTAAGCTTCCTTTCTCATCATCTTTGAACTGCAGATGGGTATGTTGTGTGGGTATTTGTGAGCTGTTGGCTGAACCTCTTCAGTAAGTAGATACTTGTATACTTTGTCCTGAAGTTCGTGGGGAAGGCTCATGAAGTTGGCCATTCTTCAGTCTTTGAGCTGGATGAAATTGGTGCAGGGGTTTCTGGGGCTAGTCTAGGATGATACTGACGAAGAGATTTGAGGAGCAATGAGGACTTATGAACTTCAGATGTGCACACTTGGAACCCTGTAGAACTTTCTGGTTCTTCCCATTGTCTTCTGGCAACGCACGGCTTCTTCCACAGCGATCTGGAATAAGACGCATCGATCCAAATCACGCGCAAGGGCGGGTCGCTGACTTTCGGCAAGTTAGGGGCCGGATCTAAGAAATCTAGAGTCGACTCTCAACATCGCGAGGCAATACTCAGACGTGGTACTGATACCTTGATTCCATATAGCTTCCCCATATGGAGAATATTTGCTCTGTAACTGTAAACTATACATTGATTAGAACAACAGTGACAGAGTCTCGATGCGTGCAGAAAGGTTGGAACCCGGTCTCGGCTTGCCACAATCATACTCGCAGGCATCCGAGTATGAAGCCACCAAGTGGCAGGCATGGGTCTTTCCGTGGTTTGGCCGACCTTTGGGAGTTATTGGTTAGTTTTGGGTCCTAGGAATCGCGCAATTTCTTGTGGCTCTTCACTTATCACTTTCCCTATATTCATGTAAGTTCTGCATGATGCCGGAGTCAAGGAGGCTTGTTAGCTGAAATCCAAGCTAAATTCCTGAAAGCACCAAGGTTAGATAGACACTGCTGCAGCGGTGGAAATGCACATTGAACAGCTGCTAATCGAAGTCCCAGACGGACGCAGGTGTAATTTGACGCAGGCTCTTCTGCGCTCATTGCCAATCGAGTGGCGATCGTGGACACCATTCCGGAGACCATCAAAGGGATTGTGTAAATCAAATTCCATGTTGTGGATCTAAGAGATGATTCTTCACGATTAGTGGTTAAAGAGGAAGAAGGGTGGATGAAATTGGACATCCTTGGTGCTGACTATGAGATGACCAGAGGAGAGGGTAGTGAGATTTCATGTATCAACACTCCCATAAGACAGACAGATTAGCATCCCGCTCGTCCTACCATGGTACTGGTGGAGTACCGGATTAGACCCTGAGATGAGCGGGATACAATGTACTTTGCGTAGAGGCTTGGTGTCCTCATATCGCACCGGAGTCTTTTACGACGAAAGGTCCTTGGTAGCATAGCTCCGAGTGAGTACCTCAAAGTTGCTGTCCTCATAGACACACGGTGACACTGAAGAGAAGAAGAGAAGAAGAGAAGAGGAGAAGAGGGAGAGAGGAGGAAAGGTAGAGACTGCAGAATGAGATGTTGGCATGATCCTTGCGTCGATCCGATCGGTCCCTGCACAAGTGCATAAGCTAAGCTAAGCTGTCAAGCTAACGGGCGGGACGACGGGAAAGCATGCCAAAAGGTTACCTTACTTTATCATCTTATGCTGGTCAAGTGGTCATCGTTTTTTATCGACGCGAACAATGCAATTGCAACGAATAATCGCAGTCGTGAGTGGAGCGTCGTAAATGAGAGAAGATGGTGAAGCTGTCCAATATGAAAACACAATACTACCTATTTATATGCGAAGGGAACGGAAAACAGACGCTGACTCGGACCGGCATATCTCGATAAGTGGGTCCAAGGGTCCTTCCAATCATTTCGAGGCAAGAGATTATCAATCCAGCCTTACAGCTTTCATATATCCTCGATTCTTAACCCCGTCTCTTGACTCATTCAATTTCATCTCCGTCAACATACAACATATCTCTGAACCCTGCGCAACCTCATCAATTCCTGCTCTCTCTCATCCAAAATGGCTGCAACAGCCCGAACCTTTACGCGTCTGACAGCACGTACTGCGCCTATCAACTCCACTCTCCGACTCACCGCCACACACCACGCCCGCCTCTCCCTCCAACGCCAGACATTCCAATCCTCCTCCCGCCGCGGCTATGCCTCTGGTAACGAAGCCACAGCCTCACGAGTCGGCTACTACGCAACTTTTGCTGCCCTCGCGGCAGCTGGTGGCGCAGGCTACTTCTATCTCAGCAATGGAGGCGTCACAGACATGAAAAAGGGCAGCTCGGGCGAGACAAGAGGCGTGTTCACACCAAAGAAGGAGGACTATCAGCAGGTGTACAATGAGATTGCCAAGCTGCTGGAGGAGAAGGATGATTATGATGATGGTAGTTACGGTCCGGTGATTGTTCGATTGGCGTGGCATTGCAGTGGAACGTAAGTCTCGCGTGTTTGTCCCTCCTAGCCGAAAGCTAACAAGCAACCTTAGCTATGACAAGCAAACCAATACCGGCGGCTCAAACGGCGCGACCATGCGCTTCGCCCCCGAGGGTGACCATGGCGCAAACGCTGGATTGAAAGCGGCCCGTGACTTCCTCGAACCAGTCAAAGGTACCCAACCTTCCCCTCAAAGCTCTCCGTACCCTTCTAACCCACCCCCAGAAAAACACCCCTGGATAACCTACTCCGACCTCTGGACCCTCGCCGGCGTCTGCGCCATCCAAGAAATGCAAGGCCCCTCCATCCCTTGGCGCCCAGGCCGCACAGACCGCGACGTGTCCATGTGCACACCCGACGGCCGCTTACCCGACGGCGCAAAAGAGCAAAGCCACCTGCGCGCCATCTTCGGCCGCATGGGCTTCGATGACCGCGAAATCGTCGCTCTATCCGGTGCGCACGCGCTCGGCCGCTGCCACACGGACCGCTCCGGCTTCGACGGACCATGGTCTTTCTCCCCGACCGTGGTATCGAACGATTATTTCCGGCTGTTGCTGGGGGAGAAATGGGTTTGGAAGAAGTGGAACGGACCGAAGCAGTACGAGGATGCGGGGAGCAAGACGCTCATGATGCTGCCGACCGACATGGCACTCGTCAAGGATACGAGCTTCAAGAAGCACGTGGAGAGATACGCCAAGGACGACGGGGTGTTCTTCAAGGAATTCAGCGACGTCATCGTCAAGCTGTTCGAGCTGGGCGTGCCCTTTCAGAGCAAGGAGGAGGATCGCATGACGTTGAAGACGTCGGGGGCTTGATCTGACTGCGTACCTCGAGGGCGGTCGATGCGTGAAGGAGACCGCTGCCGCGGCGGCTAGTGCGGCGTGATGATGCATCTTGAGCGACGGCGTCCTTGCTGATGGCTGTAGACATAGACCCCATACCCCCCCTGCCAGCCATTAGAGCTAGACTTAGAATTTGTTCTTCCCTTGCAAACTGCTCGTTCCTGCCATGGTACCAGCGTAACCACGCTGCGTAAATGCCGTTCCATCGCTCAGTGCTTCTTCATCATCAACTAGACACTCTACCATACATAGAGCCTGAAATCGGCTCGTTTACCCGCTATAGTATTGACTGACAAGCTGGCATCAAAGGAAAAGATACCCCCGGTCTCCGATCCCACATCCATCGGACCCATCACCTGCAGCCAACACGCCTTGCACAATGATAATTCGATTGGATATCTGCTGTCTAATGTATGATGCCAGCACGCAAGCTGAAACGATAAGATAGGTACAGTACGAAGGATGCGAGAAGTGATTCGCTGGCTATGATTTTGGGTACAGAAACCAGCTGTCCGTCAGATCTCGGCCGCATCTCGGTGAGTTCTTCTCTCGTGGCATTACTGATCGCTGTTACGGAGTAAAAGACGGAAACTTCTCATCATTCGTTTGGTCAACACGCATCGAGTCCTGTTTCCTCCTCTTGATATGGGGCATCGTATTAGGGTATCGTTCCGGGGACCGCGCCTCTCTCCGCCTTCCTCCTCCGCCTCTTCGCTTCAAACACCGTACCTCCTCACCATCGCATTGACATCTTGCACTTGTTTCGCACCCTCCCTCTCCGCAAGCAATTTCTTCGTCGCCTCGAATTCCGCCATGAGTTTTGGTCGCAGGATGTTCCACGACTGCTTGGAGGCCGGCTTCGAAATGGCGATCGCGGCCTGGTACGACTTGAAATGTTGAAGAACCGACGAGTTCAAACCGGCCAGTTCCGCTTGGGCCTCGTAGAAGCTCTCGCGGTCCTTCCTGAGATCCTTGCCCACCTTCTGGTTGTTGCGCTTGTGAGACTCGTGCCAGTTTTCCACAGCCTGGAGCTTGGGCACAAGAGCGTCATTGGCAGCGCGCTTCTCCTCGAACCAGGCATCAATCGCGTCCTGTGGAGGACAAGTCTTCCCAGGCATGGGTTCGTTGGAGGAAAATCGACCACACTCCACGTCATATTCGTTGCCCACAAAAAGTGCGAGTTCTGAGCTGAAGTTGGCGTAAGCTGCTGCGGGATATGCGGTGTATTGACCACTTCTATGGAGTTGGCCCCACGAGGGCGTAGGATCGTAGCTGCCAAGCCACTGATAGTTGTCCCAGCGGTCAAACTTCATCCCTGGAAGAAATTCATCCATTCCCTGGTAGTACTGTGCAATTAAGCGGTATTGGGGCGTTTCGCTGGTTTCAAGTTCCTTGAACACCCTTCCAAGTGCTCTGGGCTAGGTGCACGTCAGCCCAATGAACTACTACCAATCTAAGTCTCAAACTCAAGGTTCTCACCGGAAGGAAAGATTTTTGGAAGCACTCGATGCACAATCGTTTCTGAAACGCCCAGTACGTCTTTCTGGTTTTTTTGGACTCACAGCCACGCGTCTGGCAGCCCGTGCTGGTAAGAAGATCTGCATATTGTGGTTCCGAGAGGCCTGAAGGTGGGTCAGGCATATCAGGACCGAAGTGATTGACACGAGCTCTCTTCCAGATAAGGCTGTCGTCACTGAGCACGGATCTGAATGTTGAAGAAATTGTGCGAGCTTTTAAAAGGAAATCAGGTGGACAGAACAAGAGAATGTTCTCCCAGACGTCGATGTTGACCCTGGCCTTGACAGGATGGTTCTTTTGAAATCTCGTTGGGCCTTTAGGTATCTTTGGTGCGCGTGACTTTCTACCTTTGGGACGTCCTCCCTTATTACGAGCTGGCTCGACTGAAGAGATTTGAGACGAGCTTGCAGGCGTGGTATCGTCTCTCAAACCGGAATCTGGAGCTAAGGGAGCGATCTGATCTGAGCTCACAGCTGCATCATCATCTCCCATATCACGATCCGAGCCTACTGAAGCAATCTGGTCCGAGATCGCAGGTGTGCTACTGCATCGCAGGTTGGGATCTACTGAAGAGCAATATGGGCTTCTGTATATTGCAATGATCGTCGACAACGAGGTGGAAGCTTCGTCGCTGAGAGGCAGACACACTTCCTTGGGGTTGCCGCCGGTGGCAAATGACGCTTCAGCGTTTGTGCTTTGAATTGGTGGGTGATGAGAGGTCTCATACACAGAACCTGGACGCCCTCTGCTGATTGGGCCTTGAGCTGGTGTATAATGAACAGAGGCTTCGCCAGAGATAGGACGCGCTTGAGCGGCTGTATTGGAAGGTGCGGAGTGATGGGAGAAGTCGCGGGGCTTCTGTTCGGGCACACGATGTACGTCCAGTCTTGAGCTTTTGGCAGTCAAGTTCTCAGCTGATGAATTAGCGAAAGGATGTACGTCAGGCTCTGGTGGTCGACAAGCATAGGGACGAACGTTCAAGCTCTCGTTAGCAAAGTACCTGTGAACGTCAAAGTCGGGAGACATCAACAATGTGTCTGATATTCTGCTCTGATCTAATGATTGGCAATCAAATCCGTAGGCTTTGCACCATCTCCCAAGCATTCTTCGGAAGAGAAGGGTTTCAGCACGAGCGCGATCTACGCTTGAGATCCTTTTGGGAACTCGGGCTGGAGGTAAGCTAGCATAAGAGAGCTTCTGTTTCTTGGTGGCGGGCCCAAGGTCTGTGGTATCGTGAGCTGGAGCTGGAGCTGGAGCTGGAGCTGGAGCTGGAGCTGGAGCTGAAGGCAGAGAGCCGTGATCGAGCTCCAGGTTTTGGATAGTCAGGCCATGGTTTGCCATATCATGATCTTGAGCTGGAGAGACAGAGCAGTGGTCTGACTTCTGTTTCTCGGTCCAGGGCCCAGAATTTGTCATTTCATGGGGTTGAGCTTGAGCTAGGAGCCGAGAAGCTTCAACGAGCTTCGGTCTCTCGTTAGTAGGCCTATTTTCCGTCGTGGCATGGGCTTGAGGTTGAGCTGGAGCTGGAGGCACGAAGCCGTGAAGGAACTTCTGTTTCTTGGTAGAAGGCTCCATGACTGAACCATGAGCAGCCTTGCGTTTAGATGCGTTTCTTGATTCTTGCCGTGCGACATACTCTCGAACGGTTTCAGGCGTACTATTCTGAAACCACATGATGGGCGTGGTCAAGCTAAGTAGAAGATGCGTGGAAATCGTAAGCAACGAGGTAGAGGTCTTCGACGGATGGCAGAGGTCAGAGGAAGTTTGCTGTACGGCCACAAGGGAATGTATAGTTAAGGAGAGTCGGTGCTGTCTTTTTTGTGGTCACTGACCGAAGTTGATGGAAGGACTCAGAAGAAACATGTTAGTGTCTACATGGAAGTGAAGTGGACGGATTGATTATCCGGAAAGTGTTGAACGTACGGACGTAGCACTAGCTTCGGAGATTAACCTTAGTGGCGGGAGTAGACTCTTGGCATTAATGGTTGCGGTCTGCAATACCTTACGGGTGGTAGATGAAGTCTACTTTACTGATGCTGGATGCTAACAAAAGTGCGACAATAGAGCTCAAGTAATGAGCTGGTCGTACCGTGATAATCCTCAGAATATAAGTGTGACGGTTGATTGAGAATGAGCCAATGAAAAAGGTCTATGGGTACATCCCTAATGCCATACTACTGTGTTTCAAGAACAAGAAATCCTGGCAACTATTTCTTTCGTTTTTTCCTTCGGACTTGCCCTGTATGACCTCTCGCTGCAAAGCCCACGCACCTTTCCACTATCTCCTCTTGCTCTTGCCATCCCGGCGGCCATCTTGAGAAACCAACCAGTATCATATTGATGCATTCCATGGCAAAGTTCCTCGAAAATCTCCACTTTGCGGGCTACGATCCGCTATGATATCAAAACCGGATCGGTATAATAATATTGCTAACAAATTCAGCATGCGTCAAAGCCGCACAAGGCGCTTTTATCTGAGTCTACCCAAAGCGAGAAACATGTAACTCCCTAGTTGAACATACTCAATAACTGCACAAGCATGTGTTTTATCTGAGTAACGTACCTGAGTTGTATTTCACGACTGCGCCACTACCCGTCACTGAGAGCGATTTGGCATCTTTCCAGCCTAAGCTTTGTCAGCTGCATATCCCGAGATCATGAATCAGTCAACATACAAGGAAAAGCCTAAGTGATTCTGTCGAAACCCCCCGCAGCGATTTTTGTGAGCTGGGAAGTCAGCATCTCTGGCTCAATGGGATCGCAAGAAAACGCAACACACCGCTTCGATGAACATTATGTCGAATTGCAAGAACCAATTAATGAAGGAGGTTGAGCCTATACCTATACCAAAGCACCTCATTCCAAGCGGCCAATTGTCGATCCGGGCTCGGAGTTCTCTCGCATTCCTGCTATCTGGATGAACCATATAATCTCCAGGAAGATGTTCAGATTGGATTAACAGTTCCGTAAACATCCAACTACAAATATAGATGCGGTTGACCCCATCTGCGGCGGTAGTCACTACCATGGGGACTGAAGCCCTGGCGTCATCTGCTAATGGTACTTCGTAAGTATCACCGCATAGTGGGAGTAATCCAGGAAACAACGAACGTGACTCAGAGAGTTTAGTGTATCAGCCTTGTAGAAGCGTTGAAAATCAAACATCCACATTCCCATACCTAACTTCAAGATCACCGACATCAACTCATTGTACTCCTTTGAGATTGTCTGCATTAGTGATTCACCGGCACAATAAACGATCTAAGTAATCAATCAGGAATCGGAGAACCCTGATTTGAAAGTAAGAGTCGCAGAGGTGCATCTTCTCAAACTGATGGGGCGGATACCAAATCGCCGGCTTCATCCTCGTCGTTATCGACCTGTCTATCAAATTTCGCGATGCCTGGAAGGTTCTCCGGCCCCTCTCCCGCGAACACGTCTTGGACCCAGAGTATTTTAGAAATATACCGTTTCGTAGCTCTGATACTTCTACTTGCCTTCGATCGCATCAATATCATCTCTACAGCAACCGATTCCTCTCTTGGGGTTAACAGATAGGAACAATCTTTAAAGCTTGGACTTGACTCGCTGCAGGCTGGAGCTCATCACTGCCAGTGCCCCTATAACTTTAATCACTGGCTCCAATGGCGAGGTCAACAGCTTCTCAATAAACTCACAACTCATCAAGAATGCGCCAGCAGCCCAGTTCGCAAGTCCGCCAGCGACATGTTAGACCGGGCTCGGGAAAAGGAACCCTATTAATTGCCAGGTGCTTGCCCTCACCGAGAACACCCTGACGAGTTTTTCCAGTAACCAGGCTTTACAAGCCACCTTGGTCATTTATGATATGAAAGATATGCTCTGCTTGTCCAGCCAAAGGGCAGAAGCCGGTCGACAGCCCGAGATTCCTCGCTGTCACGGTCTCGTATCCATCCTTTTCATGCTTACCAACCCATCACAGATTCCGGTCTCTATTCTTGTCCGGCTCCGATGATTCCACTTGGTGCCAATTCCTCGAATAAATAACATGTTGGCGGTATTCTGATGCTTTTGAGGACTACTGTTAATCCGATGTTAGGGAATAAGTCCTTCCTTGTAGAGTATACAGATATGTGTAGGGAACGTCAGAAGTGAGTGAGTGCATGCGTGCGAAAAGGGGGTGAATTGAGGGCCTGCATAAAGAAGACTTTCGGGGGTCCAAGTGCCCGAGGATCAATGCTGACTGACCGCCATTCCAGAAATGTCGAGAGTAAGCGAATCGGCTGGTTGAACGGCTCCATCCGATTGGACCTAGCGTGCCCTAACATGCGATTGCGGGGTAAGGTAACCAAAGACGAAACCTGCGGTTACAAAAGCTTCCGTACCTGCAAAGCTGTTCATGCGTATAGCATCGTTTTCTTATCCAATTCACCAAGGTCGTTAATCAATATAAATAGAAACAGGAGGCTTTTTGGGGGGGAAAATGCTCATAATGGGGACACACAATAGTAACGACACCCTCCCGGCGGCTGTAAACATTCCATTGACTCTTTTCAGAGACGTCCGGATCCTCCGATTCACCTGTAGACGACAAGGAACAATACGGCGGCAACTATTACGATCCCCATGTTGCCCAGCCTGGAGCGGAATATGACGATGACCTCGGCGTCCAGTGCCCTTCGCATAGTACGTATATCTCCGAGCCATTCTCCCCTCTCTGTACGAGTACCAAAGTCGCAAGACGTAATGCGCGAGGGAAAGTTCCCCTTCTACTGCCGAGACTCGTGTCATATCAGGGTTCTTGCCTTGAAGAAGCATTGCTGAATCCGAAATGTGCGTAGCCTCCCAGCGCAGACTTGTCTCCAAGATCGATCTTCGCGTGATACCCGTCCTCAGTCTCATGTATCTGCTGGCCTTCCTCGACCGGACCAATATCGCCAACGCGTCCGTGTTCGGTCTCCAGAAGGATCTGAAACTGACCGGTACTCAATATAATACCGCCTTGACCATGTTCTTCATACCATATATCGTCTTTGAGATACCGTCGAATATCATTCTGAAAAGACTCAAGCCGCACGTCTGGCTATCGGCGTGCATGTTCCTCTTCGGCCTCGTAACCATCTGCCAAGGTTTAGTGAAGAACTGGAGCGGGCTTCTTGCAACTCGCTTTTTCCTAGGTCTCGCCGAGACAGGCATGTTCCCGGGTTCTTTCTATCTTATTGGCATGTGGTATAAGCGCTCCGAGGCCCAGAAGCGTTACTCTTTCTTCTTCGGTAGTACCAGTCTAGCCGGGGCCTTCGGCGGCCTTCTTGCATCCGCGATTGGCAAAATGGATGGGATGCGTGGCTATCTTGGCTGGAGATGGATCTTTATCCTTGGTATTCCTCTTCCCGCGAGTTGCCATGCCAAATGCATCCCACTGATTTTGGAACAGAGGGCGTGCTTTCGTGTGTCATTTCATTCGCACTCTACTTCATGATCCCAGACTTTCCGGAAGAGGCCAAATGGTAAACAATTGCTTCCCCATCCCTCCCACCGACGGGTAGATGTAAATAACCAATCCCACTATTCGCAGGCTCAGAGAAGACGAACGCGCCTACATCAAAGCCCGGCTCGAGAAGGACCAAGGTCGCTCCGCCCGCGAGCGCCGCATCACCCCCCAAGACGTCTTCAACTGCTTCAAAGACTACAAGTTCTTCCTCGGCGGGTTCATGTATTTTGGACTCATCGTCCCCGCCTACGGCTACGCATTCTTCGCCCCCGGTATCATCAAATCATACGGTTATACTCAAATCGGCACCCAACTGCACAGCGTCCCCCCGTGGGCATGCTCTTTCGTCTTCGCGCTCATCGTTGCTTTTCTTCTCGGACCAGTTCAAGCATCGCTTCTTGTTCACACTGATTCCGATCGCCATGTCCATCGCTGGTTTCGCTATCCTATTGACCGTGCACACGAGGCCGCATCTCGAATACGCAGCGCTGTTCCTCGTCACCATGGGCACTTACTCGGCCCTGCCGGTGACGGTCTGCTGGTTCAACCTCAACCTCGGTGGCCACCATCGTCGAGCGGTCGGAACGGCCTGGCAGATCGGCTTCGGCAACATTGGCGGGATCATCGCCACCTACGCTTTCCTGGCCAAAGATGCACCGCGTTACAGACAAGGCTATGGCATCTGCATCGGCTTTGCATGTCTGAGCGCAGCGGCTTGCTGTGCTTACGCCGCTAGCGTGCTGGTGCAGAACAGGAACCGGGACAAGGCGGGTACGGATCTCGGGCTGACGGAGTTTGAAAAGACGGAGAAGGGGGATATGAGTCCTGATTATCGATATCTGCTGTAAATGGAGTAGGTGTTATGCCTAATTCTGAAGGATTTTCCTCTCAATTTACGCATTTTTGTGTGAGTATTGGCCAGACCGAATCGGCGCTTCCTAACCGAAGGATATTTAGTAAAACAATTAAACGCATTTAAAACATTTCCCTTGTAGGTTGACGAGGTGTAAGGAAAGATCTTGGTGGACAGGGTCTGACACCGCGTCTGAATTGTAGGACTTCAACAATGCAACTCCCTTGCAGGTTGACGAAGTTTCAAAAAAATTTCGTGAACAGGGTCCCATTTTTCTGAGAACGCGCTTAAATTGTAGGACTCTCAAACACGGACGGTTTCGAGCAACGACCCGTTTTCACCCATGCGTAATAGCATATCCTCTTCGGGCTTGCAATTATCCTCCTGGAGTTGTTGGGTCTTTGAATCACCTCTGCAAGAAGTCCACGATGCTCAAAACAAGGAAAGGGGAATGGAACATGCTGCTTATTTAGCCGTTAGGACGCTGGGGACGACTAAAATGGCACCTCTTGGCTCCAGGCATGGGAGGATCACAAAGAAGTGTCTCGGCTGCGAATTCAACACGGTCGAACAGGAGTTGCGAGACTCAAAATTCAAGAACGTAGTATTACAGTTTCAACCGCAGGAGGGCAATTCCAGAACACCTGATACACATTCCCAAATCCAACCCGGTACTTCCATAGCATTCTATAGCTATCTAGATGTCTGTCTGTATAAAAAGTCCCACCGCCGCACGGGAAGGCGGAATGACGGTGGGGTGGAGAAGACACGGCTCTGCTAAAAACCTGGTGCTATTCTCCCACCGGCTGGAATAAAAGTATGCCCCGAGACCATTGATTGAGAGGTACAGGAGGTAGGCAAAGCCGTGGGGGTGATTATAAACGTTCAATGCATTGATTGCATTTTGGGGGGGGGTGAACGGATGTTTGAGAAGACAAATGAGAACGCTTATAAGAGACCGTGGAGCGGGATGGTAGCAGCGCGCATGGAGAAAACCCACACCGTGATCTGGACCATCGGTGTACGCGATGAGGTTGGGAGGAGTAAGTTCTCTGTTCCTGAGCGCGCCGGGAATTCTTCCAGGCGGTGGGGGTTAAGAAGTTCTAATCGCTGTCGAGAGGGTGGTGGTAGGGAGGAGAGTGTGAACAGCGATCAGACTGTCTTGATTACACACTGCTATGCTTTGAAGGCCAGTCGACCCGCCAGATTGTCCCTTTCGTTGTGTGTGGAAGGAGTGGAAATGCAGATGAAATTTTCTCATACCAAGCTTTTTCTTTTTCGTCTTAGCGCATCATGTGACCTACGCGTCATACACGTATTGATCAGACATTGAGTCTCATCCTTACGATTTTTGCGTGGTGACATTTTATCGTTGTGGATAGTAACGTTGGCCCCTCGCCGAAACTGGGACACCTTCCTAGCCATAACTCGGCGAGTTCATAGTGGAGAATTCTGGGGACCAACGACGAGACTCGATGCTGTGGCAGTACCGTACGTACATGCAGCCGTTGAATATTCCATTCATCATCCCAAGCTTCCAAAAATGCATGATCCAACAAAAGATGCGGAGAGCATCACTCGCTAGAAGAAGCTCTTCCCCCTATAAACACCAACATCGTAATGCAGGCCTTGAAACCCAGGGTTGGGCCATATATCATACTTTCAAGGAGTTATCGAAACTGCTCAGACAACGCTAAACATGGCAAAGAAATTATCGAAACAGAATCGAACCAAAGATCTCCACCTCACCAAGCCCGTGACAGGTCCCGCCCGCGAGACCCAAGCCTTCCTCAGGAGCACACCCCTGACCTTAGAAATCTTTTGCTGTCACACCTTCCCCCTCTTCCTCAGCGCCATAAGCAAAAGTAAAACATAATCGTTCCTAGTCTCCACACTCCACGGACTCCCGCAACCAAATTCCCTCTCCTTCTTCATCAACGCCGCCCTCAGCACCAACTCTGCCTCCCACAATCTCCCCATATCTCTCAACGACGCCCCGTATTGCCCCGCCGTCTCCAGCGTGCCCTTGTCATTCTTACCCCTGCGCTCGACGTCCGAATAGAAAGCTGAGCGCATCGATACTAGTGCTTCGTCTTTTCTCTCGGTGCACGCCATCAGTCGTGCAATCTGCCGCCTGTTACCGAGAAGGGCCGTGTGGCTTGCTGGTAGGACTTTCTCGCCCTCTGTGACCACGCCGAGGGCCACTGCTTCGGACTCTGGGTATTTTCCTATCTCGTATAAGAGGCGTGAGATTCGTGCTTTGCTGTGGAAAGAGACGGGCGGGCGTGGGGTGGATGATGACGAGAGTGGTCGATCGAGTTGGATGGCCTGGTCGCAGAGGAGTTGAGCCTCTTTCCGTGCTTGACCAGAGGTTTTTTCCTTGAGGAGCGTTTCTGATAGACTGGTAAGCATGTTGAGGTACTCTTCATCCTTGATCTTTGAGTGCGATTCATAGATGTTCAAGGCCTTGCGGAGGTTCTGTGCAGATTCATGGAAGAAACCCTGGTTGTACGAGAGCACTGCGAGTTAAAATAACACGTTGGCTACTTCCAGGCTGTCTTTGCCGCGAGTCTGTTCTCGCAAATGCAGGTACTTGTATCCGTATGACTGCACTTTGACGTAGTGTTTAGAACTGTTGGTCGCATTCATTAAGTCTTGTAGGATCACGCCATGGAGCTGAGTCTCTTGGCCGTTCTCCTCGAGCCTTGCCTCTAGGTCTTGCAACTGTGTGGTATTCTCCGCCGTTCTGCCTTGTAAATTGAGGGCGAATGCCAGTAGCTGCAACATAAGCAGCGTCTGTTTATGTGTCTTACCGACTGTTGCTTCTCGAAGGACGATCGTTCTGCGACATAGGGTTTCTGGCTCTGGAAGTTTACGCTTCGTTCTAAGGAGGCAGACGGCAAGACTCCAGGCACTGAAAAGAGTGTCTGCATGATCGATGCCAGATGATTTTCTCATATTCCTAGCCTTTGTAGGACTGGCAAAATCCAAGGTTGGTTTTATGCTTAATCTCTTCTCCGGTGTTTGTTTCCTCAATTCGAAATATTGGTTGTAGCCAGACTCTGCTCTCGAACATTGGTCGCACAGATACAGTGTTATTGCCAGGGATTCCAGAGCAAATAGCGTCTTTGTGTGAGCGGGACCAAGCTCTGTTTCATGATGTTGAAGCGCTTCCGCGGCCAATGTGATTGCGTCCTCGTTCTTATCCTGTCTGCGCAGACATATCGAGAGCTGAAAATTTGTCTCGCTGATGAGATGATGTGTGTGGCCCAGCACCGATATCCGGATGGCTAAAACCTCGCGAAACACAGTCTCAGCCTCATGCCATCTCTCCTGTTTTTGAAGATTTAGACCAAGATTGTGGGTACTGAGCAGTGTTAAATCATGCTTGGGTCCAAGTCTTTGCTTCCTGCCTGTAACCACCTCTTCTAGTCATGTCAATTCAATCAGCGGTCCAATGGTCTCCTCAACTTCGTGAGAATTGACCTCGGAGCCACAAAGAAGATTTTCCATGGGGATTCCTTGTCCAAGTACAAAGCTCATGAAGCAAAGATTCTCGGCAGCATCTGGGTTTTTTTCCCTTGCTGTGCTTGAACGTAATGAATCATGTTTTCAGGACGGAATTTGAGAAGTCCTGATCTAGTTCATCTGAGTCCCGTCGGATATCATTGGCAGCCATCTTAAGATAGCGAACCTGATCAGATCGGAAAGGATTCAGATAAAGAGATGGTCCTCCGACCAGAACCATTACTGATATATGCCGCGGCCTGAGTTATGGCGAGAGGGAAGTACTCGAGGAGACTGACCAGTTCCTTCGCATCTTCCATAGACGATTTGTCTTTAGGGAGCTTTTTGCGCAGCAGAGACAACGCGTCTGGCTCTGGTAGACGGCCCACGGAGATAATGCAATCGTCTTCATTGGCGATATCCCTTGCTGCGACTCGATTCCTTGAGTAATAAGTATCGAACCGTGCGATACTTGTGGGAGATGCCTATGAAGTTGGTGCACCTCGAGGCTCGCATTCGGATTCGGAGTATGTTCCCTTCGACTCGAGCTGGAAAGCACCGTCTCGTCGTCGACGTTATCGACCACCATTAACCAGGCCCCGTTCATTGGATCACGGAGCCAGCCGCTGAAAAGTTTCCCAACGTTAATTTCTGGATCGTCCCATCCCGATAATTTCAGTTGGCGAGCTAGGTCTCTATAGCTTTTTTGGAAAGCGTCCTTTCGAGCGCCTCGGACCCGAAATATACGGGCGGGTGGCGAGCGCTTGTGGGCACGACGTGCATACTCTATGGCTATCTGAGATTTGCCAATCCCGGCCCAACCAACGAGAGCCATTTGTCGATACTTGCTGAAGCCAGCATCCAGCCCCTCAATTACATCTATCCGGCCCGTGAACTTGGGATCTGGGTCGAATGCAAATGGAATCTATGGAGGTACTTCGGGGTTCATGGGCTTGCCTCCGGTCATTTGACCAATGTCTTGAGATACGATAGCCAGATCCTCCTTGAGGCTCTTTAGGAAGAGCAAGACCTCTGAATGCCGGAACAGTTCGTCCTTGGTAAACAAAACCCGTAAAAGTTCTATGCACTCCGAGTCACTTCGCCGTATGTGAGCTAGTACGTCGGACATATCATCCAGATTCGGAATGAATCGTAGAAACCTGACGACTGTGTCCCTCTGATAGAAACAGGCTGCCGAAATCTGGTACCTGAGAATTCAAAGCTCCGAATTTGAAAACATCTGCAATTGAACACCCATAACAAGAAGAGTATGCGCTCGTAATACGTCATTGACCTCAGCACTTGTCCCGACATCTACAGCCGTCTCTATCCCCAGAAATCCTTCCGTTCTGTCCTTCAACTACCTTTCAGATGACTCATTCGCCCACCAAATTGCCATTTGAGGACACCGAAATTGGTCACTGAGCTGTAACTCCATCTGCCCTCCAATCCGAGGGAGAGAAGACATATCTGTCTATAGAGCTATCTAGGGGAATCGAATGACGCACTTGACGAGAGGGTGCGGGAAGCCTTCTATAACGCTGATAGATTGGGGACTGAAGGCGGCAAGCCAAGTGACTTCATCTGCGGCTTTTTCGGACTCAGCGGCCAGGTGTCTATCAAGATGCCGATGAACCATTGTGGTGGCTTTGCAGGCTACAATTCAGCCTTCCCAGCGCCTCAATTCATCTAGATGTCAAATGGAATAAGTAGTGTATGGTAATTACACCAAGCCAAGGCTAATACTTAAAGTACCTTAGCCAGGCGGCCACCAAAATCAATAGTGGGGTCCTGCCAGGTCCTTCCTTCTGCTGCTGATGTATCTATAATCGTTGACAGTGGTACTGCGCGATCTTGCTTCCATCGCCGCAGAGCGGTCTAGTGATTCTGGTAATTCAGTATGAACTAATAACGCCTCTACGGGAATTTAGCTTGTAGTTCTTTCAACTTAAGAGGCGGTCATGTTACTCTGACTTTTCAGACTTGCCTTCTTTACTGTTGCCGCTCTGCGAATACCATGCGCCTCAAAGTTGTTTCCTCTAGGAAACATGGAAATATCGTGAAAGCATCAAGCTGGCGCGAAGCCGACTTAACTAGGAATGAGAACCCTTAGGATGGCTTGGTAGCATTACTGGCGGGTGGGATGGGGTCTTTAAACCTCGATGGTCCTGACGTCGGACTATCTGATGTTGAAAGAGTCTCTCAGCATGAAACGCCTGCTAAAGCTTCAAAATTTTGGAACTAGCCCTTTCCTTTAGACTTGCGCCTCCCTTCCTAGAGACCATCAAACAGTTCTGATACTACTATCGAGGGTGCGGAGGGATGAATTCCTCTCGGAGCCTGACATTGGTGGGTTCATAATGTGAAGCATATATCAGCCGCCTCATCCGAAGCAATTTGCCTATTCAACGCTCTTCCTAAGCATGATCGCTAATGTGATCGTATAGTAAGAAAAGTTACTGGGCCATAGCAGCCCAGCAACTGCAACGAGCGGAGCCTGCATTGGCTGAAGCTCTGCTGAAAATCCAGAGTGCCGCACTACTAGAAGGTCAGGACCTTGCCGAGGTACTACTAGCGGAGACGGAGAGAAGAAAAGACCAACTTCTCGAGAAGAGATGGAAGATCGAGCTTGCCGGAAAAGAAATTATTCTTCACGACAAGCTAAGCATGTTCTGCAAGTCTATCCAAGCGTCCAAAGTCATGGGCAGCCTAATGGCAGATTTAGACCCTCCCCATGCTGGTTTGCCACGGGCTGGATTTGCGTTTTGATGCAAATTGCGTTAAGCGAAGCTGATCAATACGCCGCTATGGTCGCTGGTGTAGAAGAAGTCGCCAAGCTCATTTCCCGCTATACGCACGTCGAGTTCATATGTCAAAAACGGCAGGAGGTCACTCTCGACAATGAGTTCGAAGAGCGATTGCTCAATTTGTATGGGCAATTCTATGGCGTGGGTGTAAAAGGACCTCTTCACGGCTGTTATCGGTATTTTTGACGTGTACATGCGTACTAGAACACAAGGATCCTGTGCGCAGTGGTCGCAGGGAAACACACAAGCACCGGGAAGAGGACAACATGCTGGTCTCAGTTGCACGGGGGAGAAGCATTCAAGGATATGGTTTGCTGTGATTTGTTGGTGCGAAGAAACGGTGGAAGGAAAACCATCACTACTTCAACTCCTAGCCTGGCAAGACGAGTATTTCCTTCTCAAAGTAGGGAACTTTCCAGGCAGTGTAGGTCGAGTTGTATATTCCTTAGCCTGCTAGCGTTGATTCACAAGGGTCGTTTCGTTGGCTGGCTAGCCCATCTTTGTTCTTTCCAGAGTACGTGAAAGCAGCCAACTGGCACCGGCGAAATGCCGACATCAACAAAGTCCATCACAGAGAGAAGAGAGTAGCCATTGCGCGATTGTTAAGTCCTGGGTTTTTAAATATTGGAGAAGGGCTAGGGTTTCTTAGCCGCTAGCGCCCGAGACCGAGGGACCCACTGGATCTGGATCTTCACGCCCTTCTCTTCACACTTTAACGCACGCATAATCAACCGCCAAACCTGCCAGCGTATCTCACGCTCGGCTTATAGGCTGGTCGGTCATATTGGCGGTCCAGATCGACGGAAAGATGGCAACCATTGACAATTGCTGCTTCGCAAAGCACTCAGCTGCGAAAGGAGTACTGGAATGCCCGACATCCCATAACCACGGTACCTAGCCTATCATCACGACACCCAAATGTATCCAACCATCCAAGTATGCTGCGATCCTCATCAATTCCTCCACCGACGCCCCCATGGGCACCACTGCTCCGTGAAGCACAGCTTCGGCGAGGATCGGCGTCCTTCGGCTAGGAAATAACGTTGGCAACAACGCATGCAGAGCTGTGCCTAGGGTCTGTTTTTCTCGTGAGTTGGATAAGCTAGGCGTGACGAGCGACTGTACGACGCGCAGATGGCCAGATGCCGGCTCAGCGGCCGTAGGCGAGGAAGGTAGATAGATTTTCAGAGGTATATGGCGAAGTGGAGCGCCCTGAGCATAAAGGAGTCGTTTGGAGATTGTGTTGTACCCGTCAAAGTCATCTATCCGTTCTCTCTGTCAGTCTCGGTCCACATCTTGTACAGAATACTGCTCGAGCCATACGTTCTTGGACAGCGTTCCACAGCTTTGTCGAATCGTCTTTTGACAATGACATGATTCCCTTGGCCGTGCCATTCCTGAGAAAGTCCGCCTCTTTCACACTGTTGATAAACGCATCGTGCAGCATCTTCCCTTCAGCATCAGGACGTACCAACGACTGCTCCGGCCAATCTGTGAAGTGTAGCGTCAGCCGCCATGGCAACTGTTCATCTGTACTATCCGAGGGCGAACGGTGAGCAATATCCAGACCAGATGCTTGTGACGGAGAAGCCCCGGAGAATAAATCGTAGAGCAGCCCAAGCGGATACTGCCATTTCAGAGGGACTTCTTCAAAAGAGAACCAACCATCGTAGGATATCACATCAGTGTTTATAAGTGACGGGATGAAGAAAGCGTGGAGACGGTGGAGAAGGAAAGGTAGGTAAGAGAGCCGGGGGTATTGGACGAGATAAGGATCGGCTTGATCGTAGACTCGACATTCCGAAGGTGATAGACGGATCTCTATAGGTAATGATCCATCCCATACCGAGCTCTGTAGATTCTGAGCTTCTCTCGTAGTGGCCATGATGGCGAACCTGACTTCCAGCGGTGCTGGAGCTTCAGAAGCCCCAGGTGTCTTTGAGCCATTGTGCTTGCCGACACATTTTCGTCTGACAAAAACACTTGCCGGAGTCACTCAATCCCGTCAGGCTCACAGCGGAATCTCCGCCTGTGACTCAGCCCTACGGCAGGCGGGCGCGGCGCTAGTGTGAAGAACCCCATGAACGTTGACAAGATGAGCACAGTACGAGATTCATACCTAGTCCATCAAACACTCAACTCGGTCTATTTCTGCACATCGGTTGTCTGCCCATATGTGCACTGAAGTTCAAAGACGCCAGTACAGAAGACCGCCACTTTTTCTGGCTGCTTGTCTGACGGATATCTTGTCTGCGAATACTATACAATAACTTTCACATTTTCTAGCAGTATGAACGGCCATTTAACAAACGGTGTGAGGGAGACCGCTTCCAATAATATGCCTGACCGACTCCCATCGCCGCCCCCACCTCCCCCAGATGTCGCAGCTCCTCCCCCTCCTCCAGACTCATCTGCTCCACCTCCACCCCCAGAAGATCTACCACCACCGCCGCCATCTAGTTCCAATGGCGACCCGCCTCCGCCCCCCGCCCGAAGTGAAGAAAAAGAAGGCTGGCTGGGGTGCTACACCTAGCAGGCAGCCTTTGAGTGTAGAAGAGATACTACGCAAAAAGAAAGAGGCGGATGAAGTTGCTTCAAAGGTATGAACCCGAGTATTCAACATTTACATTACATTATATTCACCTTGTGCCTCACTCTAGTAACTTAACGAGCCCTACTGATATTTTGTTTCCTTGTTTAGCCCAAATTTCTATCGAAGGCGCAGCGCGAAAAGCTAGCTCTTGAGAAGCGAGAGAAAGAGGTTGAGGAGCAAAAAAAGAAGACCGATTCTTCTGCGAATACCAGCAGGGCAACCCGAAATGGAGACAAAAGTGCCCCAGCTCAGCCCATTAGAAATGGAGCAGGCCGACCTGCAACGCAGACAAGCGGAGTCAATGGATCTGCTCGTCCTCCAGTACCAACTGGTCCGAGAGCTTTGCGGAAAGGCGAGATACCGACAGGGCCTGCTTCCATGCGTGCCTCGGAGCCAAACAAAGGCTACGACATGGCTCCTCCACCTCCTCCAAAGCCATCAGTAATCGGCACGTCTGCAGCCAAAGGGGAAAAGCGACCTGCTATTGAAGAGGCTCAGCAGAATTTGATAAAACAACGATATATGGGCGCGGACCAAAACCAATCCACCTTTTCGGCCAAGAAGAAGCGGAGGCGGACTACAGAAAAGAAGTTCAACTTTGAGTGGAACGCAGAGGAGGATACAAGCCCGGACTACAACCCGCTGTATCAGGCACGAGCAGAGGCAACATTCTATGGCAGAGGCCGCTTGGGAGGATTTTCAGAAGACTTGGCTGACAGCGCAGCTCGTAATTACGCTAGAGCCTTGCAAGATACGGATCGCGACTCAGGCAAGGCTAGAGCGAAGGAGATGATGGAGATGGAGAGGAGAAGGAAGGAAGAGGGTGGTAGAAGCTCGTTAGACAAACATTGGAGCGACAAGAGGCTAGAGCATATGCGCGAAAGAGATTGGAGAATCTTTAAAGAAGACTTCAATATCAGTACAAAAGGTGGAGCTATCCCGAACCCCATGCGCTCATGGGCAGAATCAGGCTTGCCAAAGAAATTGCAGGACGTCGTGGACCTTGTCGGCTATACCGAACCTTCTGCAGTACAGCGCGCTGCCATCCCTATCGCCCTTCAATCTCGAGATCTTATCGGTGTTGCTGTGACAGGTTCGGGTAAAACAGCAGCTTTCCTATTACCCCTTTTGGTCTACATATCGGAACTTCCAGCCCTCAATGAGCTGACGAAAAACGATGGTCCCTACGCTGTCATCTTGGCTCCTACTCGTGAGTTGGCTCAACAGATCGAGATCGAAGCAAGGAAATTCGCGACTCCTCTTGGGTTTACGTGTGTCAGTATTGTTGGAGGTCACTCTCTCGAAGAACAGGCCTACAATCTACGGGATGGAGCCGAGATCATTATTGCCACACCTGGCCGTCTGGTTGACTGCATCGAGAGGCGAGTGCTCGTACTTGGACAATGCTGTTATGTCATCATGGATGAAGCAGACAGAATGATCGATCTTGGCTTCGAGGAGCCAGTCAACAAGATTCTCGATGCCCTTCCCGTCGCAAATATGAAGCCAGACTCAGAAGAAGCAGAAGATGCTGTTGTCATGAGCCAACACTTGGGCGGGAAAGACCGCTATAGGCAGACAATGATGTACACAGCTACTATGCCCTCAGCTGTCGAACGGATAGCCCGGAAGTACCTTCGTAGACCAGCCATCGTCACCATCGGCAATGTCGGCGAAGCTGTCGAGACCGTCGAGCAGCGTGTCGAATTCGTGGCAGGCGAAGATAAGAGGAAGAAGCGCTTACTCGAGATCTTATCGTCAAGAGAATTCCAACCACCTGTCATCGTCTTCGTGAATATCAAACGCAACTGCGATGCTGTTGCTCGGGATATCAAGCACAGTGGTTTCTCGTCTGTCACATTGCATGGGAGCAAGACCCAAGAGCAAAGAGAAGCAGCGTTGGCGTCCGTCCGGAGCGGCGGTACTGACGTGCTTGTTGCTACGGATCTGGCAGGCAGAGGTATTGATGTGCCTGATGTCAGTCTGGTGGTCAACTTCAATATGGCGACTAACATCGAGAGCTACACCCATCGTATTGGTCGTACAGGTCGTGCTGGGAAGAGCGGTGTTGCTATTACCTTTCTTGGCAACGAGGACTCTGATGTTATGTATGTATACTTCCTGCTCCCTTTCGAAAATTTCGCTAATGGATGCTTAGGTACGATCTCAAGCAAATGCTTTCAAAGTCTTCGATCTCCAGGATGCCTGAGGACCTCCGAAAGCACGAAGCAGCACAGCAAAAGTCGCAGAGAGGTAGTGGCCAGAAGAAGATAGAGGACAGTAGTGGCTTCGCCGGGAAGGGCGGCTGGCAATAGCCTTAGGAAGATGATTTGACAGCTTCTCAACAATCAGCAATCTTACATCATTAGCAGCCACCCTCAAGAACGCCAGGAAAACTCACGGTGACTATCCGTAAAATGTGTCGTTCATGAGTAACGTCATTTTATGGAAAAGGTGAGATAGCGAATGATTTCCTCGTTGATGCTGGCTTTACGATACCACTAAACTACATCTTCGCCTTCGGCCTCCACCTAATCCAATCGTGCTCCTCACTACCCGGCACCAAATAATCCACATCCCGTGTATTCACCAGCCCCGGCCCCGCCTGTCCGACGTCCGTAATCCCGGCCAATCGCATGCTCGTCTCCAACTCATCCTTCAATATCTGACTCAGATGCTCCACGCCCTCTTGCCCGTAGCACAAACTGTACAGAAACGGCCGACCGATCCCCACGGCCGTTGCCCCGAGCGCGAGCGCTTTCAATATGTCAGTACCCCGCGTGATTCCACCGTCGACGTAGACTTCACACCGGTGGAAGATCTCGGGGCAGATGCGGTGCAACTCCAGCAATGTAAGCATGGACGGTTGTGCCGTGTCGAGGGAGCGGCCGCCGTGGTTCGAGAGCACGATGCCCTGGACGCCGTACTCGACCGCTCTCTTCGCGTCCGCGGCGCTCTGGATCCCCTTGACGACAACCGGCAGCCGCGACGTCTGCTGGATCCAGGGGATGTCGTCCCAGCTCAGCGTCTTATCGATGTACTGCCCCATGAGCCTCCCCATCCCGCCGCCTTTCCGGTCGTTGGAAGCCACGGCGCCGCTGATGGCCGAGGATACGTTCTCGGCCGCGATGCGCTCGTCCGCCTCGCGCTTCCCCGGCACGTGGGCGTCGACGGTGACGAAGATGGCCTTCACGCCCAGCTCGCGGGCTTTGCGCAGCAGTTGCGTGGTTTTGGCGCGGTCGGCGTTGACGTAGAGTTGGAAGAAGAAGGGCTGGTTGGTGCAGCCTGCTTGGATGACGGAGGCGAGGGGGTAGGATGCGTTGTTTGATATCTGTCGTGTAATCAATCATTTATCTAATGCTATTATACGTCTTCCTTTTGAGATTGCTCACCACTTGGATGAGGCCTTCACTTGCACAACCCCTGGCCAAGGCAAGTTCACCGTCGGGATGGGCAAGCCGAGCCATGGCTGCCGGACTGATGAAGAAAGGCGCCGAGCTGGGGCAGCCTAGGATTGAGCGCCGCGTTTCGGCTTTTGCCACATTCCGCATCACTCGAGGGCGTAGCATGATTCTTCTGTATACGTCCGAGTTCCAATGGTGCGTGACCAGATCGGTAGCTGCGGAGGAGTAGAAGGCCCATGCTTTCGGTGTCAAAGTATTGCGGGCTACGTCCACGAAGTCTTGTGTGGAGATGAGTTTGAAAAGTTCGGGCTTCGTATAAGTCTCCGTCGAGGTAGATTGTCCTGTTGTCTTTTCGATGGTCTCCATATCTTCCTTTTGTTCCGGAGGCAGATTGACCACCTCGGCCTGATCCAGGAGTCCTTTGTAACACTCGGGCGGTAGAGCTTCCTCTATGATGCCCGGAGCGTGGATCTCATCGTAAGCTGCGGTTGCGTCGCTTCCAGCATATCTGAGTATGACTTCTATGGGTGAGCAGCCTCCCTGTCTAGTTGCTTAGGGAGGAACAAACTCGAAGAGCCGCCTGGGTGAGAGTCTAGGTAGTTCGTGATATCGTATATTTTGGAATGCACGGCAATCCAGCAATCGCGGTCGTTGTTGTGTCTTTTCAAATCATGGAAGCTCAGTGTATGGGAGGGATTAGAAGACATTTTCGATGCAGAAACAGCGTGGCGTGTACGAGTACAAGTCAGGATAGGTACGAGAAAGAGAGCAAAGATGGACTACATTAAGGTGTCTAGTATATGTAAGACGAGAAGAAATTTGTTATCTGAATATTCTAGGTACGTCTTGTAGCTCGCGATTGCTCAAACTCATCACCCCGCCCAAAACCCCACACGCGGTTTGCGTTCCGCGATGACGATGTGGGGTTTCATTGCTTGGGGTATGAAGCGGACGAAAACAACATTCAGAGATTTTATAAAGACGCCTATTGCTCTAGCAGAACCATTTCGTGACGCGAGGATATACCCTCAATCTTTTCAAACTACAAGCCACAGAGAAGAATGGGTCCTCACGAGGGGTCAAAGTTCAACTGCATAATCACTGGAGCAGGCGGCTTCGTTGGCCAGGCCCTTGCGGCTGCCCTCCTCGCAGACCCTCTCGTCTCCAAAATCACATTGACAGATGTGTTTAAACCAGATGTTCCTCAGACGAAATCACAGTCAGAGGTAGAAACTCGCTGTTTGGATGCCGATCTCACATCTCTGGAAACATGCCAATCTCTCTTCACCCCGGACATCAACCTGGTATATCTCCTCCATGGCATTATGTCCGGGGCTGCGTACGTATTTTCGAAGTTCATATTTCGTCGTCCGGAACAGATCTTGAGCCTTGAGGCACGTCTTGAAAGTATCCACTCTGTAGACATGTTTCAAAGCTCAACACACCCTCCCGTCTAGGCAATACTGACTCAGAAATCATAATGTAGTGAGGCGAATCTTGAGCTGGGCTTGAGGGTAAACATCGACTCGACGAGGCAGATTCTGGACATACTTCGACACACCAACCCAGGCGTCAAAGTCGTCTATCCCTCTTCATTAGCGGTATACGGCCCACCTGCCACCCCGACGACCAAGATAACAGAGCTGAATGCACCGGTGCCTGGCTCGTCGTATGGGGCCCAGAAGCACATATGTGAGACATTGCTTGACGACTATTCAAGAAGAGGGTTGCTGGATGGACGCGTATGTAGACTACCAACGGTAAACATCTATGCTCTCCTTTCCATTAAGTTTTAGAATGAAATCTGAATGATATGACCAGGTTACCGTCAGGCCCGGCAAACCCACGGGAGCCGCGTCCTCTTTCGCTTCCGGTATCTTTCGCGAGCCACTGAACGGAGAGAAGAGCATTTTGCCTGTTTCGAAAGACCTCGAGATGTGGATCTGTTCGCCAAGGACGGTAGTAAAGAACCTGATACTAGCGAGGGACATCCCAAAGGAGAAATTCCCCGGGACACGGATTGTGAATATCCCTGGTGTGACGGTGACTATTCGGGAGATGCTGGATGCTTTGAAAGCCGTGGGAGGCGATGAGGCATTGAAACTTGTAGAGGAGAAGAGAGACGACGCAACGGAGAAAATAGTCTTGAGCTGGCCGACAAGAGTGGACATTTCGAGGGCGAAAGCTCTGGGTTTCGTAGAAGACGGAACGCTCACCAACACGCTGAAAGAATACATCGACGATTATGGAAGTAAGGCTTCATAGGTCCCTTGAGTCGATAGAGGACACTTCGGGTTGGAGTTTCGTCTGAAAAGACATGTGATCAATTTGCAATCTTCGTCTTGATGGTAAGAGAAGGTGGCAAAAGTCATGCGCAGAGAGACAGTTCCATTTCATAAAGGCAAGCTCTTTCCCATTACGTACATATCTGTAACTATCGACCAGAATAAATCGACCATCCTTCTTGAATAACCATACGGAGAGAACCAAATGCATTGAAAACAACCCCTTTGCAGGAAAAATGAAAAACCCTTCTTCAGAAAAAAATTCGTGAAAGCTACCATACCCTTCCGGCACTGCGCCTAGACTCAAAAACTTCTACAACCGTCTCCCTTCCATTTCCAGGTAAGATGCCCAGTTTACAGACAATCTCGTGAGAATCGTCACTTGTATCTGGCACCGCGCGCCTGAACTGTAGGACTTTTACGATTCTATCAGGGGGCTTTCCGACCCGTACTCTATGCGTGACTTTGGCCACGTTCTCTTGGCTCGGGAGCCCCGGTTGTACAGATGGTGGCGTGCGACGGGAGCTCGTGGAGATGTTTCCGGAGGTCGGAGGGTTGGATGCCATGGAGTTGGAAGCGGGGGGTGAGGTAGGTAGGTTGATTGTGTCGATTGATTGATTGATTGTTAAGTCATATTGGACGTAAAGCCAACCAAAATTCCCCTGGAGGGGTCCGCGGAGAAGCGCAATTAGGCCTCATTGAACGTTTCGTCAAAGACAATTTGAGAGTCTTGAGGGCGCAGTCAGAGACAGTCAGTCATTGTTGATCTACCAGAAAGTAATGCATGCAAAGTCGTTTTTCTATCTAGTATGCTAGTCATCAGCCATCGTCCTCAAGAGATCCATCGCAGACCTCGACGAACCGAGGTGACAACAAGCGCCGAGCACGACTAGACTTGAACATGACCAGCATCGCTTTCAAGAACCATGGTTCGAGCAGAGAGAACGGTTCCGGCCGTCCACAACTATGGCTTGTCCGTATTCATGGGCCTTCGTTGTTCGCTGAGTGTGAACCATCCTTCGACGAGAAGGAGGCACCGTCTCTCGCCGAGTACGCATCCCGGAGAGACGGTTGGGATTCGAAAGGCGCGGGATAGGTAGGCGCCCTGTCCCATCCCTTTTCCTGCACGAACTTCATCAAGTCATCGAATTTCGCGCCCGATTCTCCGTCTCCCATCTTCACGCAGCCCGGACCCTCTGGAAGGTACGACACCGGCGGTCGGTCGTATTCATTCTTGTAGATACGAAGTGGTGCTTTTCCCACTTTGGCGAAGGTGAGCTCGGTACGGGCGTCTGGTTCTTTGGCGAATGGAAGGACGGTCTCTGCGCCAGCGCTTTTAGCTGCATCGCCCGCTATGCCTAGGTCTGCGAATGACTTGAGCTGCTGTTCGGAGAGCTGGTAAGCATGGACCGCGGTCTGCGGATGCAGGAAAGCGTTGATGATCTGGTGTTCGTTAGCATAGGTTGTGTCAGAACTCAGTGGATTCACATTTACCTTAGAGCTTGATCCTACCCGCTCGAACAACACGACACCGCCGAAAAGCTCGGCCTCGGCCCAGTATCCCACAACGTTCAATAGGCCGAATGGGTAGCGTTGGAATCTTCGGTAATTTGTATGATAGAAATCGACATAGAAATGGTCAGTCGTGCGGAATTGCCAGAAATGCCCCTCTCGCGGTTCTGGAGGCATGATTTTCGTATCCGGGTGGAAGGATGCATATATCATTCCCGCCAATGCATTCACTGAAGCTGCTGCTATTTCCAGGAGGCGTAACAGATGTTCACGACTGCCCGGTAGCGCATTTTGGTAGGCTTGGGTCAGCTGTGTTGAGTTAGTTTTGATGAGTGGACTACTGACAGGGAGGGAGTACGCACCTTAAGGTCAATTTTCAATCCCTGGGGCACGAAGGTCCTCCTGATCTCTTCGTACTGTTGCATAGCTCCATCACTGGGCTTTGAATTATCATTGACGATGATGGTCTCCAAAAGACCAGATCTGTGGGCCTTGATGTCCTCAGAATACGGGGTGCGAGTGGGCTTTCCATCAATGATCTGAGCATAGGTCTCTCGGGCGACAGGCAAGGCCAGAATTGAGGTAAGAACTGTCTCCAACTCTTGCAGCTTTTCGGCACTGAGATTGATGAGATCACCGAATGCAGGCATTTCGTTGGCACTCAACTCAACTGATTCCATGTTGCTTTTGTGTACAAAGCAGTATTTAATGTTAATATGATTGCCCTGCAGAAAACAAAGATGGAGGCGGAGCTAGGCAAACTGCGAGGAAGAGGCTTGGCCTTTCCTACTGTATCTAGCGTATAATAACATAGGATTAATTAGACGCCGAGACATCTTGCCCGACTTATTTACACCAGACTACACTGCCAATATGTCGACGAATCTCTGACCGGCTGCCTGCGCATGACTCTCACCTGCAGTGCCGCTGGTACCCGTACTTCAGTACTTTCCTCGTGCATGTCTCATGTCTTAGCACGGAAGTACCCAGCTGTGGACTTGGTGTAGCTGAGGAGTACGACCTTATCTGAGACTTTGTGCCGCCGGAAGGGCCGTGCGCTTTCCGCTTCCCGAGCCTTTTCTGATTCTGGCATTTGCAACACACCATCATCTTCCAACACAACTGCAACCGAGAGCTTGACTGGACAAATTCATCCAGCCTCATACCGTTGAAGCACTCAACGCCGTCCCCAGACCCGCCTCCAGCGCCTATCATAAAACATTGGGCACATGACGTCTGCAAAATCCATCTTCAAAATGCCTGCACATCCTAAACACTGATGCCTGGCCATCGGCTGCAAAGTAACAGTACCGGGTATCCCCTATTGGTAGCCTGCGGGCATCATTTGCAGATTCTCGGCAAGCTGCAGCACACTCGAGTCAGTAACCACCAGGCGAGATCAGAGTATGGAGTGCTCCTAAGTGCCTGGGCTTTCACTTCTCACACGGCTCGTTTGTGTCAAGTCCAATGTTTCAGTTGTCATCAGTAAGACTCAGCTCCGACAGAGCTTTCAGCAAATAGAAAATGTGCTCTTCTTGGTCGTCAATCTCGACATTTCTCCGACTGGTACACAGCTACAGTTACAGATCCATACTTGGCAGCGCCACTGTCACGCCCGGTACGTTTCGCCACGCCACTCTCGTAATCGGTATGTTGCAGACTTCGTGTAACACCCTGTCATCGTTGCTTGGAATCTGGCAGCCAGGTTTAAAGCAACGCCGCGATCTTGACCTGTAAGATGAGACCTCCTCCACACCAGACTGTCGTTTTGTCGGAACAGATTTCGGCAGGACCGCCTTAGAGACTTCTGCCTTATTTTATACTTGTCCTAGCCGGAAAATCACTTGGTTATGTGACCCTCTGGGCGCTGGTGTCTGCTTGCGGATCCGAGAAACTGACGGACAGACCAGAAGCAGCCTTGCTATCTGATTCAATGACACAAGGTCCCACTCACAGCAGATTATGGGTTTGACAAATGAAAACTTCAGGAGGGAGGTTCCGAAGGAAGTGCCTTCCATCTTCGTCGCCTATGCCCGAGACATCATTCTGATTTGAGAAGCCGGAATTTCGGGAGAGGTTGTTTAGGAAAAGGTCTCCCTCATGTGCGATGTCCAGACCTGATACCATTAAGCCTTTCATGTACTAGGCGCTAATGCTGCGCATCCCACCAAAGATTGAGTAGGCCCTGTCTCGGGTGTAAAGTGTTCAATCTTTGCCCATACTCACCCGCGCTCTCTCTTCTCTTCAACATCCAGGTCCTCTCATCTTTTTTACAGTCAAGCTGATTTTCCCATCTACCATAAACTTCACCTCTACGGGCTCTAAACCAATCCGTTCCTACCCGTGAGTCACCACAGGACAGTCATGGCTCCTCCATTATTCAATGAGGCCTTCATTATCATCCGCGTAGACAATAAGGGACAGCCAGTTAATATCATCCCGTATGACGAAAACGCAGCCACTTATGTCGCGGTATCCATAAGTATATGCCGGGGAATGCTGAAGACCTCGAGGGTCAAGGACGCTTTCAAGAAATTTGCCGAAGCATACGATCCGAAGCTACCCAAGGATGATATCGTCGAGACGTTCATCAACAAGATACTTGAGCGCTTCCCTCTAGTCTTTGTTGACAACTCCATGGAAAATCCAGACCTCATAGCGTGTCATTTTAGACGCGCCTGGCGCGATGAGGGCTACGGCTTTGACCCCCGCAAGCAGGGTATCCTGATAAACGGACCGGTAAGTCGAAAGTATTTTGATGTTACGAGCTCTATGATTGAGTAAGCTGACCATAACATAGAAGGTTCACGAAATGTGCATCGCGGGAATAGGGGCAGAAAGTTCTCAAGACCCGGATTCCAAAGTGTCCAAGCGGTTCCGAGTCTTCTTGTTCACATTTGCCAAGTCGTTCATGCACGAACTCGCCCACATTTTTGTAACCTCTCTCGGCCCAACAGGCAAGACAAGAACTCCGCCTCACATTCGTGGCTCAGAGGAGGACGACGACCCCACAGGCGAGGCTGGTCGGTATATAGAAAATTTGATTTTCGGCGGCAGGGTGATCATTATACGCAACAATGCTGAGGGCGAGGGCCAGGTATGTTCATACTCGCCTACTTTGATGGGAGGCTTAGCATATGAGCTGACACATTCTCTAGGCCGGCATATGTTTCCTTGCTAACGGGAAAGGCGCCTACCAGATCTTGCAGCAGACAATTGATGAAATCATCAAATACCGTGAGTACCGTTCCAAATGGTCTTCTGGTACACCTTTCTTGCTGACCGTCGTTGTCTATTAGAATTCGATTTTCCTATTAGCCGCCTCGGTCCCCAGATCACAGATTCTGACAAAACGCTGGGCTTTCATCTCCCCATGAAGTTCGCCTCCGGTGACCCAATGGATGCGCCCGGAACACGACAGCTCTTGGCACCACACGAAGCAAACCTAGTCAGATGGGACGAAGCAGTAGATGACCTTATCAAAGGGAATCCAAACGCCGAAACATTCAGTGAAGAGCAGGAGTCTGTCATGCATGAGGTACCATTCAATCCAAGTCTTCGTATCGAGCCCAAACTTCGTGCCTAGGCGGCGAAGTGACCAGACAGGCGGATCGGAGGATTGGCATAGACATAGCGATTTCAGTGTTGTACTTGGCGTGACAAGGTTGCAAGCATGCGTGCGGTGCTTTATTTACTTGGCAAGGTTGCAAACAAGCGTGCGTTGCTTTCTTGTCCATTAGCAATGCAAATGTTCGAGCTCCACAGCTGCCTCATTTTAATTGAATGGTGTCGATGAAGCGACGAGGCATATCAAGTATACTTATCCTATTACTGCCCGACTGAATTCTTTCGCGACATGAACCGTCTCACAGTCAAGTGAAATTGAGAGGGGTGAAGCAGCGAGCGGTGGTAGGAGAAAGGGCATTGTTTTGAAGTTGCCTTCCCTCAGACGTGCCAAGATCGCTAAGCTCCTTTGGGTTAGTTCGCCGACTTCGCGCGCTAACTCGAGAGTGCTGTGAGCCAAGGATGCGCTGAGTCATCAGTGCCAAGAGGCGACAGTCTCCGAGATCCAAGTCAGATGTAGAATCTCCGAAGAATCTTTCCACACATCCTTTCAACATCATCAACACTACAGCAAATTAAATCCGCATCTAGTGCAAAGTTACACATCTCGAGACGTCGACATACACTACATCCTCGAACACTGCGCGGTCTTACCGGCACGATGGCCGACTACAGCTTTGGTGGCAGCGATGAAGAGAATGCAGAATTGAAGAAGCTGAACGCAGAAGTGGTATGTCTTCCCCAAGGGTCATTTGTATCTTTTCTGGAACTCTGCTCATTTATCACACAGCTCGAAGAACCAGATAGCTTCGAACACTGGGAAAAGCTCGTCCGCGCCGCAGAGTCTCTCGAGGGAGGTCTCAACCGCAACTCCAGTCCACAATCGATCTCCGCTACTCGAGACATATACGATCGCTTCCTTGCCAAGTTCCCCTTGCTATTTGGATACTGGAAGAAATATGCAGATCTTGAGTTTTCCATCGCGGGGACCGAGGCTGCGGAGTTGGTAGGCTGTATCGCTTTGGAGCCAACCCAAGAAAGAAGCTGAAATATGCAGGTCTACGAACGTGGTGTAGCAAGCATCACCAATTCCGTTGACCTTTGGACAAATTATTGCGCCTTCAAAGTCGAGACCAGCCATGACCCCGATGTGATCCGAGAGTAAGTAGAGACAGACAAGGTTTCCTTCCCATAACCACAAGAAACACAGCACGGCTTTCTGGCCAAGCACCATGGTGAACAACGACTATTTCAGCTCGGCTTTGAGACGGGTGAGAAAGTCACAACCAGCCCCCAAATTGCTTCCTCTCACATGACAGTCAGGCGCTTTCATTTCGTTCGCTCACACGTTGCCCACCCTGCGATGCACTAGTTTGCGTACAAAGTTGAAGTTTGATGGGCTTTCGCGGAGCTCAAGATCACTGAGCAAATACACATGCCACGTTTGCTGCCCTCTGCCTCCTTTTTGCCGTTCCTCCCTTCCCTAAACGCTGCCAAAAGCTAATAAATATACTGTAGACTCTATGAGCGAGGCGCTAGCTCTGTAGGCCTGGATTTCCTAGCGCATCCCTTCTGGGATAAATACTTGGAATTTGAGGAGCGTCTCGAAGCTCAGGACAAGATTTTCCCAATCCTTGACCGCATAGTACACATACCGATGCATCAGTACGCCCGTTACTTTGAACGTTATCGACATCTTGCCCAGATCAGACCTTTGCAAGAGCTCTTACCTGCAGACATGCTCGCCCAATTTCGCGCGGAGATTGAGAATGAGGGTCCAGCAGAGCGTGGGGAGCTTGAGATTGAGCGTGAGCTAAGGAGCCGTATCGATAATTTTCACCTGGAGATTTTCCATCGGACACAAACCGAGACGACTAAGCGGTGGACCTACGAGTCAGAAGTCAAGCGACCATACTTCCACGTCACCGAGCTTGACGAAGGCCAATTGGTCAATTGGCGAAAATACCTCGATTTTGAAGAGGTTGAAGGCGACTACATGAGGACACAATTTCTTTACGAGAGGTGCTTGGTGACCTGCGCCTATTACGACGAATTCTGGCTTCGCTACGCTCGCTGGATGATCGTACAAGATGGAAAGGAGGAGGAGGTACGAAACATCTATCAACGTGCCAGCATGCTCTATGCACCCATCTCAAGGCCAGCTGTCCGCCTGCATTACGCATACTTCGAAGAATCAGTCGACAGAGTTGAGCTTGCGAAAGATATCCATCAAGCTATATTGGTCAACCTACCCGGTCATATTGAGACCATTGTCTCTCTGGCGAATCTATCACGACGCCACGGTGGACTGGACGCAGCAATTGAAGTCTATAAATCCCAAATCGACTCCATGCAATGCGATATCTACGCCAAAGCAGCATTGGTCGCAGAGTGGGCACGATTGCTCTGGAAGATCAAAGGATCCGTGGACGAAGCGCGCCAAGTCTTCCAGAAGAATCAGCATTGGTACCTCGATAGTAGGCCATTCTGGATCAATTACCTTTTCTTCGAGCTCGAGCAACCCACTAGCGCTGAAAGCGAGCCAACACAGTACAAGAGGATTAAGCAAGTGCATGAGGATATCAGGAAGAAGAGCCATTTGCCGCCTCTCACCATCAAAGACTTATCACACTACTACATGGTCTACCTACAAGAGAGAGGTACAAAGGAAGCAGCCAAGGAGTACATGATCTTGGATCGTGAAGTCAACGGGTGAGTCAATTGGCTAAATCCGCGGGTCCCTTGTCTGCGCCCACTGACACATCGTCCTTCAGGCCCTTTTCTGTCCAAAACATTATGAAAGCAAAGCTCTCAGAGGACGGCAGAGAAGCTTCAACGCAACGACGCATGATGATGGAGAATGGACATCCTGGAGTCGAGGTGGATGATGCCGCTATCCGAAGAGGAGAGAACCCATATACCAAGTATTACCAGCAGCAAGGAGAGCAGCAGCTTCCCAGTGACACTCAGGTATGTCAACAAGCCACTCTGCCGTAAGTATATCTAATGACCGTTCATCTACTCCAGCCCCAGCCTTTACGCTACCAGTAACGCGCACAATTACCGCCGACTCATCAGAAAGTTTGCAAAATATTTGCAGAAAATTTATATCTGTATGCCTTTGGTCTCACCAAGAGTGGATGTCTCTATCGAGTTCACAATGGATAGCGGAGCAACTGTACTGCCATGCCATACACTCGCAGCGTGGACCATTAGGTAAATGGAGCTACAATATTACATGTACCATAACCGAAACTCGTTCTCGCGAGTAGAGCTCTAGGAATCCTGTCTTGTTGCCGGCGGCTTGTCGATATGGCAAATACTTCCTTTAGCTAGAGAATGAGAGTCATTCGTAAATCCATGCACCCTTGTCCACTCCTTTTCACTGCCTGTCATTCCCAATGCGATGCTCTGGCTTGTGACTCAAAGCAACATTAAAGACTAACCACTCACTCCATTGGTGAGCATCGACCGGAGCGCCCTCGAATATCATCATCAAGAAGCCTTCACTGCTCGTTTTTGAAAAAAAAAACCTCAACCTCAAGGAAGATTGCACCCATCGCTTACCACCAGCACTATGACCGCTATGCCAGCACAACGTATCATCCACACACCCCCTCACCGCCCCATCTGCCGCCCATGGCTTCTCTCGAAACGCCACCCTGTCCACTCCCAACACTTTGATCCGTGTGCGGCCGTGGATGGGCATCCGGATGGGTCGGCTTGCAGCTTGTATCTGCTGGCTGGCTGGTTGGCTGGTATGTGTATCCGTTTCGGTGCGACTTCTTTTTGTAAAGGGCGAGGGAGGGAATCAATGTAGCAAAAGCCATGCAATCGAGGACGAACATCCTCGATGGGAACTGTGGAAGTTCCTACGTGGGGGGCAGAAAGGAGTGACAGTTCTCGACCGAGTTTCCGTGGGTTTGATCTGCAAGCTAACGATCTTGTATACGTTTGATCCTCTCTGTTTGATATTCTCTGATTGGAAGCGTTACCCTGTCCTGGACCATATCCGCAAAGTTATATTCGCTCTGTGCGTGCGTGACTTTTGCTACATTCTCTTATGGGGGATCCGGGCCGAAGGGAGCAATGCCGTTTATCAGTGCCCTGAAGGGATATCGTTGTGTAATGGGGGGGGTGCGTCAGCTCTTCCGTGTTCGATTAGAGTGGATGCTGACACGGCTTTTGGGGGGAGATGGGACGGTTATTGGAAATGGAGACGAGCAGGGCGTTGAAGAGGTCCGGTCAGTGCCACACTTGAGCCCTTGCAGATGCTAAGCTTCGTGGTCACAGACCACGAGAAACTTTGTTTTCGTGACAGCGTTTGAAGGCCCCAGAGTAAGAAGATGAAACTACAATTGGCTTGAGCCTTCCTGTCTTTCTAACATGCGTGGATGTGACCTTGAGCAATCCTGCGCTCTGAGAGATCTCTCTCTAAATCCTCCAGAACTTCCACCCCTCTCTCTTCTCTCGTCCGGCTCCTACCCCGACCAGGCTTTCCACCCCAGTTTCCCCCTCCGCCTCGAGGAATTTTTGCTGATCGATTTCAACCCCCCCCTTCCTCTTCGCCCTCATCCCTAAGAACGGCAGGCCATAGCACGCCCACTCCGTCGCCGCCAAGCGTCGTCTCGAATCTCTCAAAGTCCTCCGCATCCAGCTTCCCTTCTAGCTCCTTGAGCGCCTTGGGCGACGCGTCTGGCCTCAGTAATGTGATAGTGCTGCCGCCACCACCTGCACCAGTCAACTTCGTCCAACCCACACCAACTAAATCCACGAGCTCTCTGATACGCTCGAGACGTGGGTGTGAGACACCCAATGAGACTAGCTGGCCATGATTGACGCCCATCAACTTGCCGAGAGTTTCGGCTGTATGTGGGTCCCTTTGGTTGAAAGTAGCGGATGTGATGAGTTTATAGGCGGCCTCTGTGACAGCGTCGATTGTGTTGAGGATTGCCTCTGTGATTACAGGCAAAGACCCCTTCAATGCTCCGACTTTGGCTACTTCTGTTGCGGTGGAACGAGCCTGTTTGGTGTTTACCAGCAGCATAGGGAGCTCGGGGAACTTGCGCAGCGGTGTCACCTTCGGCGCTCTGGTGTAGTCCTCGCGCTTGAAGAGAACGGCTTTCCCGCCTGAGGAGACGGTGTTGTCTACACCGCTGGGGTTGCCGTGGATGCACATTTCCGCAACGAAGGCCCAGCGGTTTATTCGCTCGATCTGCAACTCTGCTTCCTCAGAAGGCTGGTCTGGGTGAGGTCCTGCCAGGGTGCGTATTTGTAAGAGCAAAGCTGAGCTGAGACAGACGCTTATGCTAGCGCTGCTACCGAGCCCAGCGCCGATGGGGAGGGTGGAGCGGAGGGCATAGATGCTCCCGGGAAAGGTCTGATTGCCAAGAGATAGGAAGAGATAGAGGAAAGCTGAGGCGGCGGCTTGACGTATTTTCTTGTGTTCACCTGTGGCTTCGGGAGAGACGTCTGACAGATGGGGCTGCATGGCTTTGACAAGATCAGGATCGAGAGTGGTGACTAGGTCATAATACATCTTTTTTTTTGAAGGATGTGAGAACGTAGACCAGGGTAGAGCGTCAATGTCCCATGTATGACTGAGACCTATGTCTGGGAACCTGAGGGATATCGTTCGCTGAGATTTTGAGAGTGTGGTGACGAGGAGGTATGACCGTAGAGAGATCGCTGCAGCTATTGCTGCTTTTCCATGTACTACCGCATGTTCTCCATAGACGATGACTTTGCCAGGCGCAGAGGTCATGAAAGCAGGGTTCATGGGCGAGGAGATCTTCCTTTCCATCCTAGGCTTCGAGGATTTCGATTGGCCTTTGAGCGTACCATTGGTAGCATTGGTACCCTTGGTATTTGAAGATGCCATCTTGTGCTTGAGTGATGCGTTCGTGTCTGCCTAACCCTCTGAAGATTCGTGAAGACTGTTCCTTTCTTCGTGAAAGCTTGCTGCCCCAGATCTTGCCACCCTCTCCAGGTTGGGCGAAGCTGCATCCTGTCTGGTGAAACTCCCCGGGGAGCTTTGGTATTAGCTGACGGAACAAACCAATTCGGTGTTCGGGGATAAATAAGCGTCATGCCGTTAAAAGCTTGGCATCATACATGTAAGATAAAAGTAGCTCTCAAACATCAAGACACATTTCGCGCGCAAGATTGCACACATCTTCTCACCAACTAATCAACTCTTTGAATCGAATTCTGTACAGCTATGGATCTCCTTCAGGTAAATTGCTATGATCGATTGTCGCGATCTTCTAAGCTAACGACTACCATAGCGTTTAGGACGCTTCCTCGATAGGCCTGGGTTTCCATGGAAGAAGCTCATTGTTGGCTTTTCCCTGGCAGAATACCTGTTTGAAAGCTTCCTTTCGGCGCGTCAGTACAGGGTCCTGCAGGAGAAGAAGCCTCCGAAAGCACTTGAGGGAGAGGTCTCTCAAGAGGTGTTCGATAAGAGCCAAGTACGTAACCGTAATTCCAGGTAAACACGATGTTAGCTAACGACGTCTCCGTATAGGCATACGGCCGCGCAAAAGCAAAGTTCGGCTTTGTCGCGAATTTGTATAGCCAAATCCAGAACTACGGCATCATCTACTACGATCTCCTACCCAAACTATGGGGCCTAACCGGCGTCTGGCTCACTCGATATGTGCCTGCTCAATACCAGGGCGAGATCGTACATACCTTGATCTTCTTCTTCACTTACAACATCATCACAACGGTCTTGAGCATACCCACCTCCTACTACAGCACCTTCATCTTGGAAGAGAAATATGGATTCAACAAGTCGACAGTGAAGCTCTGGGTTACGGACATGATCAAAGGCCAGGCTCTGATGGTCGTATTTGGAGCGCCTCTGCTTAGTGGATTCTTGGCCATTGTACAAAAGACGGGCAACAGCTTCTTCTACTACCTGTGGCTGTTTTCAGTTGTCGTGTCACTCTTCGCCATTACCATCTACCCCATCTTCATCTTGCCTCTCTTCAACAAACTATCACCACTCGAACAAGGCCCTCTGAAGACTGGCGTTGAGAATTTGGCTAAGAGATTGAAATTTCCTTTGAACTCGCTCTATGTGATCGACGGGAGCAAGCGAAGCGCTCACAGCAACGCATACTTTTACGGTCTGCCGTGGAAGAAGCATATTGTCATCTATGACACCCTGATAGAGAAGAGCGAAACGGAAGAAGTCGTGGGCGTATTGGCACACGAGCTTGGGCATTGGAGTCTTGGGCACACGACCAAATTACTTGGGATCTCACAGGTCCGTGACTAGCCTTGCCAACGGTGAACCAATCTCTGACATTTGCTAGTTCCACACATTCTACATCTTTGCCCTCTTCTCCGTCTTCATCAACAACCGCTCCCTCTACCAATCCTTCGGGTTCCACAAGGAGTTTCCCATCATCATTGGCTTCATCCTCTTCTCTGACGCCCTCGCACCCATGGACACGGTGGTGAAATTGTTGATGAACATTCTGAGCAGAAAATTCGAATTCCAAGCTGGTAAGGGTTTCCATTCCTAGAAATGTCGATGAACCACAGTAACATTGTTACCAGACGAATTTGCCGTGAAGCTTGGCTACTCCAAAGACCTTGCCAGCTCCCTTATCAAGCTGCAAATCCAGAACCTCAGCACCATGAACGCTGACTGGATGTATGCGAGCTACCACTTCTCGCATCCTATCTTGCCGGAGAGGCTCGGAGCGCTTGGATATTATGGCAATGAGAAGAAGGCTGACGCGAAGAAGATGGATGGTGAGAAGCCGGTCAAAGCCTCAGATAGAGAGCTGTAGCGTCCAAAAGTTTTTTGTCGTAGTTATCGAGCCTTAGGACCTGGACTGAGTATTAGATCGTTCAGCAGAGAGTCTGTTCGAGAATCAATTTTCTCCGCTCGGCCCTCCCTTTGGATTCGCGCAGCGTTCTCCAATCGGATTTTTTTCAACCTCTCCCTCTTCGCCTTCTTCCTTGCTTCTTTATCCTCAGGACCCCACGTAGCTTTCACCCGAGGCACGACCGCTCCATCCTCTTCGAAGCCGCCATCAACGGCATTATCCCTCTTCCCAATATCCCCTTGCACGACCTCCTGCTGCCTCTCAAACTCCGCTTTGTCCTGCCACTCGCTCTCCATCTCCAAACCTCCCTGTTCGTCATACGAGGAGCCCTGATGAACGTACTCGCCCGCACCCTCAACTACGCCATCAGGCATCAACTCCGGCAACCCATCCCCTCCGTACTTCTGGAACGTCAAATCTTCCCCCAGATTCTCCCCTCGGAGCCCAGCTTCTACCCGTCGGAGGTTGTGTAGGACGAGACCGGTGTTGTGGCCCGATGATGGTGCGACAGGGCCGTGTTCTGTGAGGTGAGCGCTGGGATGAAGGGAGGGGTCGGTGGTTGTGGCTTCGAGGTAGGCGGAGAGGAGGGAGAGGGCCTCGGGGGTGGAGACGCGGATGCTGGAGTGGTGGACGGTGGGTGGGTAGGCGGTGGTCATTATTTTCTGGATTATCTCCGGTCGCGAGCTAATGTCAGGCCATGACGGTGGGTATGGAGGGATGAGAAGTTGAGAGGTTCGGTTTAATCCATTTTTGGTAGGCGGGTTTGGCGCTCCTCCACCTGCCAAGGTCTTTGCCTCGGCTATAATCTTAGTTACCGGCGAAGGAGTCTCAACTACGTCCTGCTGTCCTCGCCCTCGGCGGCGGCCAAGTACAGCATGGTCAACCCGCAAGCCTTCAGTGCCACGTTCAGTATCCCCGCCCAAACGCCCACGTCGCCAGCGCTTTCGTTCCTGTCGGTTGCCAGGGCGTGGAACATTAGCTCCGGACTCCCGGTGCTCGCGCTGCTTTATAGTATGGCTGTCGGGACGCTCTTAATGTGTTGTGTAGCGGCTACCATGACGGATGCAGGATCTACCTCCAGCATGACGCCGCGGAAGTGCGGGCGGTGGGGTATGCGGTTCTGGGTGTAGCTGTTGGGCTGTTGGGGGCTGGGACGTGTTGGGGATTGGTTGAGGGCGACGAGATTCTGAAAGTGAGTGCGGCTTACGGGATTCGGTAAAGCAGTTGTGAATTTGTACGCCAAGCTAGGTATTGTCGGATGGTGCGATTACCTCCACCGTTTTCCCACATCCCATGATCCGATGATCCTATGAAACAAGGACGTTGATTCGCCAGGTTGGTTGCGGGTAGCTTCATCCTGAGCGAGGTTCGTGCTACGGAAGCCGTATTTTGAATATTGTGCCCCGGCATCGCCCCCTATCAGGCCTTGGGTGAGTGCCGCTTAACGCTCGCGCAACGCGAGCGTGAGTCGCGTCAATGATTCCATAAGTGCCTTGGGAGCTTCCGAGGCCTCTCTCGGACTCTGAGGGAAGGGGGGTCAATTCCGTCACTTTATGATGGATGACGTTGATCTTGCTGTTCTGATTCTGTTGGTTAGTTAAGTTTATTGTGATTCCCTGGATTTCTTTATCGTTGCTGTAATTTTGGAAGTGTGTTGTTTTCGGTATCGCCAGATAGCGATGCGGTAACTTGTTGTTTTACGAGGACGGCTTTGAAGCATATTTCAAGGTGGGAGGGCGAGAGCGAGTTTGGGGAGGGCTTTGAAAAGTGATTCGGATTCCTTAGGGGCAGGGAGAGGTTTCTGGTCAAGGATTGCTCATGAGATTGCTGTTATGGTCTCATCTATTTCTACTACTAGTCTCTATAGTATTCATAAGCGATTGCTTTCGTCTCTATAAGCCCGCGTACTCACTTGGGTAAGGCAATAGGCATATGATTGTTCTTGTTTCTTTCGAGCATTTGTGCAATTTTTCATTTGTTTTCTCTCTGGAAAGTCCTGTTCGAGGTAGCTTTTGTCATGATCTCACAATTGTTTTTGGCTCAGAAAGTCATATCCCGTTTTAGAGCTACATGTTCGTGGGAATGTGACTGGAGAAGTTGATGGTTTGATATATTATTAGAGGGATTGAGGTCGTGGGAATGTGACTGGAGAAGTTGATGGTTTGATATATTATTAGAGGGATTGAGGATGAGAACAGCGGCACCAATTTCGCTGCAGGAGCATTGTTAGTCATTCAAAAGCCTATGACTGGACCGTTCTTTCTCCAGCGCATTGAAATCGACTTTGCCAGCGATCTTAATTGGCCCCTTGTCCAAAACCGTGTCGAGCTGTCAAAGGTGTCTTGAGGTTTGATCCTAGACCATGGTCTGGCTCCTGGTCTCTGGAATGCAATTTCGGATGTCAATGCTGTAGTCTCCATCGATAATGTGAGTCTAGAGGTTGCTGGCCAGCTCTCGGTAGGTGATGTGTCGTCCACCAATCTCCGCGTTCGTGCAGGAGCTCGAAGCGGAATAGCGCCAGAGGATGCCCTCAATCGATTCATTGGTGCAGGCACAGGTGCTCAATTTGAGCTTCCTTCCACCGCGACACTGCCGGATGAAGACAAGGATCCGTTTGAAGCAGTTTTGACACTGCAAAAAGACGCATCAGGATGGTATCTTGAGAACGCGAGCGCCACATTGTTCTGGCAGCAGCAATACTGGTATTCGATTGATGGCATCAACATCTCTCTACAAGAACTCTACTTCGAATTCATTGCCAAGCGCGAATTAGCGCCAGCCAACGAGAACCCTTCAGATATGCCATTGGCATTCAGCGCCGCATTCGGCGGTTCCATCACGCTTTACAACATTCCTATGGCAGTCGTCATCACCTATCAGTCCAAGATTACTACTACTGTGTTGACTTGCACAGTCGACGATGATGCGAGCATCTGCCTTCAAGATATCGCTGCGGACTCTTTACTAAACCCCACCCCAGACCCCACTAAAACCCCAACTCCCCACGATCTGAACCAAGAGGCACAAATAAACCAGGTCCCTGGCAGTGTGCCAGTAGACCTGACCTGTTGCTCTTCTCATATCTGGGGTACACAGCGATTCTGCATCTTAATTTTCACTGCCTCAGAACCGGCTCAATTGCAATTGAAAGCAAACTTTGAGTTGGACTGGCAGGTCACGTCGCAGCTGACCATCACCGGTATGGGAACCTATTTTGACATCACCAACCCGACATCTTCCGACAAGTCATCCGTCATCAAAGGATATGCTTATGGGTCAGTCTCATAGCGAATGCTGTCAACATCTTTGCCAAGCAGTTGGCACCACTTACTTCTTTGCTCTACTTGCTCATTAGAAAAATAGCTCACGGCTCTTGGTGCAGCCAAGTCTATTGTGCGAGCTGCACTAGACAAGATATCTGGCAAAGATGATTATCATTCTTCTGGGGATCCTCGACTGCCCAAGACGACCCCAGCAGCAACGTAGCTGACGCCAACCCTCTCACTAAGCCTAGCTTGGTAGTAGGGGGGATATTGTTGTCTCCAGGCCCAAGGGGTCAAAATGTCAACCTCGTGGTCTACCTTAAAGACAAATTCCGAAACTACTTGCAACCATTTGACGCCTCTCAGCTGAAATTAAGCATCAGTGTGCCTAACGGAACGTGGGAGAACGTGGTACTTGGTTGGTCCGATATCTCAAACGGTGTGCAGGCCTCTTTCCCAAGGCCTTCTCTAGAGGGTTAGACGGTACTTAAGTATTTCGGAGAGGTCCCACCGATTGAAAGCGATTTTCAGAACGTGATCCAAGCTCAGCCCAGTGGTTTTTCCCTAGCAAATTCAGACGTTGCGTACCCTCAAGAATCCGGATGCCTTGACCAGGGACTGGTCACGCTCACGCCCAAAGATAAGTATGGGCAGCCAAGGCTCGGCATAGGCGCTACGCCTCCTTTGAGCCTCACTTTCGTGAACCAAGGCTCTGGTCTCGCTCCATCCTACGATGCTAGCAAAGGCTTTAGCATACGCAACGACTCTCTTTCGCTGCCGTTCGCGGCGTATCCCTTTCGAAACACTTCCAGTAACACTACAAGCTATCAAATGCCAGCAGCAGGCTCGAATCCTATTCTAATTCTATTAAACCCAATCAGTCCAACTGGCCAGATCGACACTTTATTTAAAAGGGATCTGTTTTTGGTTCCTTGCGGAACACCACCTGTCACAGACGCGACGAAATGTTTCGTAGTTTGGAAGATCTTCAGCAACACTCTTTTCTGTTGATATTAATGGAAACCGCAGACGACAAGGAGGTGATTACATTCAAACAACCTTCATAGCCAATACCCCCACGATTCTCACCACTTCGATCAAAGACAATCTAGATGGATCGTACACTATAGGATTGATGATGCCAGTCGCAGCTTTTGCCTCTCAGACTCCCACGCCCCCGCTCCAAACTTCAGTCAACGGACAGCCGATCCAAGCCACGCCAATCTCATTCCCAATGTCCCCGTTACCTATGGTCTCAACTAGGGCAGATGGGCTGGGGCTTACCGACGCGATACTTGGACAAGAGGCATACTTCTCGATATCATGCTTATCTTCAAATGGGCAGCTTCCCTCTACCGGCTTCCATGACGCGTCTGTATACTTACTCCAGACTGGCACTGATGCCCCTGCGTACGTGGCCTGCACTGTATCCTCGATCAATACCGGCACTATGGATGTTAGGTACACCGTCCCAGCGGATTTGAGTGCTGGTACACATCAATGCTACATCTTCGTGAACTCAGAGCAAATCCCACAGTCATCAACAACGGTAAACGTCATGACTAGTGCTATTGATGACTTCAGCGAGGCGTACGAAATCCCTTAATACAAGCTTACGAGCCCACCCGAGCAATAGAGTGTCGTTGCAAACCCCACATTTTGGACGATAAATACGTCGCAAGACGATGTCACGACCATAACGACGCAGAACGGCGCCGCTACAGGGGCGTCCGCTCCTATAAACTTTGCGCTGAACCTACCTATGACTGACGAATGGTTCCAAAACGGCGGCTTCATGTTCACCTTCGATATCACGATCGACTCCCACACGCCCATTCAAATTGCCCCCTTCACCCAACCTACAAATCCAGTCAACATGACTTGGATCAATGGTCCGATCAATGATGACAGGGTCGTCGAAAACACTCAATCAACTATCGAATGGGAGGTAGGCGGTAATCCCATCACAGTCCCGCGGTCAGAACGCTTGTACCTTACGCCCACGGATGCTGCGACTATCTGCTACCATTATATAATTTTAGAGGACAAGTCGCAATACCTCCTCTACATTTTTCAAGCAGGCCAATATGTGACTCGGGGCTCCTAGCCGCGCACCGCGGAACTAACGTTGCTGCCAACCTTGGGCTTGAAGATCCGGCGCCTCTCGACGATTGGCTGCACAATAGGCATCTCAAATGTCACAACAGTGCCCACGCGATTCCGCACCAAACCTAGGCCAACTGCGACGGCCGACAACTTTCAGCTCGGAAACGAGGCAGCAAATGCGCTTGACGGTAATGCGAGTACATTTTGGCATTCAGAGTATTCACCAACTCTCATGCCTTTACACCACACTATTATTATCGGTCTCGAGGCTGATTGTCCTATCAGTGGTTTGACATATCAGCCTCATCAGGACGGGTTCACAAATGGCAATATTGGAAAATATTTGATCCAGCTCGGTCTCAACGGTCCAAAACTGGGATACGCCTTGTGCTACTGGTAGCTTCACTGATGATTCTTCCACCAAGGCGGTGAACTTCGCCAGCAAGAATTCACGATATGTAAAGCTTACCGCTATAACAGAAGCTGGCAATCGCGGTCCGTGCTCGAGCGCTGCAGAGATCGAAGTTTCTTACACCCAAGCATCAGGTGCCGACGTCGTTTTCTCCGAGCCTTGGGCTTCAAAGTACGTCCTCACTTTGAACAACTCTGGCACCCTAGATAGCTGTGGCTTGATCATCGACGGCACTCACCAGAGCCAATCCGACCGCTCCATCTACCAGAGTCCCATCCCGGAAAACGGCTGCAGCGTCGCCGTATACTCCCTCTCAGCCTCCAAAGCTTACGACTTCTTTGTCCCCAAACCTGGGGAACCGCCTATAATATCAGCCATTGGCTTCCAAGGGCCGTATTGGAATCCAAGTAATGGACGCTGGGTCAATTGGAGAATGTCAATTGAGGATATTGGGGCTTCGAATATGAAGCTCGATCTTACGGCCATGAATACGGTGTTGGTGGTGACGGGGAAAAATTGCGTGACTGTGTTCTCAAATGGAGTCTTTCAATTTTCGAATACGACGGCCTTTGGCCAACCCATCACGACATTGAGCCCGCCGAAACTAGTCTCTTATTGGACTGATATCACGTACGTTATTTAGGAAGAATTTCCCTCCTGAACGTATCCTATCATGAGTCACAAGACATGTCACGGCCGCGCAAAGGCTCCCACTCTGGCATTCACTCACTCACGTACAACTTGGCTCATTAGTCCATTCACTCCTTGATCGCGATTTGCTAACTATGGTCTCTTCAGGTGGCATGCTTTGAGAGTGTATCCGCCGTTGAAGCTTGCGTCTTAGGCTGGGATGGATGTCTGGGCGCCTCTATGTTGGCTTGTTCCTGGAGGCGCAAAGTATCTTTTCTATGGATCATTCGGACCCATCGGTGACGGTTGAGACGCTTTTCGCAGCTGCAGACGTACCATGTGGCCGGTCACCTGAGCTGTGCTCACGGGATTCTGCTGTGAGGGTTCATTTGTCTGTTGAGTCTTTGATCGTGCTACACACTTGTTCCCCCGCTCGCTGAGTGCTACCCGGCCACGAAACGAAACTTCTGTTTTTCTCCTTCTTTCTCTTCAAACGCGTCGTCGCTGTCCTCGCCTTTTGCTTCTTTAGTCGCTATCTTCGTGATTGATCAACGCCGAGTCCGACTATTCCCATTTATTTTGTGCCTCATGCAGCTCGCGAAACATTTTAGCCATATGTTATGAGGATCGCCTGTTAGTTGTGCGTTCTCGATCTAAAATTTGAAACACACCCTCATTTTAAAGGGGACCGGGATTATGGACCGCAATAATGAGCTAGTATACTCCATTGGGCGATATGAAGACGAGAAATAATTACAGCATGCCGACCTGATACAGATTGGTGACTATAGTAGTTGCTATATGATCATGGCAACAGCTTTCCCTGTCGAGTAATGTTTATACAGTCTCGTACTAAGGAAAAGAAAACACAAGCAAAGAAAACAAAACAAAAGAAAATAAAGATTAGTCAAATATGCCTCGACCTGTACATGTGGTTGACACGAGGGTCAGTTCCGCTCAAGGGCCATTCAAACGTAAATCAGCCAATAGATGAGCTAGCCGAGGTGCCCAGGCTCCCTGCCTTCCCACGCTCCAAATCATCCCACAACCTATCGCTGTATTTTCTTTCATCCTCGAGCGCATCCCCAGTCGGACTGACTTTGCCCCATCCAAAAGACCACGATCTGTCGGTGACGCTCTTTGGAACAACATGCTTGAAAAAAGGCTTCAGGACAGGTACGCAAGCGCAAATGAGACCCGTGTTGACCTCGATAATGCTCCAGAGGAAAGTCTCGGCGGCCAGCCACGGACGGTCTTCCGATGTGAGATCTCGCACGGCGCAGACGAAACGGACGATGGCGACGGCCCAATTCCTAAAGAATCAATCAGCTTGGGCCGCTCGAGGTGCCACGGGCTGGGACGGACTCACACAGAGCCGATCATGAAGATCACCGATACCCCAACCCTCTCCTTGCGAGATAGCTGTATTCGCCAGACCATAGGCAGTGGCAGGATAAACATGAGCATGATCCGTTATAAAGTTCAGAGAACCATAGCCGTAGTCGGCCTTGAGCGTAAAAATGCAGTGACCTGGTGTTTCGGGATCCCAGTATTTCGCAATTGGTTGGCAGCCGAATATCAGAGTCCAGAAATTGCTGAATAGGTAGCCGAACGTGACGAACATGGCAGCCCAAGTGCAGTACCGAAAGATCCTGTCGACATTGAAAATCCGCAGATACAGGAACAAGATTGACATTTTGTAGCCCAGCAGACTCGGCAAGTATGTGCAGGAAGCAATGAAGATCCATTTTTGGTATTGCTCCCTGAGGTCTCCGGGGAAGTCCCAGGCGTGCAGGCCCATTCCATAGCGGGTCGAGACGCCTAGGAGGGTGCCGTAGGCGATGCAGAAGGGTAAGGTGATCAGCGCAGCATAATCCTCCCAACCTATTGCGCGGATGATCCGGGACCTCGTATATATTCGAATTGCAACAAAGACGGTGGAGAGTATGGAACAGGCGATAGCAGTTGCAATGATTTCATTAGCCCGTGAAGGGACACCCGTCGGAACACGAGCTGCCATAGCAAAAGCACCTCTCAGTTATACAGATAGAAAATGCACCAAATCAAAAGACGGAGCAAGAATCATGGGGAAGCCCCTCAACTTGAGGCGAAAGCAGACATACCACAAAATCGAGGATGAAGTTGAGAATGGACTTATGACTGCAGGACATGTCAGCATGGGGGTGTAGCTTCAGCATACCATTGGCCACACCTTCAGCGTTGAAATCAAAATAACTATGCAATTGCTGACTACTTCGTAATGCCAGAGCCAGATGATGGTGCAATTGCTAACCTTGACGTAAAAAAGCCGTGGCCATTTGGAAATGCATAGAATTTCAAACGCCGCACGAATCAGATTCCGGAAAACCGTAGCTAGCACTACACTGCTCCGCCGTTCTCTAACCATTACAGTCTGGGTATCTGTAGCTATATATGTGGTCAGCATGACTGTTGAAATTATTCTCCTTAGTGCTTACGTTATTAATGGACACCTTCACCGGTCCATTAGACGCTGCTCAAGCGCTATGTCCACATTGGGCTAGTTCATCGACCGGGGATTCCAAGGTCAAGATCTGTCTACCTTTTGTTTTCCTCCCCCATTTGGTCCCGAATCCGTCATGGTCCACCATCTGGCACTATCGCCATCGCTAGTGCTTAACATTTCTTCCCAAAATGCCAACGGACAGTTACTTCAACGAGTATTCTCTCTTCCCTTAGAGTATCCGTAGACAACCTTCGGTGTCTCTCTTTCAATACGCTGATGACTAACGATAAGTATAAGTCTAAACAACCGCGGCTCTTTCAAGCTTACAAGAAAATCGGCTTCTTCACTGTGACCTTAAAAGACTCGAGTCAGAATAACACAATACTTTAAACACGCTAAGACTGCCTTTGACCTGAACGAAAAAACACTCAAGACTACTCAGGGAACGTTGAGAAAGCATGCCTTCAGACCTCCGGTAGATAATTTTTGGGTATATAATTCTGAACCTTTGTTGGTGAAATGAAGCTGAAAGACGGTAGCCCCGATTGCATCGAATTCTACAGCCTCGGACAGGATGATATGCTTGGCACATCAGCTCCACGCGATAACCCTGAAGTTATTGAGAGTGATTGTAAGACCTTTCAGAACTTCTTTTGTCATACGTATGGGACTACTCGCCATCTCCTCGCCCTTTTGGACAAGCACTCGGGTCTCGAGCATGGCACATTCGCCGCCCTCAGTCTTCAAGACAAGCCTTCGGGAGCTTTCTCCTCGCCTACCCAATTGCCTTTCGCAGACAGTGGGTAGTCATTGGGATCAAGCTCGTCGTTCATACCGACTTTGGCATCATAACCATTTTTCTCAACATCGTCGGTGGATTACAGATCCTTCCCCCTGAGCCGAAAACATTGACCAACATTGACGATATATTCGTCCCGAGCCAGGATGTGCTCTCACCAACCTCGGCGACATAATGGTTCAATGGAGCAGCGGAGTTTTGCGAAGCAACATGCATCGCCTGGCGACGGCACCTGGGCAGCAGGCGGGCTGAGCACGCTACAGCCCAGCATATCTGGTACGCTCAGCATCCAACGTATCCATGTGACGACTTGCGGGCAGCCATGTTATCCCCCAGCCTTTTGACGGAGAAGAAGACGACGAGGACATTTACGCACAAATTGTCATGGTGAAGAATCAGCCGAAGAGTGTAGGAGGCTTTGGAAGTACAAAAGCAGTGACGCGCTGAGGCAACGGCTAAAGTGAAGCTCTACTATGAGTGAATGAAGATGGTTTTGTGTGAAATTAAACAAGAGCAGATAGGCAATTGATCAGGAATACGTATCCACGCATTCGTCCATTAGGGCCAAATAGCATCATAGCAACAACTAGGTGGGCGGTGACCTGGCGACCATGAACTTAGGATGTTCTGGGAGCGTAAATCTCGTGACTTCAGGGCCAAATGTTGAAATCGAGCAGCCATAGCCGATTACGCGGCAGCCAATGCAAGCTCCTTGGACTAGCACCTCTCCTAACACGATGAATCCGGATAGACTCCTCCCTGCGCGTTGTCCCTGTTGTCTTTATCGTTCCCTGACTCCTTTGCTTCCTTCGTCTTCCCCGGATGCTCCCTCGGAAGTGGCCATGCTCCTTTCCAAGGATAGAAACGCTAATCGGAGATCCGAGTCTGCGCTGTATATTATGGATATGTTGGGGACGGGACGGGGCCTGCATTGCAGAAGTCATTCATAGACGGTGAACCTACTGAATGGAGGTTGTTGGAGTCCTACAATTCAGAGGCGTTACCGGAGAAGAACATGAGACTTTCCTAAAGAATTGTCATTATACATTCAGAGGAATAATATCTAAGCGTTCAATGTTTTTCATTCATTCAATATCCTTTGATAGAAAGGGCCAATTTGTTCTGGTTGATACGCACCAAAACGTGCGATCGTGGGATGCGCAGCGTACGTGTAAAGCAGCGCTCCCCCTAGCCCGATAGGGGCTAAGATTAAGGTCAACGCATATCTCTAATAGCTTGGCATGAGCAAGGATAAAAATAGGCCAAGAAGACACCCCAACCTCACCTTCGAGGGTCAGATATGAGCTGCTGTCAGATTCCCTCCTTGTCAGACAATTGAACTGATATATCGATTCCCCATCCTTACATTTTTTGACGATCACATCCAACGGGGACTTGCTGCGCAGGGTTTGACGACCTGGTGTCCAATCAAGCTACAAAGATAACATCATTAATAGCCTTATGTTCGACTATCTATGGTGTGGTCCAAATATTTGTCCATTGTAGCTATCAGCATTTATCTGACGTTATATACAAGAGCACTCTTCATTGCGCATGAAAAGTGAGATCAGACCGCGGCACGGATCTGCCGTGTTGAAGAATTGTTGACGATTCAAAGCCATTTGAAGAACACAAGTTAGGTCCCGCACCTCTTGGGTCATGAGATGAATCTAGAGAATCATCTTCGAAGACCATGTTATCGCGACCCTTTCGCCGTTTGGCCTCCACGGCCGTCTCGCCCAGACACAAACAATTAGTGGAAGACTTCTTCTACACAGCGCAAAGTGTTCCTTCGATCGTCAGAAAGCAATTCCTCGACCCAAACCAAATTCAACGTCTCAGCTTGACCCTCAACAGACCGCGGCTCTACCGAGTCGGGCAAATTCTCGAGAACGAGATTCCACTGAATGGTACGCCTCTTGCACCTGGCTACCACCTCGTCTACTTCACACCAGCCGCATTGCCAGACCACCTGGGTAGAGATGGCACAGATATCAGCTATAGTCCTGCGGAGCCGTTCACTCGACGAATGTGGGCCGGTGGTAGGATTGACTGGGTAAAGGAAAACCCGCTTCGCATTGGTGACGAGGCAATAGAGACAACGAAACTCGTTTTTGCAAAGCCCAAAGTCACGAGAGCCGGTGAGGAAGTGGTTGTTGTCGGCGTGAAGAAGACGTTTGAGAACGCGAAAGGGCTGGCACTCTTCGACAGGAGGGATTGGGTGTTCCGCACACAGCTCTCGGGACTTCCGCCATCGCATGACTACTCAGAGTCTACTGGAAGTGACGATGCTCTCCTTCCTTTACCAGACACGTCACAAAAGTCACGAGACTATTTGCAGACCGCAGTCTCACTTTTTCGATTTTCGGCGCTTACCTTCAACGCTCACAAGATACATTACTCGCGGCCCTGGTGTAGAGATGTGGAAGGTCATAGGGAAATTGTTGTGCATGGTCCATTGAACCTGATCAATATGCTAGACTTCTGGAGAGATGAGCAAGCAGACGACTTCATGATTCCACAATCCATTAGTTACCGCGCTACGGCTCCATTTTATGCGGGGGAGAAATACAGGGCGCTGTTGGAAAGAGAGACCGACACGACATCGATCAAACTTTGGGGACACAATGGGAAAGGCGACGTCAAAGTGGGCATGTTAGGTGACGTGGTGGACTAAGCGTGTTACAAACAGAGGAGGTAGTCCTTCGACATTATACTAACGGCTTGCGCTCGAGATAGAAGTAAACGCAGCGTCGTGCTAGTCAAAATCCCACGTCTCTATCAGCCCACCAAAGCAATAGCCAACTAGCTCTCGAATGCAGCTCACCTTTCGCTGCTTAGCTGCTGCAAATTCCCGCAATCCTCTCCCAAGATGATCTCGGCATCAGCCCATGCTACCATGAGACGAGAATGTCCCGATCCCGGCCCCGCTGCGACCGCGGTCCGGGGCTCCGTGTGTAACTAACAAGAGGGCAACGCTACCTCATCTATCCTGCTAAAAGGTGACTTGAGTAATATCGCGTCATGCTCTGCAACGCGTCTCCTCTTTTCCGCCCGCTTAAAACCTGTCAGATGCAAAACCTTCTCCAATACCATAGCAATGGCCCGACCAAGCCTTCTACACCACACCAAATGCCTGCCCAAGATATCCTTTGCTCAACGGCGATGCCTGAGTCTTCACGAATACCAGGCGCAACATCTTCTCGCACAGTACGAAGTCCCCATGCCGCGGGGATGGCTGGCTACGGCGCCCACCGAGGTTGCAAATCTATCGATAAGTTCGGAGGTCAGGGTGTGATCAAATCTGAAATCCTCGCTGGAGGGCGTGGAAAGGGAAGGTTTGGAAACGGATTCAAAGGCGGCGTTCGCGTGGTCTCATCGTTAGTTGATCTACCCCAAGTGCTGTCGCATCTGCATCGGTGCGAAGCCGACGCTGGATGATAATAGAGTAGACGAAGGCAAGAACATCTCGGCGAGGATGCTCGGCCAGCGCTTGTTTACAAATCAAACGCCGCCTGAAGGTCTACCCGTCGACAAGGTATACGTCGTAGAGCAATTGAGTATAGGGCACGAGTATTACCTCGCAATCATTACAGACAGAGCCAACGCCTGCCCAATACTCGTCATGTCCCAAGGCGGTGGTTCTGGTATCGAGGACCTAGCGGCCAAAGACCCGCGAGCTGTAGTCAAAGTGCCATTAGATTATACAGAAGGTGTGACGGCAGAGGCCGTATCAATGATATGTGAACGCTTGGCTTTACAGGCAGATCGTGAAACACTGACCGCCCTACTCCAACGTCTTTTCACCTCCTTCAAGGAACGCGATGCCACACTCGTAGAGATCAACCCCTTGATCCGTGAGCCCAAAACCGGACGTTTCATCTGCGCCTGTTCCAAAGTGTCCATCGATACCGCCGCATCAAAACGCCAGAGCGAAATATTCGGTCTCCGCGACCGGAATCAAGGAATGGCAGTGGAATTGGAAGCCGAGAAGCATGGTCTAGTGTACATTCAGCTTGAAGGAAACATCGGCTGTCTCGTCAACGGGGTCGGACTGGCTATGGCAACGAATGACGCTGTTGCTCATCATGGCGGAAAATGTGCAAACTTTCTCGATGGCGGAGGGCAAGCGACGAAGGAGACAATGGTCAAAGCGTTTGAGCTCAAACTGAGCGACAAAAGGGTTGATACCATCTTGGTGAATATATATGGTGGCAAGTCCGGTCAAAGTGGATTGACAGATCTGGGGAGATGCTAACGATCTCTTCCAACAGGAATTATCCGTTGCGACATGATAGCAGAATTCATCATTGCTGCCGCCCAGGACTTCAACAACATACCAATCGTTGTACGTCTTCAGGGGCCCTGGTAAACGCTAGAGCTGAGGGACTTTGGAAAGATAATGGTGGTACGAGCTTGAAAATAGTGTATTTCGTCTTGCTACCTTTGAATCATTGGTACACTGGGTGGAGCATTTTTGGCAAAGTGGGTGAAGGGTAACTGGTACGATGGGTATATGAGCGATCGAGACACAAACACATTTTAACTGGTTAATGCCCACGGCAGTCCATCAGGAGCGCGGGCCATCACTCAGTGTGAATATTGGTTGGAGTAGTTAGCTTGACTAGGTATTAGCTCGTTGCAATTGCATGCATTGCCGTGGGGCTGCTTCCGAGAAGACCCCGCAATCCGTGAACCCGGCCGGTCCGCCTCAGAACGCGACCTCCTGCAAATACTACCATAGTACATTGATCGCGTCTGCAGCTCGACCTGAGATACAGCACAGGCAAATATAAGATGGAAAGCTGAGTAGAGCTTGGGATGTCCTCGATAGCAAAAGCTGGTCGACTAGCCGGAAAGGTTGCCATTGTCACAGGTTAGACCGTCGTCTCGCATGCGCCCATTACAGAGCTGATAACATTTTGCAGGTGGTGGCTCCGGCTATGGTGCAGGCATAGCCACATTGTTTGCAGAACAAGGGGCGAAAGTAGTGGTGGCCGACATCAATGAAGATGGCGGCAAGCGTACGGTCTCAGCTATGCCAGACAGCATGAGATTTCACAAAGTAAATGTCGCAAAAGAGAGCGACTGGCAAAGACTTGTTGAATCTACGCAATCCGCGTTTGGAAGCATCAATTGTCTGGTCAACAACGCTGGGACAACGTACCGCAACAAGGGGTGCCTCCATGTCTACAAGCAATACGCGTGTCACCTAGCTAATGCCCATTGCAGCCGACCCTGGAGGTTACTGAAGCCGACTTTGATAGATGTTTCAACGTCAACGTCAAAGGTGTCTTCTTCGGCACCTCTGCCGTCCTACCCCGGCTTCTTGAGCAGAGGAGCGGCGGGTCTATCATAAATATCGCCTCTGTAGGAGCTACTCGACCGCGTCCGGGGCTGGTTTGGTACAACAGTTCGAAAGGAGCGGTGTGGAATGTAAGAGCCAGCTTTTCAACTGCCCTATGATCATTCTCACCCTGTGTTGTGACATTGTGCCCCACCGCTGATCGTTTCACCCAGGCGACCAAGGGTCTGGCAGCTGAGTTCGGTCCTCATGGCATACGAGTCAATTCAATCTGCCCGCTTCTTGGTGGCACAGGCTTGTGAGTCGCAGATTAGGATTGGTATGATGTTTCCGAAAGGTCCTGACGCGTGGTTGCAGGTTTGAGTCCTTTTCAGGTGTGCCTGACACGCCGGAAAATCGAGCGAAGTTTTTGTCAAACGTTCCTCTTGGCCGACTGTGCGAACCCTCAGATGTTGCATCGGCCTGTCTCTTTTTCGCGTCCGATGAGTCGTCTTTCGTGACTGGTGTCAACATGGAAGTTGATGGAGGTCGAGCGGTGTAGAATAAAGATAATAAAATTATATAAAGTATAGTTATTATAGATATACGAACCTCCTTCTTAAAAAGAAATTAATACTCTTCTTATACTACTCGTTTAAGAACTTAAAATTAAAATATTTATCTTAATAATTATTATCGTAAGATTAAGTTTAAGACTTTATAGTTATAGTAATAGAATACTTAATTTTTTATAGTAGAATTAAATTGCGATAGCTCTCTCGTCGATAATTATAAGTTAAAAAAATGGGCTGTTATAATATAATAAAGGTATATCTATAGATATAAGATTATCGTATATTAGTATTAATTAATATTCTAATAGAAAGTATAAAGAGTATTTATTTAATACTATCTTATTCGCTTTCGAGCTTATAATCTATTAAAAAGAATAAAATATAAATAACGATAATATATGTTAGCAACTCAGCTAAAAAAGCTGGTTCCGGGGGTGTCTGCGCTTGACAGTCAGACACCCCTATTTGGACCTAAATACCTGCCCACAGAGGCCCCGTAGGGCCCCCGTGGGGACTGTTTCTAACAATGCCTCCCCCTCTAGGGGGCTCGTCCTCGAGCTCCGAAGACAGTGCAAAAATCGCGACGTTCCGAGGACTCTTCCCCGAAAGATCCACGATTTTAAGGACAACATGCCCTGTGCTTCGGGGTTTACTCCCCCGAAGACTTCTAAATGCCCGCCATTGCGGGACTTGAAATTGCCACTGGGGTTTCTGCCCACGGGGCTACCAAGTGAAAGGCCTTTGGCCCGCCTTCGCACCGGTACAATGTGGGAATGGGGCTGTATTCCGGGCCTGTGGCCCCGCCTTAGCGCACAAATCAAATTCAGGCCTATTTTGGCCAGCCTCGGGGTTTCTTTTCCCGGGCGTCTGCTTGGGCTTTTTTGCCCTGGGGCGTTCTGCCCGAAATGTCCTCAATGGAATAGGGCTGTTCTGCCCGAAATGTCCTCATTGGAATAGGGCTGTTCTGCCCGAAAATCTCATTTGTGTAGGGCGTCCTGCCCGAAAGTATTCGGCTTCGGGGCCCGCCTTCGGCGTGACTATTACCCGAGCGACCCTCTGAAAAAATCAAGTTTCTGATTTTTGATGGGGGATCCAAGCGTCCTCGAACCCCCGACCCTCAAATAATGACTAAGCGTTTCACCCCCGGCTATGGCTAGTGTCGCTCCGGGGTGGTTACTAGCCAAATACTTTAGGCTACAACCGACCCGGAACAAAGCGCAGACACTATTGTTAGCAACTCAGCTAAAAAAGCTGGTTCCGGGGGTGTCTGCGCTTGACAGTCAGACACCCCTATTTGGACCTAAATACCTGCCCACAGAGGCCCCGTAGGGCCCCCGTGGGGACTGTTTCTAACAATATAAAAGGATAATTAATTCTATCTCTAAATTCTTTTAGAGAATATCTTTAACTTTATAGAAATAAAGTAATATAATTAATATATATATAGATTATAGCGAAGAGGGTAATTGAAAATATAGCTAAAAACTCTAAACGTAGCTAAGAACTTTATATTTCGATACTCTTCTATAAGTAGCTTATAATAGTTTAAAATAGTCTAAAACTTCTCTCTAAATAGTCTATAAACAGTTTAATAAAACTTTTCTAACTTTTAACTTCTCGCTAGTCTTATTAAATCTCAAAAAATCTTATAGAAAAAAGAGAAAGAGTATTAGCTCTTTAATTACTAATAAGCGAATTTTTAATAAATCTTTCTAATCGTAATCGATAATTATTTTCTATTTTAGAAGAGAACGAAGGCGGATGTCAGGCCTAATGCGTCATGGGCCTTGGCGCTGCTTACGCCAAGGCGCCGACATCGCATGTGCTACGTTAGGGTCCCTTTTAGAGTCCAGTTTTAATAACATACCTCGTATATCTAGAGGCTTAGTGAATATAGGTCTACTTCGCGTATCTCGAAGTTTTAGTATTTCTTAGAGATTAATTCTACTATTAAATATACTATTAAACTTTATAATAATATTATATCTTTTATAGCCTATATCCGCTAGCTAACCGCTAATAAACTACGCTTTTATAATTTTAATCTCTCTATCTTTTAAAGGAAAAGGTCTATTATTATTACGATATCGAATTTATCTCTAAATTATATAATAGAAAATGAAGATAATATTAAGAGCCGTTATAGCGTCGATAATAAGTTCGAGAATTTCTTATTAGTAAAAGATCTTACTATAAAAGAACGTCTTATAATCGCTAGGGCCGAAAATCGTCATCTAAAATAAGAATAAGAATTAGCTATATTGAAGGCCTATAATCGCGAGTTTTATAATATTAGCTCACCGTTTATAGCTAGCGAAAGCCTATCTATATCAATTACTATCGCGTCTCTAACGAATATATTAATTAAGGCGAAAACACTTCGCCCTAAAAAAATACGTTTTTATAAGAATATTAGTAAGGAAGAGCATCTACGCTAATTCCGCGAAGTCAAAATTAAGTTTCTTATAAGTTCTAAGTATTTTATTATTAACTAATTAAGAATTATCTATTATATATAATTCTTAGAAAATGATCTTAATACTTAATAGTATAAATACTATTAAACTCATAGTCTAAGAGATATAACTTTCGAATTCTTTAAGCAGTTTTTACTTAATTTAATAGCGAATCTAATAAACCACTATCTCCTCGCCTACGAAAAGTAAAAGAAGATTAAATAACGCTTCGATTAGAAGATATCTATTTTTAAGGTCTATCTAAAGAAGCTAGAGGCTTATATAACTTTATTTTCTAAAGAGTATTAGACTAATTTCTTCTTAGTTAAGCTTAAATTAGAGTTTAAAAATAAGATTCTAAATACTAGTAGTATATCGAAATAATAAGAAGAAATTCTTATCTAGACTATTATATAGGAAAAGATTTTAGAACGTATACGCTTCGACGACGATTTTTATTTAAAGTTTTCGAGGGGGTTCGCTAAGGATAAGTCTTTAAAGAATCGAATTTCGAAGTCTAAATTAGCTTTAAATGACGGCGTTTACGTAACGCGCACTCAAGACGATAACGTAAAGCGTAAAGTTGAATTCTTTAACCCTGATTATAAGAAGAATAGTTATTTCTATTATGATAAATAGGGTTATTAAATATCTAAGTATTTAAATCTCGATAAATCGTCTATAGCCTATATCGACGTAGTGTTAATAAAAAAAGATTAGACTTTATAATCGCCTTAGAAGCGAGATAAGAACGACGATTAATAGAGGTAATTTCTTCTATTCTTACAAAGGGGTAGATAAAGCTTCAGAGTAAATAGAGGTAACTCGTTACTCTACTTAACACTAAAGCGTATATTAATTTAATTTCATAAAAGTTCGTAGTTTAATAAGATTTAAAATTTTACAACGTTATCTTATCGTAATCGAAAGCGCTAAGCGATTAAAGTATATATTACTATAGCGCGTATTAGCTAAACTACTAATTAGTAAATAGCTAAGACTAAGATAGAAAGTATAATATATTCTTCTACACCATTAATTAAAAAGGCCTTAATATTATATTAAGTATACTCGAGCTAAGTTAATTATAAGTATTACTAAATCTAGCGACGGAGTAATAATAGTTTAAAGTCAACGCTAGTAAATTATAGATTAAAGAATCGACTAAATTTACTTAAACTATCGAAGAGGAGCTAAATATATTCGCGATCGTATGCGCTGCGATAATACGAAGCGAATCGGAAAATGGGCGTAGTCTAAAGCTCTCTTAGAAGTTACTAGAGTTTAACGACGTTTTTTCTAATAAAAAAGTAGGAATCTTACCTGCGCTTAAGCAAGGAGACTATATTATTAAGATCGAGAGCGGTAAAGAGCCGCTATATAGCTTCTTATATAATCTATCTTAAACGAAGTTAATAAAGCTACGGCGCTATCTAGAGAACTCCCTTTAGAAAGACTAAATCCGTTACTCGACTTCCTTAGTCGAAGCGCTAATTCTTTTTATTTCTAAAAAGAATAAAGAGCTTTATTTTTATATTAATTATCGAGGCCTAAACGCGATAACTATTAAAAATCGATATCCGCTACCCCTAATTACTGAGACTCTAAACCGCTTATATAAGATTAAAGTCTTTATAAAGCTAAACCTTAAGGATATCTATTATCGAATTTAAATTAAAGAAGATAATAAGTGGAAAACAGCGTTCCGTAGTTGCTACGGCCACTTCGAATATTTAATTATATCTTTTAGACTCGTTAATATATCGATAACTTTTTAAGTATATATTAATAGAGCTCTTATAAGTCTAATAGATATAACGTGCGTAATATATTTAAATAATATTCTAATTTATAGTGCTAACTTAGTGGAGTATTAGCGGTATATTAAATAAGTACTTAAGCGTTTATATTAATTTCAGCTATACGCTAGCCTAAAGAAATATTAATTCTATATCAAAAAGGTTAAGTTTCTAAAATTCATTATATTTACCGAAGGTGTTATAATAAATTAGAAATATATCGCTATTATTAAGAAGTGATTAAAATCAAAAAGTTATCGAGATATATAAGTCTTTTTAGACTTTACTAATTTCTATTAATGATTTATTTATAGCTATTTTAGCATAATAGCGCTATTTACTAACTTACTTAAAAAGAGTAAGAATAATAAAAAACCTAGATCGCTAGAGTGAATAGATAGCGCTAAGCTAGCGTTTTAATAGCTCCGAAGCACTTTCGTAACTACGCTATTTCTATATCACTACAATCTAAATTTGAAGTTACATCTTAAGATCGACGCTTTTAACTTCGATATAAAGATTATACTTTTATAATCGAATAAAGATAGCTACTAACAATTAGTAATATTCTAATTTAGAAAAATAATTTCTATAAAGTAAAACTATAAGATCTATAATTAAGAGCTACTCGCTATCGTAGCGTTTATAAAGTAATAGCATTATTATCTAGAAGGTAGTACGTTTTATATTAAGATTCTAACGAATTATAATAATCTTAAAAACTTTATAAAG